CTGACTGTGGTTGAATACTCGTCTCGCTACAGATTCAACTCATGGGTAACTAAACCTACAATCTTTTTGGGCAAGCTGGCTTCAGGAAAAGAAAGTGGTTTCTGTAATTTTGAAGAACTCAGCTTTCTTCACTGCTGGTACCTGAGAAACGAAGAGGTTGAAATTTGCATTTTGGTAGATGATATGGTAATGTGCCCAGCATTGCTTTGCAAAAACAGTGTTCCATGCCATCTCAAACAAACAATAGTTTAGTATTGTTCTTGCTTGTTTTCATCTATCAAAACACTTAATTGGTAACACACCCCTTCTTACGTCAGTTGCGTGTCTTCAGTCGTGTTAAGTTTCTGCTCGGGGTTATTTAGCCTTTGTCATAGCCTCAAAGGTCAGTTCTCGATCTCTTTTCGCTTTGTACTTTTACACTGCGCTACCGGTTAGTCTTCGCTCTGCTACTTTGATTTGTCAGCGAACCACTAAGAGCTGGTATTTCGGTTGAAGTCTACATCGATGACTTCTACGGTGCAGAATCCCCGTCTGCTTCCGAGTCGTCCTGTTTGCGCATGAATTCTTTGTTCGATAAGTTAGGCGTCTTGGTTTCACCAGAAAAGGACACCCCGCCCGGGTGTTACCAAAACTAAGACCCTGGAAAACTAAGACCTAAGACCTAAGACCCCCTAAAACCGAATCCGGCGAAATATGAAGACAAATTGTAATCGAAATAGGTCTACTCTGTCAAATTATCTTCTGTCCGACTCTTTCCACCGAGTTTTCGGTCAAATTTAACGGTAGATTTAGGGGTCTTAGTTTTCGTAATTTCGAAAACAAAGACCCCTCTTAGTTTTCGAAACTAAGACCCCCTTAAAAACCGATCCATAATTTATATATGAAACCGAATTACGACCGTTCGATAACTATATGCCGTAAAACAACCAAAATCTATCATCCGCGTGCTGACGATCCGCTTCTTCTAACATATTCAGTATTGAGGCTATAAAAAGAGGACGAAAAGCTATAATTGTACACTGAAAATATGCTTTACCCCGCCAATTGACTATTTTCGAATTCCCCATAATACACTCTGTTTGCCCCCCAAATTTTGCATAACTTATTGTCTTAAAATGCTCTTGGGAAAATGTAATACTCCCAGGAGCATTTAAAATCTGGGGGGCAAAGCTCGAAATATGAGCATCGGCGAGCATCGGCATTGTTGCGTAACATTCAAAATATAAGGATTTGTATGGGAAAAAAACCCTATCGTTTCTGTAACCTACGAAAATGAAAGGATTTCAATAAAAAAACACAGCGTACCTTACTTAAAATGTGTGTTACGTCTCTCCTGTGTGGTCCAGGGGTCGATTTATGGCCGTTTTATGGGTTTATGTGTTTATGTTACATAGAGAGAAAACCGTTTACATAAAAAGCCATAAAACGGCCATAAATCAACCCATGGACCACACAGGAGAGACAATATTTTTATATATCATTTCTATGTGCGATGAAAACATCAACATCATAAATGTTCGTGCCTCTTATTATTCAAAATATTGTAAATTGTTATAAATCCGAAATCTAATTTAACTTTCTTACCATACTAAAGTTGTCAGTATTGCAATTTGCCTTTTGTTTTCTTTGAACAATAATAAGTGTATGCATAATGAATGTATTGTTTTGGAAAATGTTGTCGAAGATAAAGTATTGCTGCACGTATGCCGTTTTTGAACAATAATAAGTGTATGCATAATGAATGTATACGGAAATGTTTTTATTGCTCAGGGATAGTAGACTACGAGAGCCTGCGATAGTACCTGCGCGAGCACGCGTGAAAATCACCCCACGCGAGAAAAGGCAACACGCGGCGGGGAGATTTTTCTCTCTCCTCGCCGCGTGTCGCCTTTTCTCGCGTGGGGTGATTTTCACGCGCGCTCGCGTTTCACTCGCTCTACTATCCCTGAGGAAAAATGGGGGACTACTCGTAGTCTAGTTTTGACATTCTTGCAATTACCGAAACTCACTTGGATCGGAAAATTTCCAATCGTCAGCTCGAAATCGATAATTACAAGATTATCCGAAGGAACAGAGACGTTAACACGACTGGCGGTGGATGTTTATTCAACATCGCCAATCATATATGCTAAACACGGCCAAGTTCCTTGAAATTGCTGGATATTGAGGCTATATGACTTAGGATTCTGGTAAACTTGTCCGTTTTCGTCGTAATAACTGTTGATAGACCGCCTTCAGATTCTCTATTCTTTGATCGATTTCAGGTTATACTTTGGAAACTCTGGATTAAACGCCGCAATGTGGTTATTTAAACTGCGTAGTGGTCGTTTAACGGACGGTTCAATTTCCTCCACTTCTGGCCAAAAATTACAGGATTTGTTGTCTCAGTTCGACTACATGGTAATCAACGACAAGCCAACCAGGGTAACTAGTGATACGTCTACTTTGATTGACCTGGTAATATGTAGCAAGCGTAACCTGATAAAAAACCCGAGAACAATCGAGCTTGGAATCTCCCAGAGGGTGTTATTTGCAGGTTGCAGGTCAGAATTTGAAGAACGCGCGAACGGTAAACGCTAAACTGATTTTGAGAGAAAAAAACTGACTGTTTTGCAGTCTAACGTGTAAAATCTTTACAGCGTCATGGAAAACCGGAAATACTGAGGACTGGTCGGATGTGATTCGTCGAAATATCGGCAACAAGATTAATATTTTGTTTTCTATTTGTGGGAGGGTGTAATTTGCAGGTTGCAGGTCGTAGGTCCCAGGTTGCACGTCAAAATTTGGAAGTGCACGCGAACTGTCAACGCTAAACTGATTTTGAGAAAAAAAACAGACTGTTTTGCAGTCTTAAGTCCTAACGTCTTTATGGCGCCACGCAAATCGGAAATATCTTTAGTCCCAGGAAATTATTTGTTTGAAGTTAGATTTTGTCAAAATTTCTCCGCTTGACACTAAACAAAAAAGCAACGAAAGGTAAAAGAACCGGATGTGGAAATTTCCGGTGGTTAATGATCTACCTTCCACGTGCCGGCAATCCACGGCGTGGATCTAACACGGATTTACTACGAAGGTACGTTAACTGGTCCCTTTTTGCTATTAAGCTGATATGAAACTTATTTTGTGTATAATCGAGTTCAACTAAAAAATTGCGTCACCATGGCTGCACAATTTCTTACGTAGTTACAATATATAGTGAATTAACTAATCTAAAGACGACTTTGTAAGCGTTTATTGTTTAACAACGTCCAATTAAAAATAGGCAATCAGCGGAACGGTTTCTGACTGGCACGTATGAATCTTGCTACGCATCAAATTGTTGAGACAATGACGTCAGCTGTTGTTACGGATAACAAGACAATCTGCCTTCCACCCCATCCCCTCCATTCACAGCTTAGTTGTTAAGTTCAGTAACTAAGGGCCGTAAAATCGACTCGAAGTAATCGTCTGAAATTCAGGCTACGATTGTAGTTCTTTTTAACGACCATTCCCGTAAGCGACCGCGACCACTTTTGTGAATCACTGGCTGTCTTTTCCTTTATTTTCGAATTCTCGTTAGCTACCAGCGAGTGGTTCGTAAAATTCGAATGCTTTAAGTAATGAAAAGAAAATTGGAAAGAGAAACTGTAGTTAATTTTTTAATGTTATTATTACATTGCTTAGAAGTAGGTTGACAAAATGTAGTTTCTTGGTGTAGCGGACGGGCGCTATCACCAAATGACGTAATACAACAGATTGAAAATACTTAGACTTGCTACAAGTCGGCCTCTCACAAGTTGAAAAGTGAGAGAAGCGAGCTTCAATGCACGAGGTCGCGCAGCGACCGAGCGAGCGACGAAGTCTGGAGGTCGACTTGTTTCGTCTGCATGGATTTGAATCATATTATAAATTCACGGGAAAAAAAAAAGATTGACAATGCTGTGTCGGGAGCGGCGTGAAATATCACTGACTGTCCTATTGGTCAATTGTCATGACGTCACCGGTAGAATTTTCGACCGGTGAATTTCGCGTCAAACAGGTATGAAAAGTTCTTTAAAATTGCATAACCAACCAGGAAAAAAATAAAGGCCTTTTATAAAGTCTAGAAAAGACATAGAACAATATTTACATCGCAAAACAACAGCTGACCATAATGGTTTCTGCAACACCACGAAACACCCACAAATTGTCAGTGGTGCGAAACATACAAGACGATGAACACGAGGACCTGGGAGCCCGAGAAGTGCATAGGAGCATCGAGATGATCCTGCTACTGCATTCATTCCTTTCGTGGGAACAACAAGATCAAAATGTAACCAAACTGAGTTGCTGACAAGATCTCGACAAGAGAGTATGAAAGGTCATTTCATACACTCTTGATCACGATAATATTCTAATCGGAGCTGAGGGCCGGTGAAAACTGTAACCATAAATAGGTCTTTCCTTGACTCGGCCTATCGCTTACCGAATATGAAATGTGTATGTACCTTTCAGAAGGGAGAAATACTGTTCTGGTCAAGTGACAAATTCCAGGATGCCAAAGCCATAAAGACTGGACAAGAGAGAGTGAGCATGCACCCAATGCCTCCTCTAGAAAAGGAAAGGGGCGCAAAGAACACTACCCTCCCAACCCCACCCCCGGCTTCCGTAGTAATCATATGGAAACCAGAACCTCTTCTCCCCGCAGCTGTTCTGTGTCTCGTCACACTGCGAGGGCAGAAGCGTTACGTACATAGGCTGCGAGAGTGACAACCTCGTTCCCCGTAGGAGAGGACCCTGGGAACGAGACTAAATTGTACCCAGCTTCAAATTTGAAGAAAAAAGATCAAATTTCACTAAACATACGGAAGTATTGGTTGAAAGGTTTCTTTTGAATAGACCCACGATAGGATTTAATTCAGACACTAGAAGTTAGGTTTGGGAATGAAAAAGGTTAAAGTATTAAAAAAGCACTCCTCTCATTATCCCACAAGCTAAGCAGGCTAGCAAAGCTTGACTCCAAGGGAAGAGAAAAAGAAATAGCTTCCATAAAACGTTATTTCTTTTCTAAAATCTGATTTTCATATTACAAATGTGATTAAGTACAAGCACCCGTTACACTGAACGTCGGTACCTCAAACAAACGAGCAGCCATTCTTCTAAGTGGCACTTTTTATAGGCTCTAGAATTATTCCATTTTTTTCTCTTAAAATTTTTACAGAACACTGAATTCTTGGCAAATGAATGCTGAATGAGCTCTTTAGACGCCTTAAGGCCGCCGTAACGTGGTAAAGTTCTTGTTCTATCGGACAAAATCAGGGTTCCACAGATTCCACAGTTGAGAAGGTCAAGTCGCGGATTCGTTCGGTCAGGTAAACGGCCTTTAACGTTAAATAAAAAAATAAATTAGCATTTTTTCACTCCGACTCCAAACGGTCGCGTTCTCGTACTCGATAACGCTTTTTAATCCTGAAATTCTTGGGTCAGAGCCGGACAAATGCCACTGCGACCAGGCCGTTTTCGTTTTACGCAATCCCACAGGGAACTGGGGCTGTCGCTACTGCGGTGAACTTTCATTAGCTTGGGACTAATACACTTGGTGCTCAGTCGGACTCTTCGTTTAGTAGCTTGCTTGTTTCACCGGGCTCCGTGTCATTTTCGACTGTTGTATCATTGTTATCCAGAGGCGGAATCTGCCCAGTGATTGGCGGAGACTGATCACGTGATTCCCGACGAGGGCTTGACTGCTGTGCATTAGCCGCGGTAACCTCCTCATCTCCAGAGTTTCCATTCTCCCCCTCTACATCCCCCTCAGGTTCTTCCGGATCCTGAAAGAATGGTAGAATTGGTAGAAGGCTTGGTTCGAACTTTACGTTTACGATTACGTTTTCCTGCATTTGTACATTCACATCCAGAGCTTTTATCTTTGAAAATTAATTCCTGTACTCTCACAACAGTAAACCTCTGTGTTTTGATGATATTATATTAATATATTATATTGAGAAGAGCCTGCGAGCAAGCTCTCTTGGGCCTCGCAGTCTATCTTACGAAGAGAAATAAGCTCATCAAATTTGGGGCTAAAACGTGTCAACAAAGAAGGGCGGACAGGGGGTCCAAAACTGCCACCTCCCGACTGTTACATTTCCGGCTCCCGCGCCTTTTTTCTTGGCTTCCTTCTCTTAGCCCTTTTCCTACTTCAAAATATTACGCATCGTTGCTTAATATCCCCCTTTTCCTCCCGCTTTCCACCCTTTAAGAGTTCCCAACTACCGCTCTTTCCTCTCCCGCCTTCCGTACCCCTTCTGCCCTCTATTCTCCCGGGCTACAACCCCATATCTTCCCCTACAAAGAAGCAGAGGGAAGAGGGAAAAAGGAATCGTACCCCTTCTGCCCTCTATTCTCCCGGGCTACAACCCCATATCTTCCCCTACAAAGAAGCAGAGGGAAGAGGGAAAAAGGAATCGACTATTTCCGAGTTCGTTAACCTTTTACTTTTAAAACGCGGCTAAGTGCAAAACTTTCCTTCATTTTATTCGCGAATGAGAATAAAAGTTCATTTTCATATCAATAGCTTCGCACTTTGCCTAGCTTTGAAACAGAGGCTTAGGGCGACTCGGAAATGGCCTATTAACTAAGAACCAAAGTGAATTACCTCTTCTGGACACAGTTCACAAGCCTTGGCAAGTGTAAGCCGTGCACTATGAGACCGCTCCAAGAAATAGCTGGGGTAAGACAACAGAAGACAAAATTTCAGTGATTTCGTCTGGAAGAAATCCTATGGTTTTACTACTCACATGAAACTTTTTCCAAATTACTTTTACATGGTATTAATCATTTAGAATGTGGTTCTATTCTAACTTTCATATCTATGGATGAAATCCTATGGTGTTACCATTCAAACGAACCCTCTTCAACAGTACTTTCACATGGTACTATTTCTTTAGTATGTAGTTCTAACTTTTGAGTCTGTGGGTGAAATTCTATGGTGTTACCATTCAAATGAAACCTCTTCAGCAGTACTTTACATGGTACTATTTACTTAGTTTGTAGTTCCAACTATTGAAAAGGAGAACTCGGGATTTTCCCTCAAATTTGAATTTGGGCATGACAGCATTAATATGTGCAATTTGAACCACTAACCCGTTGGAAGTCTCGTTTGACTGTGCTGGAGGAGACCAATTGTTATACGTGTACGATGTACCACCAGTGTAAGGTCTCTAAAACACAACAACAGAACATTTCATAAGATCAGCCTTAAACGTGAAAGACATATTAAACCTTATAATTTCTTGCCTTCAAAGTGATAATACTGTACAACTACGTACTTTTTGGAATTTAAATTTAATAAGCCGGTGAGCAAGCTCTTCAGGCAGGAGCAATGTTAAACCCTTTGAGAGCTTTGGGGTCTTAAGCTTTAACTGTGCTGTCTTGTTTTAACCGTGCTTTTTTAAGCCCATGGATCAAATACTGGGATCAATGTACGCTTCTGGGAAACTGCCCACCTACCCCTCCCCTAAGACAAAATTAACACTTACTTCTCACTTAAGGCAAAATGTTCGCTTGGGAGAGGGGTAGGTGAGCAGTTTCCCAGAAACGTATAATGATCTACTGATGCCCCGCGACCACTCAAATCAAAGTTCGCAAAGTGTGGTTTCGTCATTCATTCGAATTTTGGTTTCCGAACAACTAGGTAGAGTCAGATTAAATAAAATACCACTTGTCTTGGATAACTGACCCTGTCGAGCTCGTCATTAAGCCATTCCACTGCCCATGTCCACTTGCGGCGGAGATCCTGTGCCGACATCAAAATATGATGCGCCAAAGGGCAGCTAGAAAGACAGAAAAGAGTTACTAAAAGAAAAAGACGGGAAGCTTCCCTATAAAGTATACTTGCACCTCTCACGTCTGCGGAGCGAAAACATCGATATCACAATTTAAGTTCTCACAATCGACTCTTTTATACCTAGTTGGCTGAGTCACTGACCAAAAGATTATCATTCTCATCAAAAAATTATCAGAAGTTATCTGAACATCTTCAGCAACATTCGGACGTCATCGGAACCCCATCGGTAACGTCCATAAGTTGTCGGAACATCTTCGGTGATGTGCGGAAGTCGTCCGAATATTTTCGAATTTCCGAGGAATTCTAAACGTACTTGACTAACGAAATGGTGTCAGAAAGGAATCTTGCAGCACTTACTTGCAGAAGAGAGTCACCATGAACTTGATACACTGGTAGGCTCTTTTCTGGTAATGATTCTTCGAGCGTTGAATTGTGTCGAATAAACCCTCTTTATCATCAGGTATGCCTAATAAATTAAACGACAAAAAGGCAAAATTTAGAAAAGTTCAACTACATTTTAACACATTGCAATTTTTTCTTAGCTTATAGGAGATCGCTGAGTGTATGGTGAACAACTGATTATAGTTGGAACATCACGTCAACGTTGGATACACCTGTTTTTGGCTAAAATTTGCTTCTGAACCTAAAACTCTCACACGTTTTTACCTTTAAGTGTGTTGTGAATTCTGTGATTCTGCCATGAATCGGTAATGAGCAACATCTGCAGCAACAAGTCCAAATACGGCCGTAGCTCATAAGTGTACGAAAACGCCACCTGAAAACAGTACCAAAAAGTCATTTCACCGCGTGAGACAAAAATTGTCCCAGTCCCATGACCCCACAGGACGCGGAACCGGCGCTCTACTGATCCATTTGTTATGGAAGGTTAGGTCATTTATAGCCTGCGAAAACAGACATACTTCCGGTCGTTGCTTCTCTTGACTCTCTCTCCAACCGAAAAGTAACTTTTCGGTGGCGAGAAGGCAGAACCGGAAATACGTCAGCGTTCGCAGGTGAGGCCATTCACTTGATTCATATATGTGACACACGTCCTGCATCAACGCATCCTACGTGACCATGAGGGCGTTTAAAAAAAAAAACAGGGATATCTTTCACACATTTTTCGGCAACGCTCTGGCTTAAAGACCGGGCACATTGCAGTTTGCGGTCACGAGATGCTAATCATGTGTCCAAGTTCTTCCTCTGCTTCATTTTCACGGCAGGGCAGAGAAAAAAAGAGAAAACACTGCTTGCACTCGAAAGGGTGTGCTGGTGACAATAACTTTGTTTGTGTGTCAAAGTACTTTAGCATACCTTCTAATTAAAGACAAAGTAACAAAGCAAAAAAATAACGGTAAATATTAAATAAATACTAAGACATCAAAAATACCAGTACTATTCTATTAAAAATACTACCAATCTTTAGTGTAGACTACTTGTTCAAAGTCGCTGCCCAGGCACGGAAATACCTTGAATGGGAATACTTTCCGAGGGTTCTTAATACAGACGTGAGTAGTTTTTGAAGACTGTAGAGATTCTTTTGAGATAAGTAGATGTATTTGTAAAATGCCCGTTGTCTTGCTGAAAAGCTGGTCAAAAAGTTCGGTATTCGTCATACCACGCTTTAATACTGTAACGTACGGAAAGCACTCTATTAACCGACACTGTGGCGCCGCCTACCCCGGGACTCAAGAAATGCAAGCACTTTGAGTCATTTTAAGAATTCAATAAGGCAAATGATCTCTCAGACGTAGTTAGTAATGAATGTGGACCTGACCGTTTTCTCTGCAGCTCGCAGACATAAGTGTGAAAGAAGTTAGAGGTTCAGAACTTACCTGCCACAGAAGCTCACTCAACACCACGCGGGAAAAGTGCGGGTTTTCCCAACAGCAAAACTGCAAAGAAATAGTAAATACACGTTTTTTTTCAGGAGCTAAAACACATAAATTCACATACAATTAAGAATGCATTCCCCACGTCGGAACTTAAACGGACATACATACATAACCATACATAACCTTTATTTTAACTCGAATTTTAGAGTAGCTACACTCTATAGCTAATATATAGAGTGCATTCGAGATTAAAGTATCTTTTGATCGCAAGTGCAAATTTGAAGACATCTCCAAAAGGAAAATTTATACCCGACGATATCTCAAACTTTAAGTGAACGGAAAAGAACTTGCTAGGCAAAAGGGGGTTCAGTGTTCTGATATCAAGAGATATTGAGGATGAAATGCAAAGCAGGAGACCGTGGACGGACCGAGAGCTACAAAATATCCAAGATTAGGAGTTGCGTTTTCCTGGCGTCGAACGCAATTACTGAACTGAAATTCAGTCCTGAATACTGAACTGATTATTTTTACCATTCTCCACAACAGATTTGTCACTTACTTTCAAAAGTTTCACTGTATCTTCTGATGTAGTGCTGTCATCAATGACTTTCTTTAAATATCTGTGTAACCATTTCACCATCAGTATTTAACATAATCAATATTAACTTACAGGTAGTAATATATCAAGAGCAGTTGTAACACACGGTATCCATGTGTTAAAAGATAAACAACCTATTCCGCTTAAAAATTAATATTAAATTTCACTCTTTCAAGTTTAACTTAAATATATTTTGTCTTGTTTTTTCTTATGTTAACCAATGACAATAAACTTAAAATAAAGGGGGGAAAACTCGAACTTTCAGGATGAAATTGAACTACATCAGAGGAAAACAAACTTTCGCAGCTTGCAATATCGTAACACGGGCGTGTCACAGGCATACCAAACCAGATGACAACTTTTTTGTGTGGCTTTGGTGACGATACTGGACAACCAACTTTCGTAGCTCCGCTAGCAAAATTAACATGACACAGGACCACCAAGAAGAATACAAGAGAACCAACTTACGTAGCTTTGTTAAACAAGATATCAGCGACCAGAGGCTGTATCTCCATGAGAGGAGGTCCTTCGCCAAATGGGTTGGGTTTTGGTTTGCTTCCCTGTTAATAAAGGAAACAATGTAAAGGTCACCGTTTAACTTGAATTTTCAAAATTCACAAGCGCACTGCAGAAAGAAGCGTTCTTTTTTGCGCTTTTTTTATTTGCGGTCCATGGAAACGCAATAAAACAACTTGGTCAATAACCAGCTATCTTAAACGAAAAAGCTTACTCAGTAACACATATATATAGCCCAGCTTACTTGAGAGGAAGACCGCATTCTCGAAGAAACGTCACAGCAGCGGACCAACTGAGACACAACCGAGTAGAGTTTACCCAGTTCAGCGTACTGGTACCGAATTGGGGGGCCTGGGCCTTCATCCAGCGCCACCAGCATGAAAGTGGCGGGAACACCAAGTTGAAGAAGCTGTAACCGCTGCCAGGAGAAAAATATACGAAGAAAGAAGTATGAGATATTTCCTTAACGAGCAAAACGTATGTACTAAAAATTATCAAGCACGGCCTCTCCACAATACTCAGGGTGCCAGAGACTTTTCATGCGCGGTTTCCTCGTTCGGTCAGGTGTTAATAAAATAAAATGAAATTTCGTTGTTTACCCTCGGCAGTATTTATAGCACTAATGCTAGTGGGGCCAAGTAAATTCCTGAAACAAATGAATTAAATCAAACATAAACGGGTAAAGAATCCCACCTGGCCGAAGGCGAACCAGTTGGCTATTTACAAGCGTGGTCCCGAAGATTTGAACTTGGGAATACTTCGTGACTTCGACCTTTGACCGAAGATTTGTCGGTCTGCAGCCGACAACAAGACACCCCGCCGCACTTGAGAAAAAAAAAAAGATCTCTTGTACCCAGGGTGCATGAGCAGTCTTCGCGTGACAAATTTATCAATAAGCGGCAAAATTCGTTCCGATATGCGCGAGTATAAATAACAGTAAGCAGTGATGAGGCGGGGAAGAAACGGGACGATCGCAATCGTCTGGATAAAAAGGAAACTAGTAGTGTGCTTAAGTAAGGGCGGTTTGGTGCGAAGCATGTCAAACGGAAGTGAGGCCTGATCCCTTTTAACAAAACCTTGACTAAAAGAATTGGTATTGCCAGGTGTCTTTTCTCTTACGGAGACGATTAGTGCGTGACTCAAAAACGTCTTTGCTAAAGGTGGCTTCCTGCCCAACATCTATATCGCCTCAAACATTTTTTAGACGGTTACCGGCCGGTACAAAGTCGTTTCGATATAGGCTAATTCCTTGCCTTAAAGAACGAAGAATATTCACCCAAAATGTTTTTCTTGTTCAATTGCAAACTTTACTTGAAGTGATCCAAATTTTAGTGCAATTTCACTGCTTGAGTTCGTACGGAAACGACTTGTATCGAAACGACCAGTTTCCTTTTAGACCAATGCAGCGATTCAGTAGCGATTGAGACGATCGCGACGGTCAGGTCAATTGTACAGAAATTAGGATACATACCTCAGGAGGTCCTATCATAGAGTACATGAGAAAGAAGTGAAAGTATTGTTGTAAATGGCGGCCATGTTCGGGAACTTCTTTCTTTAACAGGCCCAGTACAGCTGTTAAGATATGGTCGCTTAGTGTTGCTTTGTTGTCAAGCTCTGTCAAACAAACAAATAACTTAAGCATTACTACAAACAGAAGGGAATTTTGAGCAAAAACTAGAAACCGTTCAAACATATTTTCGCGTTGTCACATAAGAGTGTTCGTAGCATGGTTGGGAAACCCAAACTACTGCTCACGTCTGCGTCTCACTTGCGACAAACGTGCAATCTCAAGCAGCTGTTCCCATTTGCATTGACATAAGCAAAGGATGATATTTGCATGCAAAGCGAAGTGTAAACTTTGGGAGCTGCTAATTTGTGGCCTCAAAGAGTAAGCCCAGCAGAGAGAAGAAAAAGAGATGTCGTGATGATGACCAATTTTTGTCAACTGTGCTTATCAACCTGAATCTTATCAACCTTGTTACCAGGGATCTCTCTTTTTTTCGTCCGAGAGACCCTGATAAAAAAGTTGCGACCTTAAATAAATATTCCGCTAAGACTTCCCCAAATATGTTCAGGCGATCGAGATACGCCTCTGACGCGACGCCGACAATCGAAGCCATCTTAAAATTGTCTGACTAATGACGACCGAGGGGGAGCCCCTGTATGACCAACGAGTTTTGCTATATGATGATTATGGTATAGAAAACGCGCCAATTGCAAGCATGACACCGCAAAGTGCAACAAAAGGCAAAGAGCATCGCAGAAATGAAGTCTTTCCGCGCGTATTCGACATCACGGGTAATCTGCTCGTGTGAACTAAGCAAACACACAAGTGCCCTACGTGCCACATATACCATCCCAACCAACAAACTGTTTATCAAAAACCAAGTGAACGTACCAGTCTCGTGTCTAATACTCTCTGGGTAAGGAGAACACGGTCCATCTTGACGGGAAAAGTGCGCTAAGAACACCAGAGTTTTGGCAAAAGCACTTCGTACCTACAACATGAGAATGTCACCAGAATAAAATTTAACAATCCGAAGAAAAAAATTAAAAATATGAATAAATATATCTTCAGGTGAAAATAAAATATCTCGTATGAAGTACGTATCAAGAAAAGAGGATCAAATTCGAAAACAGAAGGTTTGTTTACTGGTGTTGAAATGGCCATATTTGGTCATTTTTGAAATGGTCAAAACGATAGCACCTTCACACATGCGAAATGATGTCTACTGAGGCGAAAAGTTTGAAATTTGGGCGTAAGTGAAGTAATGAGCTACATATGCCTAGCAGCAAAACAATTGGGATAATTATACGTTTCTGGGAAACTGCCCACCTATCCCTCCCGTAAGCCCACATTAACACTTACTTCTCACTTAGGGCAAAATGTTGGCTAAGGGGAGGGGTAGGTGGGCAATAATCAAGTTGAATACCTGGTAAAGATTAAAACAAACTCTGATAGAGAGCAGCAATGGTGATTTATACGTGACGTAATCATTAACTCAGAGAAAATTCCTCCAGAGCTGTTATCTCTGTGCAAAGTTTCAGTTGAGCAAGTTTGAATTGTTACGTTTTTAAATCGTGCGAGATTACAATGGCGTCCCAGAAACTTGTCACGCAGGTAAAGAGATGGTTTATTTTTTGAATTTTAGTTTTTGCTACGTGGACAGTCCTTATCTTAGAATGAAGTACTACTTTTAACCCTTTAAGTCCCGATAGTGACCAACATCAATTTACTCCTAACAATGTCCATACATTGTCAAGAGATAAGGTTGCGAGAATCAATAAAATGATCACCACAGGGAAAATGCCTTAATCTTTTACCAAATTATCTCAAGTACTTCTTAAACGAAACGTATGGAAATCAGTTTGGAGTATTTGTATGTGGATATTGGGGCTAAAAGGGTTAAGTTTACAAGCACGACACAGGGTACAAGCCGAAATTTCGCCCCGACGATGTCCAATTAACAGAGTAATATAGGGTTCACTGTTACATTATATGTTATCTCACCTCTCCACTGGGGCACTCTAGCAAATACTCTGAGAAGCGGTCAGGATAGGAGAACAGCATATACTTAGCGAACCATTCCCTCACTGCTTTGCCTTGTCTGAGTAACATACACACAGCATCATGCCACTCACCAGCAGGACCTCTGTAAGGAGTACAACATACAGTCAAATCTGTAATAAGGCAGCTGTCATCCTTCATCGAGAGGTCACTTGCTAAAGTGTCGAAATCAATTAGGCGGATACCTCTATTGAATTTCAATTGTAGCGTTTCCCTTTTAATAAGTCTTGCCGAGCTTATGTTTATTGCCGTCTTCACCTATATTTGATTGGCAACCTGTTTTCATCAGACAGTTTGCCTTACTTAACACAAGGTTGAATTTACTGTTGAAACCTCAAATCAAACGATTGTGTAGTTTACGCGCTATGATTAGCTACTAGACCGTGGAAATAACACTAGCTTAGTTTCTTCAAGCACTGCAATATGGACCGTTACGTATGCGTAGCACCAGAGACTGAATATAGAAAATAAGATACAGTCTGTATAAAACTGCCTATTTTGCGGCGAATTTCCAAACTTTTTGCGCGTGTCATCAGTGGAGTGCTGCTGGAATGTTTCCCAGCTATGACATCGGGTTTGGAATCCGAAAGGAAAAAGCTCAGCTCGTTGCTTAGTTTTTCCACGAGGACTTGCTTAATAACAAGAGGTATATGATTCAATTTTAAGTATTTGTCTGGCTAATTCAGAGCCAGTGGTAAGAAGGATATGCAGCCATACACCATACCACTGAACGCCACTTTAAACAAGAATAGTTGTATTAGACCTTTAGATTCTAAGACGAGGACGACTACGAGTACGAGATTTTCTCAAAACTGAGTATTGCTCACGCTGGAATGAGCATCACTTTGGCGAGAAAACGTAATAGTCGTCGTCAATCTACTGAGAGTTTTAGCGAGAATGTCGTAGTCACGGAAGCGAGTTATCAAATTTTAGAAGTTTTATTATTTTACGGTCGAGAGAGGGCTTAACCTCCTTCAATACGCTCTTCTCACTTATGGTAATATGCCCGTCTAACCTCGTTTACGGGTAAAAATTCTTTTGAAATTCAAATACGAAAACGTCGTCTGATTAGCATTTCAAAGGACTTTTTACTCAAAAACGAGGTTAGACGGGCATATTACCACACGTGAGAAGAGCGTATAGAGGTAACATTGCTACCTCTTCTAGTGAAAAAAGTACAATGAAGCCAGTTCCGGCGTGTCTTGTTTTTTAAGAATACGAGTAAAAAACTTTAAGTCAAATCTCGTAATAGTAGTCGCTCTCGCCTCGAATCTAATGGTCTCTGCAGTCAACTCTCGCCTTCCGGACGCCCCGTTATAACGGACACCCCGATAATACGGACAGCAGCTAAATCCCAGGTAAAAATAAGTTACAGACGTTTGACTGAAAAAAACCCCAGCAATTACGGACTCTCGCTAATGAGGACACTAACTCAAGGCCCCTAAAGTGTCCGCTATAAAGGGAGTCGACTGTATTACGTCATTACCTGACGGTTTTCTTCGTGCGGAACCCAGTCGTGAAAAGAAACTTGGAAACTAGCTGAATGCTGATCATAGACAACTGCTCTATTTCAGCCTGTAAGTAAACGAACCCATTACAGTTAAGCTTCAATCGGATTGCGTCCACACTTTTACTTTTATCTACCAAACAAATACAGTGAAATTTCCGTGGTTACGCTAGGCTTACACAACTTCGTAAAGGGTCTTGGGTTTGCTTATAAAAGAAGGGACTTATATCCAGTTCGGCTTATAAACTTTTAAAAGATGTTTAGAAACGCCGTTAAGCAGGAATAAGCAACACATTGCTCAGCGTCTAGACTCTATAAGTTAAGTGATGACACATACCCGGATTTGCAGGAAAACAGGGGGAAAAGAGAATTCTAACGCGCCGTGTGCATGTACTCGGACTGAGCCAGTGCAGAAAACACAAATTCGTTTGTTCTACAACTCAACTATTAGCTTGACCATCTAAGAAGCAATAGCTAAAGCAACAGAAGTCTTCACGTACCGAATTTTCTAATCCAGCATTAGCAGTAGCCAGTTTTCTCATGAACTGGAAGAATTCCACACTGTACTGAATTCGATTGTGGAGAAAGTGGACGTTTTGTTTACGAACCGCTCTCTCAATCACAGCTGGCATTTTGCAGTCTGAAGAAGGCAAAAAAAAAAAATAAACATTTGGTTATTTCCTTGATAAAAACAAAAACAGTATAGCATGGTGGTTACACATCAAAAAGTCCTAAAAATTCACAACAAACAAGTCACAGACCATGATTTCCTCTTTCACTGGCTTTTGAATTCTTAACGAGCTTTAGAAGTAGAGCTGTTTGGTGCTTACAAAATCTCTTTCCGTTTTACAAACGGCAAGCAACTTACTTCTGTCCACATCAACTCTTCTGTTTGTGTCCATGACATCAAGACGTTCGTAAAAGAGCATGTAAGCGTTCCACCACCTCTTCTGCCTTCTATAGGACATCCTGACAAAGACAATAAGTAAGTGACATTGGCTATGGCATGAAACAAAAAGATAAAATAAGGCGGACCGGAGCAAAGAGAGGAGAAATGCTATTTAAATCCCTGTGTGCTACCAAATTATATTAGGAAAATCACAATCATCCCACAGGCAAATAACGTTTGTCTAATTTTGTATTCTCACTGACGAAAAAACATTCGCCCAAACCGTTTGAGTTTGTTAAACCTTAATCAGTAAGCATGGTTTCCTTAGGACCCGTCATTTTGAAAATGAAATAAGGTGGTTTTCCACTGTCGCGTTATTTCTACCTGCGTAAACAAATTAAATACGATAAATGAAAGGTCGCACGTGAATGAAAGTTTTGAAAATTTTCATTCACGTGCAACAAGATATGCTGCACTAAATGTAGTAGCGTGTAGCCACGAGGATTAAAAAATAAGTTGCTCGCATTTGCAGGCAATGTTGCACCGACAGCCCTGAATTTCTAGTTTTTTTGAGTTAGAATGGAGAGTTAATTCACTGATCTGATCAGAGCCATTTTAACGTTATGGAATGGTCACAGCAGCACATCGAGGATAGGACGCACCTTTTTAGCATGTGGTCAAACACTTCTCCCATGTACTCCCCACCGAAACACTGAGTCTTCAACTCCTGTTAATCAATTAGAAACACCATCAGCTACCAAAAGAAACACTGCGACGCAAAAGTATAACTCATGAACAGAAAAGAAAGAGAGGAAATCACAAATGAATGAATAACTAAATGAATATAGACTGCGAACGGCCTCTCTTTTTCGTCAGATTTAGAGCAGGATAGTACTGGATTTAGTGAGAGCAATGCACGCGCGCGGGAGCGGCGAAGCCGCGAGACGCGCGAAACGAGGGCGGCAGTCTCCCCCGTCTCGCGCCATCAGTCACACGCGTGGCCATTTGCGTGTCCCGCGTTTTGCTCGACGGACTACAGAAAAAAGAGAGACTGCTCGTAGTCTAGAATAACTACATCAGCAAGTCGCAAGTACCTCATCGTCATCCATTTTGCATTCTGAGACCTCGCCGTCGTCAAACTTGAACCATTTCGGGGCCAAGTCGGGACACACTCTAAACAACAACAACAAAAAGAACAAAAAATTGACTATCAAAATATAAGAAGGAGTGTAAGGCAGGCTATGTGCTTGTGGTATAAGGTGACAAGGGATTGCCTATCTCTTTTCTCTGCCTCTTGTCACGGAAGTCGATGTCACGCAAGTTGACGCATGTCACTCGCTCGCTCGCTCCACTAACCGTGAGGAAAAAAATGGGACTCAGGTACTCATAGCCTAAACTAAATATGTTTACCTACGTTTTCAATCCACGATGAGTTTAACAAGGTGGAAATGTTAACCACGAGTATTTCCTCATTTTTAAGGTGATAATGGTCATATTTTTCTGGCAAGGTTATAAAAATAGCACCTCTGATTTATACAAGTGAGGCAAAAATTGTTAAAATGGATAACAAATGAGATAAAAACAAATATATAAATAGATAATCATTAAATAGTAGTAAACCTACGAGGTTGTTCTTGATCTACCATTCCAGATCCAACTGGAATTTCGAAATACTGGCTTTTTTTTTTTTTTTGGGGGGGACCCGGAGTGCCCAAGGGAAAACCCTCGCAGCACGGCCAACTAAAAGCGAGAACCAGCAATAAACTCAACCCACATAAGACGCCATCACAAATTTCCCTTTCGTAATCATTGGCTACCATTCCCGGGCCTCTCTGTGCAAACTTCTCTCACACTACTTTTTACTCATCGACAAGCCATTTAGGTACCTGTTATAATCACTGTTAATCATTATAACCCTACATTGAGCGTAAATTAAATAAAACTTCGTTTTTTCTAAGACTACCTAAAAATGTATCTTTTTTACCTTTTTGTAACTTTATCCAGACCATAAGTTAACGTTTGGTTACCAATAATGGAATGCCGGGATACTACTGTTCACTATCGACCGTTTACACCTTATTTCAAAATTTTGGCAATACTACTTTTTACTTATATTCATGTCAATTGGCCCTCTTTGCCTCGATTTTACTTTCAGAATTCAAAGAAATTTTACCTTGAAACGACGCATCGAGGGCCAATTATCATGAAGGCAAAAGAATAACTAAATTTGATGACTGTCTTGGCAGCGCAACGGCGCAACCTCTGGGATTCGCACTCAGAGCACAGCATTGGGAGACAAGGCTTGAAGTCACCACTGCGCCATCACTGTTCCCCAATTCACCATGAAGAGAGTGTGCCGCTTATTTAAACGGAGTTCATTTCCTCTTCAACAAGACCGCGTTCTAAGCGATTTTCAGATTGCCCAATGTTTTTAACTAAACACCACCAAGCATATAGTGTAGCCTAGAAAAGCACTTATTTTTTTTAAATTAATCCACTAAGAAAGAGATCTGGGGGTCCAATGATTTCTTAAACCACAGCCTAAGTTAGACTTCGTTTAAATAACAGACCCATTGTGTTTATTAGAGAGCTTTAGATTCTGAGACGAGGACGACTACGGGTACGCGATTTTCTCAATACTGAGTATTGCTCACGCGTTCACTAGCGTCATTTTTTGGGGGGGGGGGGGGGACGTAATAGCCGTCGTCATTCTACTAAGGGTTTTAGCAAGAATGTCGAAGTGGCGTTAACAAGTCATCAAATGTTAGAAGTTTTATCATTTTGCGATCGGGGAGGGTGTAACCTCCTTCACTAAAGGTAACAGTGCTAACTTTTCTCGTGAAAAATGGTAAAATGAAGCTTTCCGGTGAGTCTATATTTTGAGAATACGCGAAAAAGCTTTAAGTCAAATCTCATACTCGTTGTCGTACTCGTCTTAGAATCTAAAGGTGTCTATTCTCGCTAAAACTCGTAGTAGACTGACGACGGCTACCACATTTTCCCACCAAAATTACGTTGGTTCGCGCGCGTGCACTACCTAGTAGTCTATTGAGAAAATCTCGTTCTTGTAGTGGTACTCGTCTTAGAATCTAAAGCTCTCAAATGACTAGTACCTCTGAAGAACGTAAGAATAATAGTGTCCCCCACTCGCTTGTCCACTGTGAACTAAGATGCCCACCAAGCGAAACTTTGTGCTTTTCACTTCTTTAATCTTCTTGTCCTCCTCAGATACATATTCAATGGTGTCCTCTGTCATTTCGCCTTGAAAAAAAGTTATATTTCAAGATAACAACTTGTAAAAATAAGACCCCGTCGACAAGTATCCGTATATTTTTGAAAACAGAGATTTTAATACTCCGTATTAGACTTCCGAAGGGATAGCAGACATTTCAGACTAATGACTTACCTTGAAGTTTGGCTAATCCAAGTTCTGTAAACGGTTCCATGTCAATGTCACGGGGAAACTCAAAGTAGTCATTGAATTTAACCGCACACTCCCTGAAAGACAAAAGAATGAAGATGGCATTCCTTCATTCAGTGCTTACCTGAGCTGTGCATGTATACCGCTGAATAAATATTTTGTCACGCAACGCCAGAGAGATACAAACTTACAAGCCTCTCGCACCATAAAGCGAAATTTCTTGAATATGCCTCAGTTTTGTTAATGCAGTTTTTCTCCATCGTTACTAATTTCACAAGGTTTCAATACCAACGCAGCCGTATACTTTGAGAGGAATCGCAGCGGCGATTTTAGCCGCGACACAGCGTTGCAACATTGTTGCGACATTGTTTCTAATAGTTACAGAATTGTTCGAACATAGCAACACTGTGCTGGGCTAAAACTCGTCGCTGCGAATAGCCCCGTGTAACATCACCTTGAAAGACTGAATCATGCGTGGTGCGGATACATTCCGAACACTTTGAAGTACCTTTGATGCAGGTTTGGGAGTAAATTAAGAGCTTGCGAGCACAGGACTCTCAAAATTTGTCTCGAGAAAGAAACTAAAGGAGTTAAAAGGTTACCTTTCCCAGTCGTAGTCAAAGCGCTTGAGTTGAATAGCCAACACTCTGGGGAGCTTCTTTATGCACATTCTCTTCACTGTATCAACCTGAAAAAGCAATAAAAATAATACGGAAATATAAAAATAAATGAAAATTACTTAGGGTTAACTTTAGAACAAGGAACATGCTGGAATACAACAGTAAGGTACCTTCTTGTCACACTTTTCACAATGATACGCGTTAGCGCCTTCAAGTAAGTCACCCTTGACAAACTGCTCCAACGAGTCCACTAAGCTGTGATGATTGCGTATGTCCACGTTCAGTGCAATGAATGGAGCCTCGCGGGAATACCTGCATCGGCAAACATCACAAATAATATAATTCAGATTAACCAAGTTTTCGCTGAAGAACGACACAGAAAGCTCCCTCTGAGACGGACGCCTTTGGGGCCGGCAGTAAATATCCGTGTACATAAGGTGTCCGCCTTATAGACAGAGGCTGATTTAGCAACAGAACGGGGACATCAGCTGACGACGGCGCGCACAAATCAAACAACTGGCTTGACTAATGGCAGAAAGGCAAATTGGGCACCGGAAGTCGAGTCTAGTCCTTTCCGCGCGCTTTCCCGTTTTAGTCTAACGGTCAGTTACATGCAGTATAATAAAAGGAAAACTAAAAATACATTACAGGTAAACCGTTAGGTTTCCGAGTTAGATACTAGGTTTGCTCGCTTCTTTCCTCTCCCGTCCTGTTGCGTAAGTTCCCTAGTAATAAAAGACTACTGAAGAACAACAAGGACCAACACTGGGCGCACGTTCAGAGAGAGAGTGGACTGGGTACAATGAAAAAGATGACGTCACCTCACAAGCAATTGTTTGGACTTCATAACTGATGATCGCAAGTTAATTTTGATGACCAGGCAGCAGAAGTGTTGGATCCTTGCTTTCTTGAATTTGCCAATTCGCCACTCGAATCTCCCAATTCGCCACTTAAGAACGAGAAGAGAACTGGATCGAGCTAACTTTCGCAAAGATTTCTGGGGCTGTTACTAGGGACAACGCGTTCCCAGTAACGATCCCAACAAGAATTGCGGGACGCATTTCGGCCCCAGTTCCCCTTTCGTTTCCAAAGTTGAGAATGGGACTTATAAGAGGAAATACGCCAGTGACATAACAATAGAAAGGGTATTCATACCTATGAGGACATCCTTTACAGATCTTCTGATCAGCAAAGCTACCACCCAGTATGTCAGAGAACAGTGGCTTGCTGCTTAACGCCTTTAGGCCTTCGTCTAGGTTGTCAAGCAAGTTGTTGAAAAACTCCAAGGCATCGTGTTGTTCGCGTAAATTTACGGGCTCACCCCAGAGTCTGTCAAAAGGCAAGAACAAAACTTGATTAGCAAATCATTAAGTTCTTAACGCTTCATCGTCAAAAAAGCGAAAAAGATCGTAAAGAATCTATTCCAGTCATTTTCAAATCGTGCCGACCAAGAACTACTGAGCAGTACTTCCCTGTTGTACTGTTTATTGTGCTGTACAAGGTAGTTTTAACTTATGAGTCCGTGGATGGAATCTTGAAATGTTACCATTCAAATGAAAACTACTGGGCAGTAATTTTCCAGTGGTACTGTTTAATGTGCTGTGGAAGGTGGTTCTAAGTGTCTGCGGATCAAATCCTCAAGTGTAACCATTCAAATGAAAGATACTGAGTAGTATTTTTTGTCTTAGGTACAAAGTCACTCTAACGTTGAGTATGTAGATAACATTCTTAAACCCGATTAAGAGATTTTTTTATAACTAAAGCATTGTGAGGCTGTTTGCCTTCCACCATTTTACAAAATCAAATTACGCATAAAACTCACTTGAACGTTTTCCAAAATCCTTGAGGAACGTGGAACTGTAACTGGCTCTGGGCAAGATGTCCAAAGATGAATTGAATCTGATTTAGCACGCTAACTTGATATCTCTTTAACTTCTCTTCTTGGTCTTTTGCCTCGATTTCTTTGTCATTCTCCCTACTGTCCTCAGACTGATACCCAGTGTCGATAGTGTTCTCGCTCTCCGATTTCTCTTCCACATCAACTCCATCTTCGTCTTCTTTTGTTGCAGCTCCGTCCACCTCCAGCACGCCCTCGCGCAGTTCAGGTATCATAAACAACTGGAACGGGGAGTAGAACACTTAACCTTTTCAGTCCCAAGAGTGATCAACATCAACTTTCTCCTCAGAACATCAATACATTATCAAAAGAAAAGGTTATGAGATTTTAAAAAATGATCACCTCAGGGAAAATGCTTTGACCTTTTATCAAATTCTCTCCACTATTTCTTTAACCCTTTCACTACCGAAGTGTTTGATGGAGTTTTGTAAGGTGACTCAAACTTTTGAGTCTACGGATGAAATCCTATGATGTGACCATTCAAATGAAACCTCTCTGCCTGAACTTACTCATGGTCCTATCTGTTTGTCAATATTTCACAAAATGAAATTTGAACATTTGGTCGAATTTGCTTTATTGCTAAATTTGTTAGTGAAAGGATTAAGGAAATCTATGGAGATCAGTTTGGAGAATTTGTATGTGGATATCAGGACTTAAAGGGTTAACAAGGAGAGAGCCAAGGTGGCTGTGAGCCCAAGTATAAAAAGGGCTCTATGGGGTAAGCACAATTATTCGAGTTACCTAGTAGTTTACTTTGGCCCAAAACGTGTTCTTCTCATTGCATTATTCATCTCTTTTGGATGCGAAAACGTTAAAGAGTATTTAAGTAGAAGTGGTACAGGTCCTAGCTCCACTCCTGTTAGGAGACGAGGGATTTTTTTCCGAGTCATTTGTGTCACTGACTGACGAAACATCATCCTCGCTCAGCTATAACCAATTTCGTGGGATTTTTTCGAGTTCCAAAACCCCCCACTTTCAAAATGAGGCCAAGTGCACAACCTTTGACGTGAAAATGAGTTTTATTTGCATGAGAATGAAAAATTATTTCCATACCAAAGGCTGAGCACTTAACCTCGTTTTGATACAGAGGCCCGGGGAAACTCGGAAGTGGACACAATTACCGTATTTATTCGAATAAGCGCCCATTCTCAAGGTCCAAAAATTTAGTAACCGCCCAGTTAATCGAATAAATACGGTACTTGAAAATTATTGAACATGGTTTGATTACACCTTGAAGAATGAACCAATGCCTTTCTTTTGGCCATCTTTTGCCTCACCGAGCATAAATTCAAACGTACTTTACACATTATTGGGAAGATTCTCATGATACTCCCCTCATAACAAAACGTGTTTGCACTTGCCTTAGAGAGCCTTAATATACCTACCTGTTGAATAACTGAGTTCATGTAGCACGTAGCCCCGGCATTCTTGAGTCCCACATATCCTTTATATGGGCGTGGTCCGATAGGGGGAAGATGTTCCCACTCGTTCAAGACGGCATCCTCACCTGACGAGAAGGGAAAAAAGATGAACCATCAAAGCTAGAATAGAGAGTAGATATTGATCTTAGTGAGCTGGTAATAACCAAAGGTTAGGGGGTACGGGCGAGTTTCAGGCCTCTAATCGAAAGTCAAAACGCTCTTGCTCCAGTGCTGATGTTTTGCCTAAGTTGATAGCCGAGCTTAAAACGCGCGTGATCACGGAGAATACAGATTGCGTTCTACGCATTCCATTCATTCTAAAGGTGATGTTACACGGGACGATTCGTAACGACGATTTTTAGCGCAACACAGCGTTGCAATGTTGGAACAGTGTTGCAACCATTTGAAACAATCTCGCAACAATGTTGGAGCGCTGTGAATCGTTCCGTGTAACATCTCCGTAAGTGGAAGTCCAAACATTTTTGGCAACATAAGTGCCAAGTATGCGTAATAGCAACGTGTAGGTTAAGATTGCGGGCTCCTCCTGTCGCCTGCTAATAAACTGTCACAAAAAAGGTGCAGCAATAAATCACAAGACTGAAAAAAAAGTAAACGACTGCCAAAGGACTACGTTTCAAAAATGCTAAAAACTTTACCATTTTAACTTGTTTATCATCAACGTTTAGTTTGTTTATTAATTCAACGCTGAAAAACACTGTGAGAAACTCTCTAACTACAGAGATTATTTACCAGAGTAGTAGAAATCACAAAGAATGTCGGACAAGACTTTAAGGTTTTGAACACATCCTCGACACAGGGCAACCAAGAGATCAAATGCAGCAACAAGTGTTTGCGGGGTGGAACAGATTGGTGTAACTCGCTTACTCCACACTTCATCTGGCAAAATACAAAAATACATACAATATACATGCTTTCGACCAATGGTATCTGAAATGATTTAATTTCCTTGAGGCAGTGAATGTACAGGTCACGTGCCCTTTTATGATCTTCAAATTCCGTGACTTTCCATGACTTTTCCTTGACGTTTTCCACTTTTCTATGAATTAAGATATAGCTGTCACTCTCGATATTTTTCAAAATTCTGCAAAACTATTCTTGTTTTTGTTTTTCGTATTATTATTTTTTTTTTACCTAAATAAGTTCAACAGACAAACTCTGGTGTCCACCATAACGTGCGCCGTTCGTACTACGATACGTAAATTGCATTTCTTTAAAATTACATGTCCTTGCTTTGACATTTGCAGTAACTAATCTATCAAACTTCAATTCAATTAATTAATGACTTCCCATAATCGACAATTAAATTCCATGACTTTCCATGCCTGGAAAATGAAATTCTTAAACTTTCTCGACTTTCCAGGTTTTCCATGACCTCTGCGAGCCCTGAAAGCCCCCGATGTATGATCGAAATAATTACCTACAACTTAAAGCAATTGTGGTGTTCTTTTGAACTATTGGTGTGATTTCCCTCCCCAATAATACTTGAACGAATAAACATAAACAACATTAACACCAGTAGGTTGGAATTATTGAACTCGTTTTGTGGTCTTTGAACTATTACTTAATCGCTACTATATTCACGTTTTTCTCGCTTTCCAAATTACATTCAAAAGTAAAAAAAAAAAACATGGAGGTACACCACACAAAGAAAAATTCTTTCCTTTTATAATTTGAACAACATGAAAACTTTTTAACGGGCCGCACGTACCACTGCCGTTCCTGGCTTCAACAATAAGTTTGGAAGCAGGAAAAACAAAATCCTCCACAAGATCCTGAAAAAAAATTACAAAACACTGGTATTACTTTAAGCTCAACATCAGCGCCAAGTAAACAAGATAATATTTTTTACTTCTCCCAAAGACAATTTTTCATATGTACAAATCACAAATCATGTCCATGGTTGCTCATTTAAAAGAAACCTCTTTAACTTGGGCATTACTCTTGCATGATGCCATTTGTTTTTCCACATTGTTTAATCGGTGAAGAAGATAAAGTTGATTCGTTTAGTGTGATTCACAAAGCAGTCTCTAAACTGGTAAGAGACCGTTAGATTCGAGGAAGAGGACCAGATTTATAAAACTTGACGTTTTTTTCACCTATTCTCTATAAATATATATCATGGAAAGCTTCATTGTAGTTTTTGCATTGCTATTTTTGTTGAAGGAGGTTAAGCCATCTTCCGATCACAAAAGAAAAAACTTGTTTCCGCCACTACGACGTTTTAGCTAATCCCGGGGTAGAATGACAACGGCTACTGCGTTTTCTCGCCAAAATGAGCTTACGCAACAGGACGGGAGAGGAAAGACGACGCCAAAACCTTGTGTGACAAGCGTGACATTATATATATTTTTATTTTCCGCCAAACTTCACCTTCCTATTGATAGATCTTTACTATAAAGACAGGAACATAGTAATGTTAAGTGAAGATCGCGACAAAAAACGCAAGTTATCTCCCTGCCACGTTTGTTAAACACAAACGTTTTGCCGTCCTCTTCTTCCTACTGCGAAAACTCACTAATAGGGAACTTAAGCACCAGACGTTCTTGATTCACGAACGGCATGGCTGGCCGCGCAGAACTGGATCGGGGAAGCGGTTTGCGTACCAAAAGCATATCATTAAGCAAAACAACGTGAAACCGTCACGAACGCCGACAGAATAATTCAGTTAAAAATGCCTTTCAAAGATTTGCGTTAAGTTTTGTTTCTTTCTTACGAAGAAAACATGATTTCAGACGAAGAACTTCTACTTTTGTATGACGAATACTCTTCGAAGAACCCAGAATTTGAACCTCTGGTTTCAACCTGAGAACTCGCGTCCGTTCCGCAGCTCAAGAATGTCTTGACATGCGCAGTGGCTGTCATGCTGCAAAAATACTTCCGGTTGGTGTCCGTGGTACTAAGAACGTCTGGTGCTTAGTTCCCTAATGACGCTGGTTCAGGCGTGCGCCTTATTTAGTATTAAGAAAATCTCGTCCTCGTCTTAGAATCAATAGGTCTCTATAAATATAGCGAATCAAAACATGAGATGACACTGAAATGAATTAATCATCTCTCAGTGTAAGCAATTGCACCGGCGTAATATTTACCTTAATGAGATTAGAACCATCCTTTTCTGAGCCAATAGCGTACTTCTTCTGAGCAGGCAGGAAGAGAAGAAGTTCTCTAGTAACTCCTAAATGACCCTCCAAAAGAGCGTCATCAACAGGAGAACTTCCTTCCTCGTGGGATAAAACAAGCTCCTGAAAACAATATCATTGCATTAGTACAGACAAAAACATCCGATATCAATAGCTTCCTCCGTAGAATCAACTTTTGGATTGTCCCGGAGACGAGGACTGCGTGACGCACCAAAAAATAAGAAGCTTAAGCGACAACGAAGGCGACCGCTAAAAAAACGCCAGTCAAAAAGTGTGTTCGCCCTGCTATATTACCCATTACAACGGCAATGTCTTTGAGAAAACGTTTCCAAAATCCACTGTCTAAACTGTGATTGGTGCCCGGGGATGTACTTCCTTATATGGCCTAGACGGTGAGGTGCCGCTGGACATGGTATGGTTTTTGACCTGTCTGTCCTTAACAGGACAAATAATTTCGCGCGAGTCTCTCCTGAACAGGGTATATAATTTTGTGAGAGTCTGTCCTAATTATAAACAGGGTATTGCCAGCACGATTGATTTGATTTTCTCGATGAAATCTGACTGTACTCCAAGTATACAAAAGCAATAAATATGAATAAATAAATAAATAAATAAATAAATAAATAAATAAATAAATAAATAAATAAATGTTATACAAGGTTTTAAAACAAGACGGCGTACATTTTGGCCTTTGTCATAAACAGTCCAGGGTTCTCATTAAGTTTTAAAGCAGACAGCTAGGGTGTAAAAGTAGGAAGCTTAGCAATCGAGTATTGTAGGCAATTTCAGGCTTTCATTCCATTTTTTACCCACTTTTCCCAAAAAGTACAGGGCTCAAACCTCAAAGTAGCCGGTTTTTTAGCCGGTTGACGGCACTTAATAATGAGAACCCTGCTGTAACAGGGTAATAAAATTGAGGGTATTGTCCTAAACAGGGTATGCAGTTTAGTTTAACCAGGGTCATTTTGCCAAACCCTAAGTGACTCATTAACCAGGGTCCAGTTTTTCAAACCCTTTGTCCTAACCAGGGTGAAACCTCATCATCAATACCCAAATATTGGACGAGTACCAACCCTCCCCTCCCCCCCCGAGGGGATTGTTGTATGTAGTCAGTTTAGGATTTCTTTGTCCTAACCAGGGTCAGTTTTTCAAACCCTAAGTGACTCATCAATACCCAAATATTGAACGAGTATCAACCCTCCCCTCCCCCCACCCCCGAGGGGATTGTTGTATGTAGTCATTTAGTTGTCCCATGGGTCAGTTTTCAAACCCTTTAATACCCAAATATTGGACGAGTTCTTTGTCCCCACCCCCAGCGTCAGTTTTTTGTCAAACCCAGTTTTTCAAACCCTAAGTGACTCATCAATACCCAAATATTGGACAAATTGTTGTATTGGACGTCCTAACCAAACCCCAAGTGACTCATCCCTCCCCTCCCACCCCAGAGGGGATTGTTGCTGATCCGCCAATGGGCCCCTAAATACAGCTTGGGGGAGAACACGTGACGAAGCCCTCAGAACGCCTGCACGGAAGGCTGCCTTAAGTGCGACCCACCTTTGTCTTTTTCAGCCATCCAATTTCAGTATTAAGCATTCTTTCTACCGTGGGTAACGGACAATGCGTCATGTAAGCGTGAGCTAATAACCTGTATAAAAAGAAGCCCATACGGTGAGCCTGAAACTCTCAAAGTGCCAAAGATGAAAGAAAAAAAAAACAAAAAAACAATCACATACTTAATTTTTACAAAGTACTTTTACAAGCTAATAGTATCATTCGAGAGGAGAGCTTTCAACGGTAACACCACAGGAGTTCATCTACAGAATCAAAAGTTAAAACTGATCACTTCACATTAAATAAATAGTAACGTGAACGTACTGCTAAAAAGGTTTAGTTTGAATACTTACACTACAGAATCAAAAGTAGAAACTACAGGTACTAAATAAATAGGACCATGTAAAATTATCGCTGAAGAGATTCCATTTGAATAGCCTCATTACAACAAGAGTAACACATGCAACAAACAGCAAAGATTGATTTTTGAAGTAAAGCTTGTTAATGCGGCAGAAATGAGAACTGATGGGGTTAGTAGTGTCTCTCAGTGTCATCAACACCATTCCTTTTCGGACCTACTCGAAGAGAGGAAACTGGGACTCCATATTCAACTTTTTTAACACTGTAATATGATCACTCATGAGGGGGATTTACTGAAAATGCACTTCCCGAATCACCGAAGATGAATGTGATAATTATAATTCTTGGTTGACAAGGCGGCCATGTTGGCGGTCAATAAAACAGAATTTAATTTTTCTCGAAGCATGTACTTGAAAATAGAGTATAGTTCCCAGCGAAGTGAAATGCTTTTGTTCTTCACCACCAATATGGCCGCCGTGACGTCACGTGCTAACCAGAAATACTGCATGTAACTCACTTGCAAAATAAGCTGAAGTACTCGTAGGAGGAACCAGCGTGATCCTTTATGGAGTCCTGCAAAAAAAAAAAAAAGTATGAGTAATTAATACAACAACACGCCACAACCACCTTTGGACCTGCTTTAAGTTTGTACACCACGTGTGTACTGGAAAACAAGTCAGGAAGACTATAGTTCATAAGCCCCTGACGTTGTTTTTTTCTTGGCTTCCTTGTTATTACCACTTTGATCATTTGTAATATAATTTGTTCAGAATAGCCTATCGTCTTTAACATATTAAAAATTTCTTGTGTATTGTAGATGTATTTTTATGTGGTGAATGAATGAATGATTGATTGAAGGAAGGAAGGAAGGAAGGAAGGAAGGAAGGAAGGAAGGAAGGAAGGAAGGAAGGAAGGAAGGAAGGAAGGAAGGAAGGAAGGAAGAAGGATTGAAGGAAGGAAGGAAGGAAGGAAGGAAGGAAGAGAAGGAAGGAAGGAAGGAAGGAAGGAAGGAAGGAAGGAAGGAAGGAAGGAAGGAAGGAAGGAAGGAAGGAAGGAAGGAAGGAAGGAAGGAAGGAAGGAAGGAAGGAAGGAAGGAAGGAAGGAAGGAAGGAAGGAAGGAAGGAAGGAAGGAACATCAGCCACAAGGCCTTGGGCTTCTACTAAAGCTGCCAGTGGCTAACACGCCACTTCCACCTTTCCATTTGCCCCTCAAAATTTGGCATAAGCATTGATTTCAGTCTCTCTTAGGACGGCCGTAATACCCAGGAGAAATGAAAAGCAAAGGTTATGCAAAATTTGGGGGGGCAAATAAGGTCCATTATGGGAAATGTGGAAGTGGCGTATATGAAAATTGGAGGAAAAACTCTTGAATTTCATTTAGTGAAATACAGAAAAACGAGTAGTGCCATGCAAAAGTACTGTTGACGAGGCTTCAAACACCATCTAACTCTAATGGATAGATGTGATGAAGTTGAAGGGAAAACTCGGTCACGTGGTACAAATTGATTTTTGAAGTCAGTAGAGGGTTTAAGCTTCGCGTATACGGTAAACGTTAGATTCAAGTTGAGAATTTCTCAGAACAGAAAATGAGCAGATAAAAACAGCTCAAAACAATTCTTCTGGATAAAACATTGCGTGAAACTACGTATTTAGGTGTAGATATAATGAACGGTAAACGACAAGTAAAGAGGGCCGCGTGGTAAAAATTCGCGTTTGACGTTAACCTCTCTAGTTACTGACCAAAAACGTGATTCTATTTTAAATCAGTATCTGTAATATTTTGTTAAATTGTTGTCGAACTGAAACAAGCCCCAACTGCATATTCCAGAAACTTACCAGAAGCACAGTGAAAAGAAGTGTAATAAAAAAGATAAGAGGTCTATGGCCTTGGGAACATCTTGTAGCCACAAGGAAGAACTGGTCTGCTGTGCTGAATCGAATTGCCCTTAAGAGAAGAAAAGAAAAGTACAGACGACTCAAATTTTGTCAATATAACATTCCGTTCTGTTACTATCAGTTTAGGACTTAAAGGAGCAGTGTCACGAAACACAGCAAATACAAAAGGAAACACGGATGGACAAACTTAAAGACGATTGAAACGGATTGAAATTGTACTTTTTGAAAACTTGTTAGCCTCGCAAACAGTTTTCCAAAGTTCATTTTGTTTTACCGAGCTTAAAATTTACCATCTTTCATTTCTTTCACCACACAGTGCGACATCGACATTGCTGATCCTTACAGTATGCGGGACGCGTGTCAAATATGAACCCAGTATATGGTCCCGCTCTCCATGAGTTCTCCGTAGTCAACCCTCCAAGTTGCGACCATTTTAGTCTCCATGGCGCCTAAAATTTTGCAGCTGGCGACTTGATTTGTAAAAAAGTCTCCCTAAACCGAAAGAGTTGGTTGCCAAATGGTGACCGAGCAAAAACTTTAACCTGGAGGGTTGCGTAGCTCAAGTGGATAGAGCGCCCGCGCGGTGTTTGAGAGGTCATAGGTTCGAATCCTGTCGGGGACTCAGATTTTTCCTTTGTCCCACGCTCGTGAATGATGTCAGTGACATGCTGATTTTTTCATTTTCACATTCATTTTTGATGTTTGTAATGTTTGGTAAAATGCACGGGAGACATTTGTTTGGAATGAAGCCCTGAGTTTGTTATTCATAAGGGTCCCAGCACTTTTGAACTCCATTGTAGGCAACGTGTTACAAGCACAAGCAATCTGTTGTGGGGATCGGTCACAGAGACAGATACCCTCCAGTGGCATATCCAGCTGTACATACGAAACAGCTGTCGTGGGTATAACATTTGGCTGAGCCAACGAATCGCGGTACTCGAGCACTCAATATGGTGTGATTTTGTCCAATCAGACCCACATCTTAGCTATGCAACGTGTGTATTGTTAAGAGTGATTTATCGTCACTACAAAATCAAAACAAACTGAAAGGATTGAGATTTCCTTTCGTGATAATATGCAATACCAGCAGGCATGAGGAAGTTTTCCCCTTTAAATTGTCAATACATCAAGTGCACTGCTGTGAATGGACCTTCACGGATACTAGCCGGCAAGTAAGCTCTCCATTTCGGCGAGCCGCGCGAGAATGTGCGAGAGAGGCCGCTCTCTCACGCCTCCTCTCGCGTGTCGCTGGTTTACTTCTCATGATGTTCCCCAAATGGATAGCTTGCTCGGAGCCTAAAAAGATACAACTACGTGTGGTGTCTCAATAACTTAGGACCTGTTTAAAAAGAGATGGAGGACCCCAGTTAGGTGAGGTAACCCGCTAAGTTAGTGTGACCAGCCTGGCCATATAATCTCTCATATGGTCACGCCGCCTATCATGTAAACGTGACCAAATTAAAATGAGAGATTACATGGATAGGCGGGTTGCCCCACCCAAGCGGGTTACCTCACCCACCTGGGGTCCCCCACCTCCAAGGAAACAGGCCCGAAGTCTAGCAGTGTGGGGTTAAGTATATCGTGGTTGTCAAAACTGTTATAGAGTATTCTTGACTGATCATAGTACCTGCTCTGACACAAGATGAGAAGATCAATAATAAAACACTGCCACGACTTGTCTTTGGTAAGAGCTTCCAAAGCATTGGGACGAAGCGCTAGGCACACACTCAGCACCTAAAATATGACAACCGTCAATCTAGTTAGCAATCAAACAAAACTCCACCCGTTATTTAACTCAAACGAGAACCTAAGCAAGGCCGTTTATGAGCGACGCAAGTAAGTGGGCTATTCTTGTATTCTTGGGCGGTGGTTTTGCCCAAATGTTTGGGTATATCGTCTCTATTAGAGCAAAGACACTCAAGGTGATGTTACACGGGACGATTCGCAACGACGATTTTTAGCGCAACACAGCGCTGCAATGTTGGAACAATGTTGTAACCATTCGAAACAATGTCGGAACAATGTTGTAACCATTCGAAACAATGTCGCACGCTGTGTTGCGCTAAATTCGTTGTTGCGAGTCGTCTCCTGTGACATCAGCTTTAGCAATACAAATTTTGGTAGCGTCAAGGCATATTAAAAGGACTCACTTCCGGACTCACTTCCGGGGAAAAGGACTCACTTCCGGTTGGCGAACGTCGCCCAAAACGCGCGGTATGCTTAAGCTCTCTATTCAAGCACAGAATCTACAAAGAAGGCGTCGCGGTATATACCTGAGTAACCGCCTAAGCAAACTTAAGTTCTTTGCAAGATACATTTCAGGAAATGTCAGCCATTAAAACACAGCAGAATTGACAGGTGACATTAATCATTGAAACAGTGATAGCCCTTGCACAATTTCGAGGTTTCAAGGTCTTGTTCACACGAACCCGTTAAACTTTGTAAACGTACAAACTTATAGCGACTTATAGCTTATAATTAGCGACCGGATAAAAGAGGAATTAAAGACTACACAGTCTTTAAAATAATTTTTTTTGATGTCTTAAAGTAGGTAAGGCAGGGTGGGATAAAACGAAAAGAAAAAGTATAACAAATACAGTCAAAGTGATAGCCGACATTGCCAAACTTACTTCCAGAGCTTCCCTTGCTACTTGGACGTCATCATTTTGGAGGCCTTTCGGGTTAGGCTGTTTATAAATGAAAAGAAAAAAGCTGGTTATCATTCAAAAGTAAATAGGTAACCGGTCATCTCGCCACCAACAAAGTTTCTACCAAGAAGTAGACTCACCGCCAACCAACTCACCACCAAGTAATAACTCTGTAATCAAATTCGAATTAGCTTGGCGAAGAAGTAGAAATTCTAGGTAAGTAATCCTAGGTGAGTAAACACGTCGATTAATGCAGAGTCATTACTTGGTGGCATGTTGGTTGGCGGCGAATCAACCGTAAACCGTCTTATAAATGCCCCCCATGACAATTACTCCAAACCACTAGGAATTAGCAAAACGAAGCAAAATCATTCAATTTATTCAGTATCTCGCTTTATCAACAAGGTTTTGCGCATTGTATCTTGTTCCCCTGTAAGTTCAAAGTAAGGATGGACTAACGATGACAACAAAATAACCCTGAGCGAGGATTCTGAGCGAATATGGATCTCGAGACGGCCTGGATGTATCAATTGATGGACTGGATATTCCGCTATTTATAAACACCCTTGATATTTCCGCCAAAAGCACATTAGTGTTGTTGAGCTTGTTAAAATTACGAGAATAAACGCCCCTCTCTTTTAAATGCCTCCTATCTTCTAAACGCCACCTCCTGGAGCCTTAAAAAACCGTTTAATGATCTCATAGACGCCCGCGGCTTTTATTTAATTTTGTATTTAATGGATAGGAGACGTTTAATTGAGAGAAGTGTTTATTTTGATTTGTTACAATCTATGAAGAGAGTTTATAAAGAAGGTGATATCCAGTCTAGACGGATAGAGATCCCACATCTCAATTTCGATGTCAGAATTCTTTCTCAGGGTCATTGTGTTGTCATCGTTACTCTATCGCTAATTTGAACTAGATATTAACGGAACAAAGCGAAATGTGCGAACCCGAATGATTTTGCTCCTTTTAGTTGATTCTTAGTATTTCCGTGTAACTGTGACAGGGGGCGTCAATTAGACAAGGGCCTTTTTTTGAGAGGGGCGTCTAAGGCAAGATTAGGGAGCTTAAGCAACGACGAAGGCGACGTTAACGAGAGCGGCAACAAAGCAATTGGTTTAGATTAGAAAAACAACAACTTTGCACGTGCATCACGCTTGTTTGTACATATCTTTGCCGTCACTGCACGACTACGACGTGAAAATGCTTACTTTCACATTTTGTGGAAGACGCGAGCACAAGAAAGACCTCCTTTTTCTTTCTTTTAGAATTCAACTCCAGAAAAATTGCCAACATTTGCCGAATTGAGCGAGATGAAATAAGCGTGATAAATTTTGATGCAGCGCGACTTCACTTTTCAAGTGATTTTTTCGTACCCGCCGCCGTCTTGCTTAAGCTCCCTAATAAATGCCCCCTCTACGATGTTATTGTCAGACAAGAGGCGTTTATTTGAGAGGGCGCCTGTTACACGGTAAGTCGGTATGAACAGTTCTGTGTTACCTTTTCATAAGCTTTGTGGATCTCTTCGTTTGAAGACTGCATTAAGTGCAACATGCCAACTCCAGCCGCCCAGGATAACCGCTGTATTGACTTAATGGCAGCTAGTTCAGGTAGAGGACCTGCGACCTAAAAAATTAGAAAATGCAACAAATTTGCCACCTTTAGAATTTCTCAATAACAATGTTTTGGGGTTTTGACTAAAACCTTCACAAAGTGAACACAGTAGAGCAGAAGTTCGACAGATTTAAAAAAGTCTTTGCCATTCAACTACATAAAAAGAGGGTTTAAAAAGACATACTGTAAGGGGTCTTTTTATTCCCAGGGATAACCCCGGGTGGTACTCCCTATAATATAGGGGGAGGTTCCGCTTGATAGGGGTGCCTTTTACAGGCGTCAGGTATAGCAAGGTTTAGAGATTTCACTAGTAAAGGTATACAGATGGGTACGGTAATCTTTCATTTCCGTCTGTAAAAATACCTTAAAAGGGCTAACAGAAGAATTTAAAGCTGAGAAAAAGTCGAGAAAATTTCCTGGTTTTGTGTTATTTTCATATTTTAATTGCAGTGCATTCACATAAGTTAAAAGGGTTAGGGCTTTCGTAACTAGGTATGTAAAAGGTGTACCAACTGTCAATAGAAGGTATAAAAAAGGGGAACCTTTTCTGTCGAAATGGTTTGTAAAAGGGTAAGGGGTTGGACCGCGTGGCGGAGCCTACCCTGATAAAACTTTGTTGAGTACCCCCCGGAAAATTGACGAAAGCTATCAAATGCAATTGAGAAATACTCAGAAACAAATGGCAACTTTTCAAAGTACCACTGACGAGAATTCATTTAAGTGGTCACACCATAGGATTCCGGGGGAGGCATTCCCGTACTTTTCCTAAACTGGTATGTGCCGCCCAACAGGGTGGGGTTTCAGGGTCTTGAGTCTTAACAGGTATACAATTACACTAGCGTGCTGAACATGTACATGTACCACCACAGGATATCGTCCTTAGACTCAATAGGCATAATAAATAAATGGTATCACGAGAAAGTACTACTGAAGAGGTTTCTTTTGAATGGTAACACCACAGGATTTCATCAGTTGACTCAAAAGATACAACTTCGTAATAAATAAATAGCATCACGTGAAAGTGCTGCTGAAGAGGCTTCATTTGAATAGTCACACTACAGAATTTAATCCAAAGTCACGAGCCAATCAAATGCCCCCTCTTACATGTATACTTACTAAGTTACTCAAATGTCCTGCAAGTCTAACAGCCATATTTCTTAACATACACTCAGTGGCGGGGTTTGGAATGTACTGCAAAGCTTGCTGTAAAATCACGGCGGCATTATGGGCACTAGCAGAAACGGGAGGTGGGGTGCATGTGGGGTCTGATGGCTGAATAGCTTCTGCAACAACGGTCACCTGTGCATAGCCTACTACGGTCAGCAACAACTTGGACATTTTAAGAAGTGTGTAGTATGCAGCTCTGTAAAAAATAATAGCATATTATATGTAAAAGTTTGGCTGGATGTAATTGAGGCATTGAATTAGTCTCGAACCTCAATTAAACAAATAGACAACATTTTTCAATGATCTTTTCTCTTATCGACCATAGAAAATGTTCAAAACTCAAGTAGAACCACGAACCGCAGATGAGTGGTTTCACTGCAAAGTAAACTCGAACTTGAATGATCTCCCCAAACTTTCAACTCTTGAAAAATTAACCTGCATTTGACTGAGGAGTTCAAATAATCGCGATAAAGTTTAAGCGAATGTAAGCGCTTTTAAAAGTGACGCGTTCGCTACAGTCGGCGTCGTAGTCATTTAAACTCCCTTTAGAGTTGAAGGGGGCAGTCCAAGGTCCTTCATCGAGCTTCTCTCTGTATTTCTTTATTTCCAAGCCACTTACCCGGGCGGCACATTTTTTCAAGGGATTTCTCTAGGTCGGCAACTGATAAATAGTGCCTCGCTCTGAAGTTTGTCCCATCACTAAAAACCTTGCAAATGAAAGGATACAACGAAAACGAGGGTTTTAATTATATTAACAGCTCAGTTGGCACCTTCCTACCTTTTAGTTAAAACATCAGCATGTTCAAGGAAATCTGTTCTTGTCAACATGTTAAGCGCACACTGGATACCACCACATTTTAAGAAGTGAACCTGCAATATACAGAATTGAGATATATTTTCACCTCCTTTTTTTCAGTTGTAGCCAAGGGGTTCTCTGTGTAGCTCCTTTTCCAATTGCTAAAAACGTCTGGTAACTACCAAACTGGTAGTCTGAGAAAACGGCCAAAATTTCGCGAGGCCAGCATCGGTTTCGGCGCGAAATGACGTCCCAGAAAAGGGCACAGAAATTCCATATTGATGGCGCGTCGGTGGGTAGTGCTTCTGATTGGTCTTGAAGCGAGGGAAATTTTCTTCAGCCAATCAAAAGCACAAGCCAGATCTGAGTAATGAAACGTCACCAGTATGGAATTTCAGCAGTCGTTCCTCAGACGTCATTTTGGGGGGATACCAGTGGTGCATTGCGAAATGTCGGCTGCTTCCTAAGGCTAATAAACTGGCCCCGGTCGTTCAAACGTTGGATAGCGCTATCCACCGGATAAATCACTATCCAGCGCATAAGTATTACGGAAATCAATTACGCTATCTGCTGGATAGTGATTTATCCGGTGGATAGCGCTATCCGACGTTAGAACAACCGGGGCCTGGTGGTCTTAGTAAGCATTTCGAAGGACTATTTATTGTCCCCTAGCCACTTCCTCTCACCATACTTGAGCAACAAAACCAATGTTATTACTGATGTTGTTGTTGATAACAACTTTCTAAGATATTTTACTGTTTTAATGAGCACCGCAGAGGTTATTAAATGAAGTTATGACATTTAGAAAAGAGGAGACTGCATGATAAAATGACATTAAACAAAAATTAACATATCATTTTTTTTTTCAATAAAAACGCAATGTAGCTGCTCCGTTCAATAAATTATAATCCTACACAGGAATAAATTTCCACAGCTGGGTTTCAAGAGCGAAACACGATGGTCAGCCAGACCATCAAGAAGACGGACAGACGACTCACAAAGAACAAAGATTAGGATATACACATATTCCAAACCTACTTGAAATTCTAAAGTTTGGTGATCTTGCGCTGGTAAGGAGGCAGGCATAAGAAGAGAATAGACAATCTGAAAGATAACAAAAAAAAATTACGTCACTGGTATAATACTCCTCCGTTTTGCTTTATTTTGTTTTACAAAATTATTAAATTGAGGTGAAGACTTAACTTTTTTCTCTACTAACTTCCGGCACAACCATCTCTTAAAACTATACCCAAGATAACGCAGAAAAATAAAACAAATTGGAAAAATTTTGACTCCGCTTAAAAGAATCTGACGCGATGAACCGAACAGATATCCTCAGTTCTCTGATAATAACTGGCAGGCAGGTAGACAGACAGACGGAAGGACCGACGGACGGGCGGACAGACAGACAAGACATATAGACAGACAGACAAGGCAAGTATGCAGGTGCAGTCACAAAACAGACACACTAACAAAGCTACCTAGCCATACACAGCCACCAATAAGGTTCTTACCTCTAGGTTATAAAGAACTTGAGTGGAAGAGGGAATGAAAAACATGGCATCTAGTGACGGAGATGAGGTCTTTGAGAAGTTTTCGGAACAAGCTCGACAAACATTCTTGATATTTCCTACTGTTTCGGTGTCTGAAAAAAAAAAAAGAACATAGACAAAATATGTATGGCAAGTACTACAATAGGATTCCGCCACAGCTAATCAGAGGCTCCCATCCCAGCCAACATCCAGTCAGTCGCAACCACAGCGCTCGAGGGAACACAAACCAAATACATAAAAACAAAATTTGGTAAAAAAAAAAGGTTGATATTAGAAGAAAACTAATTATTCACCTGTAGTCCGTTGTTTGTTTCGTTTACAAGAGTATAATAACCAGATACAGTAAATAATGGTAAAGATGAAAGAGATTTACCTGAAGGGATGAGGTTTAGTAGCTGTTGTACTCTATCTCTTAGATCAGGAACATCGTGGACAATTCCTTGATCCGCAAGATTAATCAGGTACTGCATAAAGCTATGGCGTTTTGACAACATCTAAAAAACAAAAAACAAAACAGTTCTGATTCAGTAAAAACACGAAGCTCTTCATCATATGATGCAATAGACCAATTCCTATATATCAAAATACATACTTGGCTACCAGGCTTGGGGGAATAAAACAAAAGAAATGTATTAATCACTACTGAGCCTCACGATGACTTCTTTTGTTTTATTCCCCCAAGCCTCGCAGCCAAGTATGAATTTTAACATATCGGACACTAGTATGGTGTACTTGTGAGGTGGTTCTAACCTTTGAGTCTGCAGATAAAATTTTACAGTCTGGCCATTCAAATGAAACCTCTTCAGCAGTAATTTCTGTTTCATGTTGTACTGTTTATTTAGTACGAACTTCTAACTTGTGAGTCTGTGGATGAAATCCTATGGTGTATATACAATTCAAATAAAACCTCTTCAGCAGTACTTTCACATGGTACTATTTATTTAGTATGTAGTTCTAACTTTTGAGTCTGTGGATGAAATCCTATGGTGTTACCATTCAAATGAAACCATTTTGGCAATACAAACACATGGTCCTGTTTGTTTATCAGTATTTTTAAAATGAAACCTGTTTGTTTATCAGTATTTTTAAAATGAAATTTGGACATTTTGTCATTTCGGAGTGAAAGGGTAATACCGGAACTATTTATTCACTTTGTAACCTACCACTCCTGGCAAGCAGTTCTCAGCTTCCAGGTTTGGCCCATCTAGTGCAGCTGGAGTGGATCCACCAGATGAATCAGACGAGGAATCTGGCGAGGACGGCATGGAACTGTTGAGTGTTCCAATTTTGGCTGTTATTAACTACAAGAAAAAACAACAAGCACACAAGGTCATGAAATAAGAAAGATGTTTTTCTCAGCAAGCCTACCTCTGTTACCATGCCAGTTTATAGATATCGCGAGAGAGTGGCTCGCAGGGTAAAGCATTGTGCAATGAAAAATGTACGATGTCCGTAATGAGGAATCGAAAAAAATAAGAAAATGTATCATGCAATGAGAACTTTAATAACTGGTAGATCACGGCTAATTTTTGCTGCCTCAATCATGATTTTCTTAATCAAAATGATCTAAAATCCATCGCTTTGCCAACCTTAGACCTCCCGCTAAGCTCACATTTTCCAAATTGGCGTCTGACAAGGCGCAATGGAGCAGGTATACAGTTACATATCAGGTACCCAAGGTGTGAACGCAACATCATTCTGTGCCAGTACCCTGGCACTGGTGCTCAAGCACCTAGTGTGAACAGAGCCTAAGTTATAGTTTCATAATTTCGATACTTACCGTTCTGTCTCGAAGTGGTACTTGTGAAATAAGTCTCTTATCATCAGATGGGGATAAAATCTCTCCATTGACGTAAAGGTCAAGTCTCGCTGCCTGCAGAGAGCCCTTCACCCTTTTGTTACAACGTTGAAAGATAAGGATTAGGATCAGGATAAGGATTAGGATTATACAGTATAATGATCCCTTACTTGTTACTATCCTCTCGCGAGACCCAAACCGCGCCGCGCGCTACGCGATTCCCGTAACGCGGGACGACCAAAAAACTGTGAGTATCATGGCTAAATTTCGACAATCCATGGTAAAGCTTTACGGTGACTAAACACAGGAACAACTTTTTTTACCTCCACGACCTGTAGACTGTTGAGAATAATTCACTTTGTGAAACCTCGACGACATCGGCGTGTATCGATAATAACTTCAAAAATAAAATAAGCAGATTTACAAATGATAACGCGGCGAAAAAGGAGAACACGAAAGCGCGCGGGAAGGACTGGACGCTACTGACGCTTAATTGTCCTCTCTGTCATTGCATTGGTCAAGCTGGTTTTTAGATCTGCGCGCGCCATCGTCACTGCTGAGGGAAAAGAAAGACTACTCGCAGTCTGTGACATCATAATATTCGCACGTACCTGCTTAAAATCTGTCTTCTAACAGATGCTATTGACTCGTTTGCGTGAGACCAAATTTCAAAGTCATCTCCCTGGCGACCATGTGAGGGAAATCTGACAATGAGTGACACATGCTGACCACGACATGATCTAAAGAAAAATATCAAGTCTTGTAATAGATTATTAAAGTAAATTATTACTCGTTCAAAATATTTCTCCCTTTCTGATTGGCTAAATTCCAACGCATAATTCATCAAAACCAGCTATAGTCGACCAAATTTGGAAGAATTTTGCGATATGTGAAAAATGACGTCAAGTGTGCCGCAAAATTGCCGGATATTGAACGGTCAACCAAGAAGACCTGGGGACAAGGTTGAGTTGTTTGGTAGTGCGTACAATAGCGGGCTACCAGTACGAGATTTTCTCAATACTTAGTATTGCGCGCGCGTGAGTCACCGTTATTTTGGCGGGAAAACGTGAAAGTCATCGTCATTCTACTACGCGTTTTAGCAGGAACGTTGTAGTGGCGCCATTAAATTATCAAACGTTATCATTTTGCGATCGGGAGAGGGTTTAACCTCCTTGCATAAAGATAACAGTGCTAACTTTTCTAGTGTAAAAAAAGTACAAGGAACCATTCAAACTTTTGAATCAAATCTCGTACTCGTAATCGTTCTCGTCCTCGAATCTTATGGTCTCTATCGTACCCCCTAACAGTCTGCAGTTTTACAGTTTTCATCTATCTTTATTCCAGTTTCGCAGTAGCCTTCCCGCAGACGTCCTTTGGGGTTCGTTCGTCACGCATTCATTTATCCCCCGGGGGGAGAAATGAATGTGTGACGAACGAACCCCACGAGAGTCAGACGTCTGCGGGGAGAATAGTTTCGCAGTTTCCTTTCAGTTTCCTTGACATTTTTGGCAAGTCTGTGTTATTTAATCGGCTCTAAAGTCTCACAGGAGATGTGTCACGGCGGTAACCGGTCATTTCGCCCCGTTTACTTCGCCCCATATTTCCGAGTCATTTAGCGCCCTTCAAATGTAATATTCCTCGTTCTATAAGCCATAACGCAAAACAAGCGCGCTTCAAATATAATATTCCTCGTTCTAGAATTGGGGTTTAAGTAACCGGGGCGAAATGACTTGGGGGCGAGATTACCGGTAACTGGCACGACTGTCTAGTTCATTTTGTTAATAATGCCAAGTACGCGGTCTTATTTGCTATGGAACCTAAGAAATTTCAAGTAAACGACAAAATCACAGCTTCTTATCAAACAAATGTCTCCCAAGAATTATTTCAATGTTACAAACAAATAAAATGAACTTTTCTGTAAAAAAACTGTTAAACTAACAAGTTTTTACGAACACAATAGCAATCCGTTTCAATGTTCTTGAAATTTATCCATCCATAGCTCCTTTGTGTATTTGCTCTGATCTTCATACTTTCTTCTATTATTTGGAACGGTTATTTTTATGTTTCCATCAATCTGGTGGCAATTAAAACTGCTTGAATTTTTTAAATTAATTTCTTGACACAGATTCTTTAACAACAAGCGTTACACTTACCTTCCGTGAGGAAGAATAGCTCTTTCCTCCGCATGTTCATCATCACATTCGCCCACATACTCCCTGAGGACTGTCAAGCATCGCACTGTTTTCTTAGCCTCCTGTTGAAGCTTTTCTCTGGGTAACTCTGACTTCTTGTCTATAGTTGCATTCTCTGTACTCTTATTGACTGAAATTAAGTCTGCGGACTGACGAATTTGATTGGTGCAGTTCATGATAAACTTATCATGGATTTCAACCTATGAGAAACATGAAACAATCGGTTGACTAACTGTTACAACAGGCAATTACCCAACAATAACAAACTAATGTGCGCCATTAAATTTTTATGCAAGTTCATCGGATAGCTCTTGCGCATGCACGAAAACCATTCCGGATAGGGTTTCTTGTCACACATATGAACGGTGATTTCGGTGCGATTTCTGTAACGGAGCAAAGCTGCGCCACGCCGATCTTGAAAATGGAGCATCACATATCGGATAGGTTCTGTGCCACACTTCGGTGCAATGTGAACAGGTATTCGGTCTGTAGCGGAAGTGAATAAGTAGGAGCGAGAACTGGGAGCCACTGAGACGGAAGTAAATGTTCAGGAGTGAGGAAAGGAATTTAATTCATCAAACCCTCACGGCCAACCGATGTTTGACGTTGAATGTGACAGTGTGTGAATGACTTGTGCACGACAATTTCATACAAATCCATGTATTTTGTCAACTCAAGTCCTGACTTGGTGCCTTTGTTCAAAACAATGTAGGAAATGTCTACTTTGTGGATGGGCGAATTTTCTGCGCAAACTAACTTTTGCGACAGTTTACGACTACTTTTTCTAACTGGAAACCACTATGGTGATTTACAGTGAGTTGCATACTGTTACAACCGTTTTGTGTTTATTTGAGTATAACAAGCAACCAAAGTATGGGTGAAACAACATTCATATGTACAATTTGTCATACCTACTAATTCTGAGAGAACCAATCTACGTTATTCTATTACATCTGCACCTGATTCATGCATGTGTTCCAAGATTTTGTGTTCATTTTAGAGTCACTTTTTGTCTTATGATTCATAATAATTTTGAACACGGATTGAAAAAGACATTTTTAAGGTAAATTTTTCCCGAATTTTACTTTTGGGGATTGAGAATAAAACAGCAAAAATTTCAAAAAGGCAGAAACGAAGAAACTTAACAGAGGCAGTGACATACAGCAAAACCTGTTTACTCGACATAGTACAGACGGCTGAGGCTGACGCTAAAGGGGGTAGGGGGCAGATGAATTGTCAACTGCTAAAAACAAATCAGTTTTTCCAAAGAAATTCTGTTTTGTACCCTTCCTAGCCCCTTCAACATAGCATCACCGTTTCTTTAAAAACTACATGTAACGGTGCTTTATGCGAGAGATTTTAAAGATGCACCGGTACACATACCTGACTTGCTCTTAGTTTAGGGCCTAAAGAAGTGAACGTTTCCTTAAGTAGTTCAATAGCTCGACTTGCAATGTCATCTGATCCCTGTAGTACTACCTGAAAATTAGTAATGCAAGGGTTGCAAGTTAAAACAGAATATTGCAATACCCAGTAGATTTTCTGCAGCTTTCAAACACTATTGATAATCAGCATCTAAATTCTCCTTACAATATTGCTAGGTGACAAGACATAACCCTTCAAGTTGCGAGAGTGACCAACACCAATTTTCTCATGACAATGTAACAATATTAGTACAATCAAGAGAAAGAGTTATGAGAAATAACAAAGACAAGAGTGTTCTCTCTACTAATTCTGTTAAACAAATGTCGTGCGTCCGTTCAGTAGTAGATCACAGATAACCTCAAATGTGGTAAAAACAAAAAAGTGGCACATGAGCCGCAGGCGAGTGTGTCACTGATGTCACTGAGGCTTTCACTTGCTTTAATCCGAAAGAATCTCACAAACATTTTCAAAACCACGCGCTATGTTGAACAAAACATGACGTCAACCATGTATCTGTACTCTGATAGATCATGGGCAACAACCAATCACAGCGCACGTAGCATTCAGTCAGTGTGTGAGCATTAATGCCAAAAGGGTTAAAGTTTATGACTAAGTTGAGAGTAAAGGATAACCAAGGCTTAAGTCAAAATGTCATGAAAGGCTACTACTACAAAGTAACATAATATACATTTGTACAGATTTAGCCAGAGCTAAAAGCGAAGCTCCCGTTTATGCATTTTGAATTTACATCAGACAATGGACTTCAAACCATTGCAAAGAAATCCACGAATCTATATCTATATGACTGAAAAACATAAACTTGAGCCTGGGAACAATTAAAAGCCAACAACTGGTCAAAAAACACGTGACCTCGATGAGTTGCCATCCAAGCCCACGATATAGTCATGTAACACTGTTCGGCAGATACCCTGTGCTGACAGCTGTCAATTGACCACAATATGGATGTCTATTATCAAGTTAAACACAGGTTACAGGCTCCCATACTAGCTACAAAGTTTGACATTTCACAATGGATACCCTGTGGTGCGTACGGACGGGCGTACGGTCACGTGATGACCAAAATTTCTCGGATGGATAGGTCAAAAATTTTCTTAGGAATCGGCCTTCACTCATGCTATAAAGGCTATTACTAGTACAAACTCAAGGTTAAGGAGTGCGGGCGACAAAGATTGAAAGGTCAAAACATTTTTGGTCCAACGCTGTGCTTTACATAGATGGTCAAAACCACGTCTGATCAGATTACGAGTGATAGCAAGCCCAAATGAAGCTGGCTATGTACATACCGTGTATTCATTATAGCAACCTGGAGGTTAGGAATGCCGGCTCCTCTTGTCACCCGCAACAAGCAACAGTTAGACAGTCGACTGGCTGCCTGGCTCCACCAGCCCCTATGGTTATTCCACGCAGCAAGTACTCTACGTTTACGTTTAATAGCTGCATTGTGTTAATTTCTTGTTGAACAAGAGAGTGAGTACAAATAAAGATTGCCGTTGTTGCTGTTGAGACTATAGTAGTTACCTGCCACAAGTAATCCACTCCAATTAAATTTAAATCTTCCATTAAGTATGCTCTTCTTTTTGCCACTAGTTTACCCTCCTTGACATTTACTCCTCTGAAAAACCTTTCAAAACACCTGAGGGAGGAAAATAATCTATCAGTCATAAAACAAGAGCTGTACAGTGGAAAGTAAACAATTAACAGACCTTTTGGGGTTATAGGAAAACATGCACCCTCTATAAAGAACTAAGAACCAAAGCTACGACCAAAAGCTAAAACAAAAAACTAAGACCCCCTCTTTTCTTTTGTTAACCAGGGTTCTAGTTTTGACAGGGAAGTCTTAGCTTTGCGTCTCAGTTTTGGGTCTTAAATTTTGCTCTTAAATTCAGTCTTCAATAATGGGTCTTCATCTTATGAGGTGTTTGTTTTCACGACAGGTGGAGAAGTCTGAGAGAGTAACTGCTTTGTTATGAAGCTTACAAGAGTATGGTAAACAAAAAATCTTGCAAATAACAGAGAGTAATAAATGATGATGATGATGATGATGATGATGATGGTGATAATGCGTAGTTCAGTTTTTCTTTAAGGCAGTTATTGTTAGGTGAATTTTCAGAAAGTCTAATCAAAGATTTTTTCAATGAAGGGAGTAAACAAAAGCATTTCTACGTCTCAGTGAATATATGGAGAGCTTATTTAAATAAGCTTCAACAGTGCCATTCTGTACATGTAGTTGCAGGATTGTTTCTGTACCAGAGCTGTCATTAAGGGCCGCAACACACAACAACTGTCATATCTACGCTCACTTAATGTTAAAGGTTATCAAAGTGGAAAGCTAAAGATTAAACCATCAACTTTTTGCGAGATGTTAGGGATGAATTATTATTTGCTATGGCTGCTTCAAAACTTTATGACAGCCCTGTAGATAAGAACAAATAATTTAAGTAGAATTCACCTAAAAAGTGACAAAACTCTCAGGGACAACACAAAATTAATTGTATTACTAACCTTATACCATTTTCTGTTAACAGGGAGGGGTCCAACTTGAGGACATTCCCCTCAAAGAATGATCTGCTGATTTCTGGATCAAGGTCAGGTTCATCCCCCATTAACTAAAAGAAAGTATTACAATGACAACTGAAAATCTGTGGTTACTACTCATACATTTTGGGCCACTGCAGTAAGTGTTAACATATATGGGGCCATGATTACATGATACTACTGCACTAAGTTACTTAATCTTCTTCAGCCCAGCAAGGGAATAACGCCAATCATGGTTTGATTACTGCTTTGAAAAACTCAATTTGTCGTTACCAATAACATTTTCCCTCAAAGTCCTCCTTCTGAAATAATGTGAAAAAAATTGTTTTAATACTGAGTTGCTGGTCACGTTCTCATGTTTTGAAATGTGATCGATCAAAACATGAATAGAGTTTAACTGACAACAGAAAACATTCTGGTGAGGCATAAAGTAGTCCCATTAAGCCAGATCCTAAACACACTCCTGCCTCAACATAAGAGTCAATAGTAACTAGCAACTTTTATTCACAGGAGCTGTACTGTGGTTTAATCTTATCTTTGGTTCAAAATTTCATTTTTTGTTGTTTTGGGATCTGCCAATGCAAAGATAATGATCTTGAATTAAAGGACAACAAAATTTGTACCCATCAAGTATGAACTTTTCTATGGGTACCTGCAGACGTTGGTCTCATCACGCATTTTCCACCCAATTGTCAGTTTTTCAGGTGAAATCATTGCATATCAAGAATTGTTTTGAATGGTAAAGCGACTAATGAAATCAGTGCAACCACGTACAACAACAACAGAAACGAGAAAAGCAAAAAAGCAACAGGTTTAAATTTGGTTAAATGTAATTTAACTAAGTTAACCACCACGAGCTTAGCGGTCAAGCGGTTCACAAGCGTAGCGGTCAAGCAATTCACAAGCATAGCGGTCAAGCGGTTCACAAGCTTAGCAGTTGAGCGGTCCACAAGTTAAGCGGTCTAGCGGTCCACAAGCTTAGCGGTCAAGCGGTCTACAAGCTTAGCGGTCAAGCGGCCCACGAGCGTAGCGGGCATCCAGCGGTCAATCCCATAAGTGCAGGCTCACATGGTGTGTGGTAGCTTTGTACATGGCTAGGATCTGCGAGTTGTTCATCGAGCGTTTGTGCAGTGGTCTGTGGAGCAGTTCATTTAGCGTCTTTCGCCTTTTTTAGCGATCTTTGGAGCGTCAGTCTTACAGTGTGCTTTTTCTTGTATCCTTTTTTTCTTTCATTTATTTTTCAAAGCGTGCGGGTCGTCACGTTCGTTCAGGATGCGTACCACGAACAACAGCCTGTCAACGATGTCTTCCCCGGTTACCGCGTCTTCGCCTTCTTCTAGCGGTTCTACCCCAGCTCCTACAGTTAACACCTCGGCTTCTCCGCCAAGTCAACCTGTTTCCCTGCCGGACACCAACGCGCTAGCCCAGGCAATTTCAAGAGCTCTCGCGGAATCGCTCCCTCCGCTGCTATCTTCCCTTCGAGATTCCAGTGGCGGGAACTCGAACACGGCCGCGGCGTCTGTTCCTCTCTCCTCGACTTCGACTTCTACGCAGTCTCCGGCATCCTCTAGCTCCAGTACCCCTGGCTCTACCTCCCAGTCTTTAGGTACGCTTGTTGTGCCCTCATTTATTTCAACGTACAGCTCATCTGGCGGTCCTTCGGTAGTCTCCTCTCTTCCCGCCACGTCCTCCGCCAACTTGCCTGTAGTGGTTGGGGGCTCTTGTGGTGGCGCGACCGGAACCGAGTCCTCTACGCTTCCAAACCTCAATAAAGCATTTGTGGTGGGCCCTGGCTATGCTCCAGTCCCCTTCAAGCTTGTTTCTAAAATTACCGCAGGGCTTTTTGTAGACTTGGCTGACCTCCTTCCGGACAACATCAGAGCTCAAGAAATCGAACCCCAAGCGTTTTTGGAGGGAAAACTGGTGGTATCAGGGTCGAAGAAACGGGTCATTGAAATAGCAGACATCATCACCTGGATTGAAGCCTTCACAATCTTTTCTATGATTCTTTGCCACACCTTCCCTCTCGCTGGAAAGATTTAAATCAGTACAAGTTACTCATCATCCAGACAGCAAGGCGCTTTTCTGACAAATCGTGGCTCCACTACGACATCGCCTTCCGAAAAGAAGCCGCAGCCTCAGGTTCAACCGACTGGTCTCGCATGCACCCAGACCTCTACAACTTTCACACCAGATCTCCAGTGACCACCTCAACTGCTTCAGGCTCCTCAACTTCCTCTGCCTCGTCACTATCAGAGCCTCTTGGGTCTTCAGGCAATCCCCGGTCTAGCCAGTATTGCCACTCCTGGAACGACGGGCGCTGTCGCTGGCCCTTTGGTCGCTGTCGGTTTCGTCACTCCTGTGAATCGTGCCACGGGGACCACCCCCGCATCCACTGCCCTCACCGGTCCGCGCGGAGAGAACGGTCCCGCTCCCCTTCTCAGTCAAAGGGGGGTCTCCGCCGTCGCTAGGCAACCTCTAGCCAATTCAACTGTAAATAGTTTTGTTCCTGTTCACGTTGGTTCTCATGGTAATTTTTCAGCGTTAGAGTTGCGTTCTCCTTTTGTGTTACCTTCTCAGCAGCAGGGTCTGCCAAGTTCCAGTTCTTCGTTGTGTTCTCCAGCTGTTTGTCCTTTAAGACCAGTTTCTCAGCTTACTCCCATCAATGTGGATAGATTCCAGCATGAACTCTGTCATCATCCTAACCCAGACAAAGTTGCATATGTGGTCCAAGGCCTTCGCGATGGTTTTCACCTAGGTTTCAATTACAGTACTTCCCTGAAGTCGGCAACAGGGAATATGGCTTCAGCACTCCTGAACCCTCGGGTCATTGACAATTACTTGCAGTCGGAAGTTCAGTCAGGCAGGGTGGCGGGCCCCTTCTCCAAGCCTCCCCTCCCTGTCCTCCACGTGAGTCGTTTCGGCGTCATCCCCAAACGCCACCAACCTGGCAAATGGCGTCTTATCCTGGACCTGTCTAGCCCCGCGGGGCACAGTGTCAACGACGGAATTGCGGGCGAGGATTATTCTCTGCAGTACATGAAGGTAGATGACATTATTGCAGGCATAATGCGGCTGGGGCGGGGTTCCCTCATGGCGAAATTTGACGTGCAAAATGCATACCGTATTGTGCCAGTCCATACAGAAGATCGCCAGTTGCTGGGTATGAAATGGCGTGGTGCCTTTTATGTTGATATGGTCCTGCCTTTTGGTGTCAGGTCAGCTCCATATATCTTCACATGTATAGCAGACTTAGTGGAGTGGGTGGCCAAGCAAAACTACGATGTCACCTTCCTGATGCATTACCTTGATGACTTCCACACTCTTGGCCCTCCCGGCTCCTCTGTTTGTCAACATAATCTGGACAGGTCAATTAACTGTTTTTCTAAGCTTGGCATCCCCCTCCATCCAGACAAACTAGAAGGGCCGTCGACGTGCCTAACCATCCTGGGCATTGAACTGGACTCTCTTAATCTGCTGGCACGCCTTCCTCAGGACAAATTTGATAGGATAACTGCCTTGTTGGAAGATTGGTCACAAAAGCGTTGGTGTAAACGCAAGGATCTGGAGTCCCTAATAGGTCACCTTCAGCATGCCTGCAAAGTCGTACCCCAAGGTCGCTCATTCTTGCGCCGAATGATTAACCTACTATGTGCCTTTCGACGCGATGACCACCCGATTCGTCTCAATCAAGAGTTCTTTCTTGACCTAGCCTGGTGGCAAGAGTTTTCCAGTCTTGGAATGGTTGCAGCTTTCTTCAGTACCCCCAGTGGGCTCCAATTCCTGACTTCGAGGTTTCTTCAGATGCCTCTGGGGCTCTTGGTTATGGAGCAGTCTTCCAGGGTCACTGGTTTTCAGGTGCATGGCTCCCATCACAGGTCTCTCAGTCTATCGAGTACAAGGAACTTTTCCCTATCGTCGTGGCAGCTTACCTCTGGGGCCCCCAGTGGGCCTCCAAACGGGTCAACTTCCTATCAGATAACCGCTCAGTGGTGGACATTTTGCGGTCTGGCACTTCAAGAGCCCCTACCATCATGTCCTTGGTTCGCTATCTGTCCCTGCTGGCAGCTCGTCACTCCTTCTCCTTCACTGCCTCCCCAGTTAGAGGGAAGTCTAACCCCATTGCTGACTCCCTGTCTCGCTTTCAGTTTCAGCGTTTTCGCCGGCTAGCTCCTCTTGCAGACTCCATTCCAACCCAGATTCCGCAGCAGCTCCTCTCGGACTTGGATCTTCGCTGTCAGATAAATACCACTTCTATTTGACTCAGGGTCTTGCCCCCTCCACTAGGAAAGTCTATGCTTCTGCCCAACGCCGCTTCTTGGATTTCTGTGCTCAGGACAATAGCCTGTCTCCTTCGGGATCAGCTCTTCCAGCCAGTGAAGACGTGCTCATCCGTTTCTGCTGTCATCTTGCTGATACTCTTCACCATTCATCCATAAAGGTTTACCTTTCAGCAATTCGGTCCCTTCACATTGAGGAGGGTCATCCTTCTCCGCTGGTTGGTTGCCTTCGGTTACAGCGGGTGTTGCGGGGCATCAAACGTCACCAAGGCTCAAATAAGCGTCAGCGCCAACCCATCACAATCGAGCTGATGCACATTATCTTCCAGTCCTTGAACTTCTCTGACTACAACCATACAATGCTTTGGGCTGCCTGCTGTCTCGGGTTTTTTGGTTTCTTACGTGCTGGTGAGTTTACTGTCAACTCTCCCTTCAATCCTGACATCCACCTTGCTGTCAGTGATGTCCAAGCAGATTCCCTAGTCAATCCTAGCAGCTTCAGGATTCATATTAAGTGCTCTAAGACGGACCCCTTTCGCCAAGGTTGCCATATTTACATTGGTGCTGGTAAACGTGATCTCTGCCCTGTGCGCGCCCTTACCCAGTATCTACACGTCCGTGGCTCAACTCCTGGCCCACTCTTCCTTCTCTCTGATGGCACCCTCTACATCGCCAATGGCTGACATCCAGTATTCAATCTATCTTCTCCGCTGCTGGGGTCCCTGGTTGCTACACCGGTCATAGCTTCCGCATTGGCGCTGCTACTTCAGCAGCCTCTCGTGGCTTACCAGATCACCTCATCAAGACACTTGGCAGATGGTCCAGCGATGCGTATCAGATCTATATTCACACTCCCGTTAGTACTATCGTGGGGGTAGCAAGCCTTCTCACTTGACAGGTATTTTCTTGCGTATCTTTCTCTTTTCCTAGTTGTCCTTGTAGGGTGCCTCGGGACTTGGGTAGTTCGGGGCCAGGGCTTCCCCAGCCCTGAGCCCCTCTTTTTCCCTCTCCGATCTGGCTGCGTCAGCTCGGAGAGTCCCTTCGGCTTGGAATGGGGCTCATGGCTGGGTTGCGGGGATTTGCCAGCCATGGGGGCAGTTTTTCTATCTAGGGGCTGGCTGGCCACAGTGGAAGCCCCTGGGTATCCCAGGCACCCACCTTCCACTTAAGCGAGGCAGTTGGTTAAATTTGGTTAAATGTAATTTAACTAAGTTAACCACCACGAGCTTAGCGGTCAAGCGGTTCACAAGCGTAGCGGTCAAGCAATTCACAAGCATAGCGGTCAAGCGGTTCACAAGCTTAGCAGTTGAGCGGTCCACAAGTTAAGCGGTCTAGCGGTCCACAAGCTTAGCGGTCAAGCGGTCTACAAGCTTAGCGGTCAAGCGGCCCACGAGCGTAGCGGGCATCCAGCGGTCAATCCCATAAGTGCAGGCTCACATGGTGTGTGGTAGCTTTGTACATGGCTAGGATCTGCGAGTTGTTCATCGAGCGTTTGTGCAGTGGTCTGTGGAGCAGTTCATTTAGCGTCTTCCCCCCCTCCCATCCCTATTTTTCTTCCTTCCACTGTTTGATCAGTGTGACGGGTGCCTGGAATGGGGGCTCATGGCTGGGTTGCGGGGATTTGCCAGCCATGGGGGCAGTTTTTCTATCTAGGGGCTGGCTGGCCACAGTGGAAGCCCCTGGGTATCCCAGGCACCCACCTTCCACTTAAGCGAGGCAGTTGGTTAATAAGCAAAACAAAAACTCTGAATTGGCAGCACACTTTCTGGCCGATTTCTTTGCCGTCATTTTATGACTAACATGGACTTAAAGTGTCATTTCATTGGAATGACAATGTGATCGTTCCATAAATCTCTAAGATCTTCGCTTTATCAGTAGCAACGGCTGCAACTTCAATTTTGTCAGAAATACCCATACAGAGGTTCAAGTGTAAATTTGAACCACAGCATACGACCATAGCAAGGTGGCATCTGCATCTGACAGTTACAGTGTGACAGGGATGTTTGACTTCAGAGAGTAGATTGTTTTACCTTTGAAAACCACTTGAAGCAGCACTCTCTGTCTGATGGTAGCACAGCTTTTTCCGCAAGGCACTGCCAGATCTAGAATTCACACAAAACCAGATAATCAGTTGTGTTGGCTCTGAGTGATTGATTGGTCCATCATGATTTTTAACTGTTAGCCGAAAAGATGGTGAAACCAGTGTTTTCTGTAATAATATTATGCATTACTGTCTAGCTATTGAATATTGAATCAAGTTGGGGAGTTATGTAGGGGCAAAAAGAGAAAAGATTGTCTGATTGTCAACATGCAACTCCACAAAATTAATAATATCCCTCAAATTATATTCTAGTTCACATTAAATAAAATTGATGGTAAATATTAAATCAAACAACAATATAGATGTTGTAATTCAAAATAAAATTCATGTTAAAATTGTTTCAACCTACATTAAAGGCTGTTTGATTTTCAAATAATTTTATACCACTATGACTATGAGTAACAGTGTCAAGGGAAAAGCTCACGGAGAAAGACAAAGGTAAGGAAAAATCAAACTAGGAGCGCTTAACATTTGTACAGAAATTTTGGTGAAAAATTTCCATCAAATGGTACTGGTATTTTCTTTGGCACCGAAAACAGGAACGGGATTAAGCTGTACCATTTACAAAATACAGGTAAAGTTTTTGCTTTCTCTCAAGATGAAGCCTGGCGCTAGTAATCCAAACAAATGGCACAGGGAAAATTTCGGTCATTTCGGTAAAAACAGGAAAAGGGTATTACTTTTTTCTGGAAAATTTCCACTGGGATGAACCATTCCATTTGAATTCTCCCCACAATTTCTGCATTTTCCATACAAATGGTAAGTGCTCCAGGTAAAAACTACTTAAACCTGAATTCAATTTTAAGCTACAATTTCTATCAGTAACTACAAAGTATAATTATTGATTTCACTAAATGAATAAAAACCATTGTAACTTATAATTATTTTAATATACAATGATTTCCATAATTTACCAGTTTGGCCTGTGGTTCACAGAGCCATAACTGTCCATCTTTTAAAAGAAATCTGTCGAAAGAAATTACAGCAATGCTTCAGCATTATACACTCCAACTTACTTAGTCAGTTTCCTATATAAAAAAATATTTCTAAATCAACAACTTGGGAGTTCAAGAAGAAAGCCACACTCTTATACAAATTGTCTTTCTTTAATTATGCTGACTTTGTTACAATTTCATACCATGAAAACAGGTAGGTTCAAGAATCCATCTATGGTCTTTTTGGAAATTGGGGACATCACACAACACTCTTCTGCATTAAAATCATGCCTAAGCAACCCTCCAAGTTAAAGTTTTGGCTTGGTCACCATTTGGCAACCAACTCTTTTGGTTTAGGGAGACCTTTTTACAAATCAAGTTGCCAGCTCCAAAATTTTAGGTGCCATGGCGACCAAAATGGTTGCAACTTGGAGGGTTGCTAGGGCAACTCTTTTTTTAGAATTGTTGCATTCAGTGTAGACTGCAAAACAGCCCATATTTTTGTGTATTCAAGTACGTGTGAGCAGTCAAACAAAAGGTCTGGAACAAGGCTGAAAACAGAGAGTGAGAATGGGGAGAGACGCTAAAAATTCTCTCGCCTCACACACAAGACTCTTACGCCACGCTATACCGATTTCTTTACTGATTTTGAGAAAAAAAACCGACCGTTTTGCAGTCTACATTCAGTGGGTAAAAATTTTCACCAATTCACAGCACAAACAAACCCCGTTAATACGGAAACTGAAGGGACCATAGAAAGTGTCTGTATTAAGTGGGTTGGATTTAGAGAAAACGTAAGGGCTTTTTTTCCCAGGGACAAAGCAAACTGTCCGTAATAATGAGTTGTCCATTATAAGTGGGTGCCATATGTAAAGCAAGGTTTGACTGTACCTTCAGTGGGTAAAAATTTTCACCAATTCACAGCACAATCAAACCCCGTTAATACGGAAACTGAAGGGACCATAGAAACTGTCTGTATTAAGTGGGTTGAATTTAGAAAAAATGTAAGGGCTTCCTTTTCATAGGGACAAAGCAAACTGTCCGTAATATTGAGGTGTCCATATTAAGTGGGTGCCATCTGTAAAGCAAGGTTTGACTGTACCTTCATGAATGGGAGCTTGAAATTAAGACTTGCCATGGGCACAATTTACAGTCCACTTCCGGAATAAAAAATTTACCTGAGGAAGTTGAGTCTTTCCTGGACTTGAAAGGAATGGTTATATCTTCCATCAATTTGAATTTCACTAGGATCCACATTGGGTTTACCTAAAAATAAGCCACAAAATTACCCAGATTCCATTTATTTTACTTCTAGGAAGTATCAGCGGCTTCTGTTCTGCAATATGTGGGGCTTTTCAGCGACGCTTTGATGTGCCCTTGTTTTTGCCAGCTTTTCTTAGATTGAGGACATTGCCCTCCCACCCTCAATCCTATTCATAATTGTTGAAATGCTTGTTGATTTTTCTGCTCCTTCCCCTTCAATGTTGGTTTTCACACGGTATGTGGCCAAACAAACCCATCACTTCAACATTGAAAAAAGGGATGTAAGCCATACGTGTCCCTGTACAAGACAGTCAAGTCTCTTAGGTTTCATATTAGTGTTTTAAAGAATTATGACTGTGATTGATGGTAATGTAAGAAGGCGGTAAGCATTTTTGTGCAACATGGCTCTTACTGTGTTAGCAGGTTCCTTGAGGTGGGCTTTGGCCAGGTTGCCATGGAGACCTTTTAGTTGCCACATAGCTTGTTGCCCTCCTTTTTTGCTACACTGTGCCTTAGCATAACTAGCCTTCAAATTTCAATTGAGCTTTAACCATGGTCAAAGCAACGGTAGATCAATACAGAGAGAAACCATTTACATGTAAATAGACATGGGAAAATCTTCACTACAATCCTGACAAAAGCACACAGTTCTTGTACATGCAGTTGCTACTACTATTTGTTATTTCTTACTTTCAAGCAGGGAGTACACTTTTTTCATGTAGCTTGCCAGATTGTCAGCTACTATTGTAACCAAGGAATGGGTCTGCTGTAACTGGTTTATAACCTCATGTCGGTAGTACACGTGAGGGTTACGTTGAGTATGAGAGTAATTTTGGGGAGCCTAAAAAGGAAGTTAAAACATTTGTTAGTTAGCTCTCTGTACTGCCTGAATTCATATGAAATGATGGTGTATATGTTGTAAATGGTGTATGTTCAAATCCTGTACAAGACTGAATTTTTTTCAGGCTTTCTGTTCGCAACAGCAAAAGTTGCGAATATAACTGCAATGATCTTCCCCCATATAATTAACTTTTTATCTCTGGTAATTTTTGTTTTTCTTATGTTTTTGGGTATGTTAATGAAGTTAAACCAACGGAAAAATAAAAATTACCTGAGATAAAAAATTAACCAGAACATACAGCTATTTCGAGAAAGGTTGTTGGAGAAAGGGCACGCAACAATCCTGAAAGGTACATGAACTAATGAACATGAACACCTGAAATTTTGAGGTGTTACAATTCAAATGAAACCTCTTTAGCAGAACTTTTCCAAAGTAATGTCTACTCCTAAGGATTTTACAAAAAGAAATTTGATTTTTTCTTCTGAATTTTGTCTTTGGCCATTAGGCAGAAAGAGTCTTAAGGAAGGTGCCAACCATCCTCAGACCTCCTCATTGTTGGTTTCTCAGTCCTTACTGTCAAACTAAGATAAACATGTATTAAGAGTTTCATTTATCATTTGTCTTAAAATTCGCACTTAGATATTGATCGCGACATTTCGACCACGTACTGCAGGCCTTTATAAGGTGATAGTGTTGATTTACTGAGTAGGACTATTTGTACCACCATGGTTGTTGGTGATTGATGTATCACGAACCTCCCTCATGGTTGGTGAGTTTCGATCAAGAGCATTGTTGGCATTATTAGAGGAGAAAACTGTTCCCTCAGGGGTCTACTGTGGTAGCGATCGGCTGCTAAGTTGTCTGATCACAGGCATCCACGCTTTAGGATGATACACCAATCACCAACAACCATGGCAGTACAACTGGTCCTACTTAGTAAATCGACACTATCGCCTAATGAAGACCTGCAGTACATGGCAAAAATGTTAGGATCAATATCTAAGTGACAATCATGAGACAAATGATAAAAGAAACCCTTTATACACATTATCCACAATGAACGGCATCTTTCATGACACTAAGATTAACATAAACACATCAAATATTTAGTAATGTTCACTGTGTTCTGATGGATCAGAGCAAGGATAAGCACATGCAAGCAAACCCCATACCCAAGAACTCATTAACCTTGTTACCTGTCTTTTAGTTCACCTGTCTGATTAGCTTTTTCCTTGCAACACAATAACATTACAGAAACATTTCTAGTGGTTTTGGTTTCCTGAGTTTTACAGCAATTAATGATATGCCAGTAATTGCTGACCAGTGTTATGTGCAGGATTCTAGGATCACCATGCCGGCCAGTAGGCAGATGTAATTTCAAGTTGCAAACAAATCCAAATTTCAGCAGGAATCAATTTCGACATGAAAGGCTGATGAACGCACATACATTGTATCAGCTGGTTAATTGCTTTGCAAATCATATAATGATTGCAGCCATACCTCATAAAATAGGGAACAAATTTCTTTGATTTGCTTAAGAGCTGGTAAGACCCAAGTGTCACTACGAAGCTCTTCTATGCAGCGATCGATCCATTCCGTTTTTTGAGAGTCACGATCCTGTGAAAGCAGAAAGAAATAAATGAAACCTCAGACAGTGTCCTTTTAAGTAAACATCATCTCAAGTCAGGGTGCTGTGAGAAAAATTACAGAGAGAGATGTGACACTGCTGGTGCACAGAAGGGCAATCCCTATAAAATGATGTGGGTAGTAGTCGCAAGGCTTCCATAACACCGGTAAAAGTTACTAGAATTCTTTTTAGTGGGCGTGGCTCTGATTCAATATCACCAACATAATGTTTTGACATTGACAATAAAACAATGGTGATGGCTACAATAGCCTATGTGTACTTTGACAACTCTCGCAGCAGTCATTTTACATTTTGAAACACAAAGGAAAGCAATCCAAGCATTTTTAACCCTAAACGGTATGTCAAGCATCCCTGTCCCGTGTTATAGTAAAGCCCCATCTTGGATGATGGCATACCTGTGAACAGCTGTAGTCTAAAATTTTAATGTGAGCACTAAGTGCCAAGTCCATGATATCAGTTGGTACATCTTCACTGTGAGCTAAGTTCCACAGTAAGCCAAGCACCTGAAAATGAAATCCAAGAGACGATCAGTATATGGAAGACTGATGTTAATTCCAAGGAGGAAGTGTGGCAAAGTGGTCAGAGTGCAGTTCTTGTGATCCAAAGGACTCCAAGTTCAAGCCCCACTCTAATTCAGGGTTCTCAATAGGATTTGAAGTAGGCGTCTGCCCAACCTTAAGTAGGCAGCTGTGACAAACGGAGGGGTTGTAAACTAGAGAGGGAAAAGCAGCCAATAGAATGCAAAGTAAGAGGCAACAAATATTAAAGAAGGTGGTGATCAATCGCCAGGTACGGTGCTGGCTTCTTTTGAGAACCCCACTAACTGCTAGCTAGATTTGTCCTCAGAAGTCTTGAGTTCATGTCCTCAACCAAGCCTGTAAACAGCCAACTGGTTAGCCTCCAACTTATTGGAATTCTTAACAATAGTTGTATACAGTTTAACTACTTGCCCAGCCCTAATAGCCTTTTTACCTTCATTATTTACTTTTAGTTTTTGTTTACATTCTACCTTATGAGCCATTACACCTTCTTTATCATCCTCAGCCAGCCGTCGTATTAACTCCAGCAATTTCTCTCTCTGCTTTTTACTGGCATTTGTCCAACTTTCCTGTGAATTATATGAAAAAACCATTTCAACACACTGTAACACCACAATTTAAAATTCTCAAAATAAACAATTAAAGCAAGGAAGTGTAAAGACATCACTTGAAATCCTATCACCCCAAGGCCAATTATGGATGCTTGAGATAATACTCAGTAACCTTTGTGCTTGGGAAGGAAACCATAATGGTGTGATCTATGTCTAATTTGTCTGTAGAAACCTTTTAATGGGTCGTACTTTCCTTTCCTTACCCTAAGATTTATCATCCTCAGGGTGCAAAGAAAGTCAGTTTTACAGCCTAACTTTCAGGCAAGCTGTAGTTAGCATGTACTAGCCCACAAGTCATTTCAACTAGCCCAAAACCCTTTTTGATTGGTAGGATTGATTACAATCCTTCCGTAATTTGAATTCCCCCAGAAAACAGCACTTGCCTGTTGCGCAAGTTAAGAACAAAAATCACTCTCCCAATGGCAAAATCCACTAGCCTGGGGCTATCGGACAAGGCTTTCTTTGCATGCTGATCCTTGATATATTATGTATGTAGCTAACAGGCACACTAACGCTGCAGGCACTTTATACACTTCATCCACGTATAAATCAAACTTAGCAGATCTTGGTGGGATGAGCAAAGAGGTCCACCTAATCCCCACATTCCACCTCTTCTCCCACAAGTACATCCATCACTTTTTACCCTATCTTATCAAAAAGAATCTGACAGGTTGTATAAGCTGTATAAGGTGGGTCTAAATGTTACCTAATGTACTGAGTTTCTGGATAACAATCTCAGTTTAGGACTGTGAATAGGGAAGAGTAGAAAGAATGGGTTGTTCCTCACACAAATTAATTCGAAAACAAACATTTCTACTAAATGTTGATCTTAAACAATTTGAAATAAACAACTCTAAAGCCTGTTTACTGTAGTTTACCTGGAAGCAGGAAAAAAGGTGATCAAGTTGATCTGCAGAGAAGTCCCAAGCTAACTTTGCCAACAGATCATGAATATTCTTTACAATGGCATCATGCTTACCAGCCTAGAAATAAGCATTAAAAATATGGTGGACAACTACTTTAGAAGAATTATTCCTCATATTGTGGAAAAATTTAAAAGCGCAGCTTGTTAATGAGTGAAAGGAAGTCAAAAAAATAAAATAAAATGCACAAACCTGAGCAGCCCAGATGTTGTCTAAGTCATCCAAGGACAATGCTTTTTCTTTTATAACAAAACGAAGAATTTTTTCTAGTTTTTCAACATACTGCAAAGAGAATAAAAGATAACCTTATACTCTGTCTGTTGACAAGCAGCCACCATGGCTCTTGAAGAAGCATCAAGAGATCATTATAAAGATCTCTCCCAGTAACCTACTCAAGACAAAGGACAGCATGCTAGGGGTGATAACTGCCACAGATTCATTGTACCTTTAGTGGTTCTTTTATGTCCCACAGAATCAAGTAAACTAAACTACTGTTGATTTTTTAACAAATTCTCTCAACTAATTTTTCAAGGGAATGTATAGAGATCGGTATGGAGATTTGACTGTAGTATGGACTAGGGCATAACCGGTGGAAACCCTGAGCGCTGGTCCAGTGGAACATTAAACCTGGCTTACCACTCTAAAATCTGCTACATAACCAAGCAAACTTTAACCAGCCATGATGAAACTAATTTTAAGGAGTAATACCCCCAGACATGTAGCAACTATAAACTCAGGGAGAAAGGAAAATAATAAAATAAGCTTGGCTAATGGGCAAGACTAGAGGCTTACAACTGAATCTTACAAAGCACCATTACATGTATTTCAGAATATTAAGTTTTTGCAAACTCGACATTTTACCTGAGGTTGATGAAGATTATCTTTTAATACAATGGAAAGGACACCATTTTTCTGTATCCAATCCTGCAAAGCAAAGCAAACATTACTGATTCATAAACAAAACAAGTATTGTAATGAGATCATGACAAACTAATTGTGACAAGAAATGTGAAGATGACTAAGCAACTACTATCTTAAACAGTTGATTTATGTTTGATACTTTTGATATACAGTGCGGATCAGAGATAAGCACAACAAAATATTATTCTAATGCATGTAATAGACCCAAAACTACGTGTATGGCTTGTGTCTGATCAAAAACGCACAAAGATGCATTTGAGCAGACATACACCCGTATTTACATGACCATCATATTTTATGCATCTGCTTTCACACATATCTATGTACATGTACCGCAAAATCATTAGCATATACATGTAGAAGCTAACTCTTACTTTCCTGTTGAAAATGGATTTAGCAGTAAACCTAGTTTTACTTACAGCCATTCTTTCTGCAGTCAGCCATTCCTCCTCCTCGGTAACAGTGTGACGATGAGTGAAATATGATACACCTGTGATAACTTTGTTTATCTGCCAAACATCAACAACAACATTAACATCAACAACAATGAATCCTACCTGACAAGTTAACTATCCTTACAGGGCTCAAGAAAAGTCCTAACTAGTAGTCCAGCATGAATAGATTTTCTTGCTGGGCAAGCAACTTTTAAAACTCAGTTGTTTAGAGGGGAAGGGTGCAGGCGATTCATCCTCCAAATAAATTAGTAACTAAGAAGAACAAGTTGTTGCCCAAGGAAGCAAAATGTGAGAGCTGCTTGCCCAAAAGACAAGCTGGAATTCAAGTATTTTTTGAGCCCTAACCTTAGCAAAATGTTTCACTAGAATTTAAGGGATGCATGCAGGGCTGTCATTAAGTATTTAAGCAGCCATAGCAAATGGAGATTCACCTGTAACATCGCACAAAAATTTATAATACCACCTTCAGCTTTCCACTTTGATCACCCATAACATCAAGTGTGCTCAACTATAACAGGTGTTACGGGTTACAGCCCTTAAAGAAAGCTCTGGCATGAAAAAGAGACTAAATATAACTTCTGATCTGAATGTTTTGCAAGCAAAATACAAAGCATCAAGCAGTTCATAAGAAGTCAAAGGCCAATTTCAAACTCTTTTAATTTCACACTAGGCTCCAAGGCTGGGGGGTATACTGATTAAACAAATGAAATCACAATAATATTGACATTCAAGAATGAATAATATTATACATTTTTCTTTCGTTTTATTCCCCTCAGCCTTTCCACGTGCGTTATACATGTACCCCATCAAAAATAGGCTAATTTAACAACAGAACAGGAACATCACTTGTTGACAGCTTACACAAAACACGCAACTGGCTTGACCAATAGAAGAGCAGAAAATTGGGCACCAGAAGTTGCATTTAGTCCTTTCTGCACGCTTTCCCGTTGTCAACTGACATTCCCATTCTGTTGCTAATATTGCTTAGTTGACACTTTTATTACATTTCTGAGGATCATTCAAAGCAGGTTGTTATTTAAACCAGCAAAAATGTTAAATGAAAGGAGGTATATATTTATAAATTAGTTTCTACAAGATTCCAACTCTTACCTCATTTAAAGCATTCATCTTTCCATTAAAAGAAGAAATTTGAAGTAATCTAAGGAAAAAGAAAGCTATTAAGAAACTATTCACAAAAGCTATCAACCTGACAAATGAGGGTGCTTCTCTACCAACCTGAGAATCATTTTTAACTTGAATGTTTCCAGCTGTTTGCCAATGTCTTCACGGGATGTTAGTCTTGATGCAAGACTTTTAAGAGCCTAAAACGACACCCAGCAGTTAGCGCTATAACTGTAGTGGTTTACATTTTTCACAGTGACCTGAGTATAAACTTAAAAATGTAGACAGAGATGTAGTTGAAAATGCACTTCACTGTAGATCTAAATGTTTAGACACAACCTGCAGTACAATGGCTTCAGGGTTTTTAGCTTCATTAACGTCTAGGTGTAATGTGGGTACCCACCTTTTTTTTCTTCACAAAAAGCCTGCTAATCTTCTTCATGTTAGAGCCACGGGGTGAGAAAACAGCTGACATTTCGTGATGCCATCACAGGTTTCCCTCAGTTATCAAGTATGAGGAACGATCACAGAAATTCCATACTGATGACATCTCACTACCCAGCTCTAGGTGGTGCTTCTGATTGGATGAAGCAAATTTTCAACCAATCAGAAGCACTACCCACATTCAAATCATAGAAACGTCATGGAATTTCTGCGCTCATTCCTCAGTAGTCATTTTGTGGGGAAACTAGTGGTGGTGGTATTCATGAAATGTTGACTGTTTTCTCAAGCTATCCAAGAAAAAGTGAGTTTTTTTTCAACATCTCAGTTTAAGAACTGCTGTCTTAAAGAGTTTTTTTAAAAGCAAATTTGGAAATCATTTGCCCTCTATAATTCAATTCCTTGGGCGCAGGGATCCCTTGCTGACAACCAATGACAATATCCTGGCTAAAACATCCTGCTTTGCTTTAGTCCTCTTAGACACAAGCAAATCATTTGTAATAGCAATATTACAAAAAGCATGACTTATGAAAAAGTGACAATTACAATAACATCTAAAACTTTTTACCTTGATTATTGATGAAAGGGCATCATTCTTAACTTCATTTTTAGCCTCTTTTTTTAGTTCATCATCAGTTAAACTTTCAAGAAATTTAGGTACAAAATCCTGAAAAACAAGTAAGAAAGAACATTTCAGTACAAATTTGACAAAAGTACACTTGCTGGAAAATCTTACCCCTACAATGTAAATTTTATTTTTAATCCATTTTCATAAATTTAAATTTGAGTCCTTTCCCATACAACAAACTTTTCCCATCAATGTAGAGTTCCTTGTCTGTGTGTGTTTCTGTAACCCATCACTTTTTGTATCTTGTATAATTTCTCATAAATAAAATATAATGAAACCGAAACAAAAGCAACTTACTATTACGGGTAAAAAGTATTTTTCAACAGTTCCAGGTGTAAGAACTTCAGCACATGATCCAAAAGGTCTGAAATACAAATCATGTTTATTATTCAAACATAAATCACATCTCAAACAACACAAACAAAACCTCAAAACATCCAAAAAAGCTAATAGCAATAATTGTCAACGGGATAAACGAGAAAAACATGAACATGTAAAGGTATGTTGAGGTTCAATTTTATATGGGTATTAATTAAACTCCAGTTAGTATAGGTAATAGCATGATTTGTAGTGATATTTGGCATAAATACCACGAGCGATGTTTCAAAATTGTTATGCGTCATTTCACGAACGATTAGGTGAGTGAAATTTGAGACAATTTTGAAATATCACTAGTGGTATTTACGCCAAATATCACGTACAAATCATGCTATTATTTGTTTATACGACTACCCACAAAAGGTTTGTAACTTTCACAAGTAGGTATTTCCAATTAAGCTGAAATACCACTGCTCTGAGCCAATTAAATTGCAGAAATTTCTGATGTAGTAGTATAATTCACCTTATTGGACACTCAAGTCAACATTAATTTTTATTGGTAGTCTGTCAATTAAGTCAATAACCTGTCTGCAGCGACTTAAAACTCTCAAAATGACTACCACAGGTTGTCAAAACATCAGTCACTGCCGCCTTTACTCACTACAGCCAACTTTCCCTAAACACACACTTCTACTGGACAGACACCTACAGTGTACAGTTGGTCCCCGCTATTTTGCATTCATTTCCTTACTGCACTATTCAAAAACATGCGAATTCTGAAGTTCAAAAGCCGCCTTTCACAACTGCATTTTTTGCTGCCGTCAATTGTAATTACGATCACAAAGCAGTGCAACTTGAGACATGGAGACACACAAAACAGATCAAGATAAGCCAATCACAAATCACAAACCATGACCTTTTGAACCCGTCGAAGAAAACTACTGTTTCCTACGAGTTCCGCTAAGACGATTGACGGCATCAAAACACGCAAAAGTCTGTTGGCTTTTGAACTTCCGAATTAGCGTGATTTTGAAAAGCAGAGTAAACTCTCTATGAAATGGAACAAGGAAACTTGGTACCTACATGTCTGTATTACTCCCATAACAATGTTTGTCTTCAAAAGAGAGTTAAACAAGTACATACATGAACCACAGACTGTGAGTGAAGTGTAACTATTACTAACCTTAGCAGAGCTGCTAAGAGTGGAACACTGAGACTTTCTCCACTACATATCCGCTCCTGTAAAATACTGAAGCCTCCAAGATTACCAAACCTGTTCACTAGATCCACCAGCCATCCCTGTAAAAATTCAGAAACACTCATACATGTAACTCAAAGCATACTTTCAGCTCTGCTACTTGCTCATCAGTGCCACTAGTACAGTCAAACACCATTAATAAGAACACTGAGGGGGCCGTAGAAAGAGTCCATTTTAATGGGCTGTCTGTAAGTGGGTTGAATTTAGAGAAAATGTGAGGGCTTTCTTTACTCAGGGACAAAACAAATAGTGGGCGCTTGCCATTCACTAAACATTCCAGATTGAAATTTCACAAATTTAACTTGCTCAATGGGGCAAAACATTCCAGCTGAACAAACCCAACCCAAGCCAAGGCACATTTAGTTATTGTTCTCGTAAGCAGGATGCAAAAGAGTGCTACTGGAGACAACAATTATGTCAAATGATAAGGGACATTTCAGTCCGACCGACCAAGATAACTGGACCAGTAAAAGTGGACCACCTTCGAAGGTGGTCCCAAATATGCTGGTCGGACCAAACCAAAATGGTCTGTTCCATTTTTATTTCTAACCGAAATTCCGGAAGTTTTGGGCTGAATGGAAAGCGCCCAGTCTATAATAATGAGGTGACCATAAAGCAGGGTATCACTGTAATGTCATTTCAGCACAGAACTCCAATATTACATACATTTCAGCCTCATGCTAACTTTTAAGCTGACATTCTTGGAGCTTTTTTAAGCCTTTCTTCCGCGCGCATGTCAAGCACACTAATTCACCTTTGTTTTAATACGACAATCAGCATCCACTCATTGAATTGCATACAGCTAATCATGAGCCAAAAAAATGGCAAATGACACCTGTGCAGTTATTTCCAGCACAATGTTTTAGTGCATAATATTGTTGTTTTTTTTTTGTTTTCAGCACACAGCTTGTTAATAAAATACATGTAAACACAGGGTCAAAGTTTTACTTCCAAGACAGTGAAAATATACCTTAATTGGCCAAACCCTCTGAAAGAAAGCACAAATTTGTGGAGAAGGAAAATGTAGTGAACACCTACCATCTCAGAGTCAGCTATTTATCATGGGGCATGTAGATGTAACACACATCTACCTTTCGTGTTACTGGACAACACTCTATTTCATCACCCTAAATTAAACCTTTCCACTGGTATGTTTGCATTGACCATGTCTTTTTGGTACATTACATACAGTTCAACCTCCATGTGCAACAACCCCCTACAAGCAACCACTTATCCACAACATCAAAATTTTCCCAGTCAAAGATGTACAATAGAACCTCTGATAATTAACCACTTCACAAACAGGACTGGGGTCACTGTTTGGGCAAATGGTTTTCACTGCTTTTAACCTCTTGTAAGAAACCATTAATCCCATGGTGTATGTTCATACTACGCCACTCAGAGTATAAAAAGAACATTCAGTGACAACATATTTGAACTACTCATATATAACATAACTTATAAATTATAAACATAAATTTCATAACTTAGAAATTGCATGTAATAAAATAATTCTCTTCCAAAAAGTAAATGTGTCAGGACCCATTCTTGGAAGAGACCACTTGTCCGTCCATTCTCGTCAGCAGCAACCTCACATAAGCAACCACTAAATCTTTGCATTTTGGGTGGTTGCTTACAGAAGGTTCAACTGTATTTAGAATTTTCCACAGATGTTGAGTTCCTTCACTTTGGAGGGTGCAAGGGTAAACACAATAATCAAAGCTTACTTTTGGTGATCTAGCATCCGGAGGTTTTGCATATACTGAGCTCTCAGCCACCTAGGGGGGAAAATGGAAGTTATTTTTCCAGTTATCATGCATGCTTCCTACAACATACTGAAATAAAGCATAAAATTTTGAGTAAAGAATCACCTGTGTTCCTGCAGGAACTGTCTCTGACGGTCTTGCACCATTATAGATATTAAACCTGAAAAGTACAATCACAAAATTACGAGTTGATAACCCTCCATTCTTCATCCCTTCTTAATTTAAGTGTCAATGCATTAAGCCTATTTCTACATGTACATCTCTTCCCTACCACCAGAGTCTGCTTCCCACATATTTTTGGTGAGAGAAAGTAGACTTAAGCAATAATGACGGCAACGTCAATGAGAACGTCAAAAAAGCAATAGGTTAAGACTGGCAAACCAACAACTTTGCAAGTGCATCATGCTTTTTTTGGACATTTCTTTGCCATCATTGCACTACGACATGTATGAAAATGCCTAGTTTCATGTTTTGTGGAGGACATGAACACAAAACCATGACTTTCCTTTTCTTTTCCTGAACATTGATACAGTCCTTTAAAATTCAACTCCAGAAAAAATTGTCAACATTTGACGAATTGAACAAGATGAAATAACTTTAAGTAACTTTTTAAGTGGACTCGACAAAAAAGTCCAGATAATCCAAAAGTGTGATTGATCAAGGACCCAATAATCATGGTCCATTGGCATCATTCTTAACCCAAAATCAAAATTCAGATTCTCATTTGATGTCCCTATATGTTTCCTAAGAAGTAGTGGGGAGAATTTGTTGAAGTATCATTATTAGATTCATCTTGTTTCATCACGTCCTTAATTCTCATCACCAATGTGTTTTGTAAAGCATTGATATCACAAGGAGAAATTTGATGACGATCACTCTTGGGGCTTGAAGAATTAATGTCAGTGATGCTGTAGATAAAAAATATTGAAACAATGTAACTATTACACAAGCAGAATTTCTACCTGGACATCGGATTAAACACCAAAGAAAGAAGGTCAAGCAAAGGAAACCAATCCTGTGAAAGTTTTGTCACGCACAACTCTACAAGCTTCTCTGTGTTTTTGAGAATGGCTTTCTGTTGAAAAGCAAAAGAGGTCAATGATTAACACTTGTTCCCAAAAGAGCCTCTTGTAGGAAGAAGATCACATACAGTCAACCCTCTACAACAGCACATTGACACCATCATGGAAGCTTTTTCTGACTTTGTATGTTAAAACCTTCACCGCCTATGTGATGTACTGTGTACATCATACAATTTGCAATTCGTATGCCTACATGACATACTCAGTACATCAAAAAATAGAGAGTAACCATCAGTCCCCAGCACTAAAGATGTAATACAACATGTAATCTCAAGCCTAAAACAAGTTAGTAGACACGTAACTACTAGTTAAACAGTTCCGTTCGCCACATTGCTTCCAAGTAGCATGTGTTGTGAAGAGCAAAGTAAAATTTCGGATCAATTTTAAAAATGGAGAGATACCAAACGGCTCTACATGTGATAAATGAGATATGAAATGACTCTGGTGAGGAAAAGTTTTACAGTGATTTGAGGCAGCAAACTCTGCAGCAAATGAGTAAAATGAAAGCATTGACTCTCATGATCTGGGAGGTAGGAGGTAAGTGTTTGCAGAGGTTCAACTGTAGTATGCTGTTTTACAACTTACATGGATTTCATATTTCCATCCATTAACTGCCTCATCATTAAGAATTTTATGAAAAGACGTTGTCAATCCATCTCTGAAGAACCTTTGGCACTCTTCACTCTTGGTGTCTAACTCTGTTGAAACAGAATTGTCAGCCATTAAAATGATACTTAACCCCAACCTTAATGCCAAGAAAACTGTATGACAGCCCTAGAAGTTCAAAAGTGCTGCATTGACAATATGTGTACATGTTTAGTCTCAAGGCCATACTGTGCAAAACACAGAAATGTTTCAGTTTCAGTACCTGACTACAATGTATATGCTACAGGTTAAAATTAAATTCAGGTAAAAAGTGTTTCCCCTGGGTTGATTTTCTATTTTCTTTGACTCCTAGCTCTAATAATTCATGAATTAGGGCTAGGTGACAAATGAAAAAAGTTAATGTTAAAGTTAATGATTTTCTTAAGTAAGTTGAGTATGATCATCTGGGTGAACATAGTCCTGAATAGGACGGTTGTTGTTGACAATGACTGATGTTTTGACAACCTGTGTGGTAGTCATCTTCTGAGTCAACATGAGTTGTATTAAACTCTGGTTATTGACCTGATTGGTCAATTAAGTCACAATGTTATTGGCCGTCTGTCGGTTAAGCTGTGAGTTATTAGCTATGAAGACTTATAACGTCATTGGTGTGTTTCGATCCATCTATTGTCTATTGATTTTGTTAGAGGATGACTTGCCTGGACAATTGCCCATTGGGCAAGAAAGCTTTTTAACCCTTTACACCCTAAGATCAAAATTTGAATTCTCATTTGTTGCCTCTATTCATTTCCTACAGAAGTAGTGGGGAGAAGTTGACAAAATATCAAGCAAATTCATCGATGATCATGTCCATGATTCTCATGACCACTCTGTTTTACAAAGCATTGATATTACGAGGAGAAATTTGATGCTGATCACTCTTAGGGCTCAAAGGGTTAAGTTACTTGCCAGGATGAAAATCTATCTGCAGGGCTGTTGCTAAGACCCTGGACGTGCAGGCTAGAATGTTTGATGGTTAGTTTGTTTGTCAATGCTCCTTGAAATAAAAACATACATGACCACATACATGTTTGCATTGGGGCAAAAGAAAAGCTGTACATAATATAAACTAACTAATTCTATGGAAGTTAGTTTCACCTCCTCGGCAAAGTTTGATGGATGCCTCCAAAAGCACCTCAAGTTCACCCTTTGGAAGAACAGGTACCACCCAACGTGGCCTATTTATCATTTCATCAAGTTTAGAGAGTTCAGTAATAGGAAACACCACATCCCCATTGGGTAACAGAAGGCCTGCGGTGTCATCTTCCTGTGTAGTAGAGTTATCATTGTCTTCTTGTTGATTAGGATCATTTATTTGGCCACTTTGTTGTGTTGAAGTGGTATTGTTGGGAGGTTGACCTGGGGGTCCCGACTCCCCGCTTGTTCCTCCACGAACTGAAAGAACTGTCATTATGGTAAAATGCAATGTGAAGTGTCACCTTAGAAGCATTGACTTTTCCAAACATTAATGTGCTATCTAAGAAAATATGTTACTTTTTGTCAGGTTAAAAATATAGCTCCACTTTGTATTTTCAATTGAGAAGGAATAATGGATTTCCTGAAAGAACAAGAAGAAAATAGAAAATTAAACAGTGTGCAAACTAAAGGACCAATGACGGTAGGGAACACCTCAATTCCGTAATAATGCAAAAGGAAAAGAACTCAATTGACTATACAACTTAGTTATTTCTCATTCTGTGATTATTCTATTTGCAATCCATAATGTTTTGAATGGGCTGAAATGCAAAGTGTGCCTAAACAGAAACAGAAATAAAGTCAGCAAAATGTATTTTGGTTATAATTTCTTAGCTTAGAAACTGTTGTAATACACTCTTGTTTACCTGCTCCATAAAAAAAGTATGACTTTATACCAGTCTTATTCCATAGTCAGGGGCCTACTTCTGGTTTCAAAAAATGAAAGCCATACCATCACCATCGACTCATCAGAGCCTTTAAATAACTCACAGGGTTTCAACTGTATACATTTCATAAGCTTTGCTTTCTTGTTCCATACTGTACATTACATAACCCGTTTTTTCAGGAATTCTGGCCCACACAGACAACATGCATAGGCACTATAAGGACCTCAAACTTAGCTAATGAGAGGTAATCTGCATATGGAGGGTGGCATTTTATTTTAGCTGGCTTTTACAAAGTGCTGACAAGGTTTCATTACAAAATACACATTCAAGATTTAAGACCTGTATGGCTTAAGATAAACACTAGCAACTGGATCAACCTGATCTTCACCAAAGTGCTGTGTTTTGTAAGCACACAGGTGGCAACCGCTTAGAAGAGTACAGTAAACTGTTAAAATCATTTCAGGGCAAGTCCTTAAAAAATTCAATATTTACTTTTTGCACTGAAAACACTGCAGTTAACGATTAGGTGTTCGTAAACGCTAGCAAAACAATGTTGTATAAAGACAACATAATTAAGGAAACCCAACATAATATATGTATCATCCCGCCGGCATATGATAGGAAAGGAAATGTAGGAAGTAGGTAATTGCATTTTCACCGAATTATCTTTGCAGTCAACAAACAAAATTAAGCAGTAAGTTGGAATTACGGTTTATGAGAAGTTTCCCTTTCCTATTATACCTTATTTAAGATTTTTTAACGTAACTGATTCGCTCAAGTTTCCTTATTTCTTTCAAAAGTGACAGGAAAACAGTTTTCATGCAGAGGCCACAGTGCCTTCGACATCGAGCCAAAAAACTCTCTGTGGTGAACTTAAAATCTTACCTCGTTTGACGAGAAGAATCTCACATAAAAGATTATTCATAAACAAACAGAAACCAAGGGTTCGGCAGCTTCAAGGTATTTTTCTCGTCCTTTGGATTTTTATCAAAACTACTGTTTTGCATGTGGAGCAGAATCCTCCTTCACGTAGGTAGAGTCATGCGCAGTGGCTTTGGAAGTCACGTGTCTGACTAGAGTTTGTTTCCAGGTCCCGACGCGGTTATACAATAAGCGAAATGTAGAGGCATGGATCGATTATACAAAGACTGTTACAATCAGGTAAAAGACAGCGACATCAGAAGAAAATTGTGCGATTTTGCAAATGAAAGTTTCCACACAGCAACTACAGAGCCACCTTATTTGAGACAAAAAGGGTATTTTTTTTTTCAATTACTATTTAAGTTTCAAAAGTGGACGTTTTCAGGGCTAGCCCCATGGGGGAATTACATATGAAAGGGAAAGCGTTGGGCTAGTCGGGAACTTAGAGTTGAAACCTGAGATCAGGCTCCATTCTGCGTAAGCGAGAATGTATGAGAGTTGCTGAAAGACAAGACCAGTTAAATCAGCCTCTAGCTAGGTGACATTGTTCCTGAAGAGATCTCCTTTTCAGAGTGTCTGTGAAACGCATCAGGGGTACGAATCCCTAGAAGGTGTAATTTATGAACGCAGAAGTAAACACCGTTCATTTGGAGACAAAGAAGTCCTTAAAACGTTCATACAAAAAAATTCTCCAATACTCTCTGTAACTTGGATATACAAACAGATCCGAAACACAACTTCTTCTAGCAACAGGCTAAACCTACCCCTTCATCTTTTCACACACGTTTTGAAATAGAATGAAACTGCTATGAGATGAAACCGCATTTCCTAAAGAAGGTTAACTAGAGAACATCTTTAAGAGAAATGCCATAGGCTACGCAAGTCGGACTTTGATATTCCAAGGTACAAGACGGCGAAATGTGGTCCTGCGCCCAGGATACTTAAATTGGGGTGTGCCGCTAAGTCTTTGAGAATCATGTGTCCAGACAACTACAGTGAAACCCAATTAATAAAGGCACTGAGGGTCTCGCTTAGGGGTGTAAATTTCGGATTTTGGTCTCACTTAGGGTGTTCTGAGAAAAACGCTATTAACGCGAAAAAAATATAAAAATATATATATTGTCTGTGTTTAAACATGGTCTCTTTTAGAGGTCAAAAAAGCTTGGGCTACGCTGAGATCGGTCTCCTTTAGGGGTTAAATTCAAAATTTCCAACGAGCATCCCCCACCCCTTTCATATGCGGAGTCTCCCCCCCGGAACTGAGGGGGCCATAGGAAGTGTCCGTATTAATGGAGTGCCCATGTTAAAATGATTGAGTTAAGAGAAAATGTAAGGGCTTTCTTTACTCAGTGACAAAGTAAACTGTCCGTAAAAATGAGGTGTACGTTTATATAATTCACTCACACAATTCTCGAATGTCTACGTGTTACAATATTCTCACATCGAAACAAAGTTTCGGCGTTGTTGTTGAATTGGACTTTGAAACTTTTTAGGGGAAGAAGTTAATAGCATTACTTGTGTTAGTCAACAAAAGAGGTGACAGTGTCCCCAAAACAGTCCAATATTACGATTTGACACCTCAAGGACCTAGTCTCAGAGCAACTGGAAGTTGCGCGCGCTCCTCTTCCTATTTTCGCGCGGCTCCACAATACGTGTAAACATCGAGTACGAGTCAAGCAAGGTTTCAGACTTCGCAAAAACTAGCGTGCTTATAGAATAATGTTTTTTTTTTCAGGCATACTTTGTCAATCAGTTGCTTCTAAAGCAGCTTGCACCAGCAACTAGCTTACGACAGGATCTTACGAGGAAGGATTCAAAAAGTTCTTTAACGAATACAAATTCTAAAGCATACCAGTGCTGATTGGGAAGAACAACCTAGACAAAGTAATTAAAGTTTTCCTGATTAACCCTGACTCAAAAATCTAAAATTTTTAATATTCTTTTTAAGAGATATGTTGTTCTCGTAGCTAGTCTGGAAACAGTTATAAGAGTCTAGTTCAACCATAATTTTGAAAATTGCCCCCCCCGGAGTTGTGGGACTCCTGGGGAAAATGTATACTTAACATTCTGTGCGTAAAGGAAGTGGCAGTGACAGAGAATGCAAATACTATTACTATTGGTATTTATTCGATTAACCACCCTGGTTGCTTATTAAAGGTTTGGACCTTGAGAGTGGGCGCTTATTAAATTTTCACCATTTTCAGTAGGTGTAGTATGTTTGTTTTTCAACAAAATAATAAATGGTAATAACAAAACGCGAAGATGAAACAAAACAAGGTTTCTGGAAAATACTCTGAAGAAAACTCCGTCTTCGGGGAAGCCTCTTATTAGTACTTATTCAGATTCAATTTCAATCTCGTTGTCACTCAAGTCAATAAGTGATTTAAAATTCCTTTTTGCTGCCTCCTCGATGTCTGGCATCGTAACGCGGGCAAATGGGTTAGTCGCCAGGGAAGCAGATAAAACTTGCTGGATGGATGTTAGGCGATCTAGACTCGTATGACAAGGCTGACCCTCCTTTGGGACGTGAATTTGGTTATCTTAATGACTGTCAGGAGCCACAGTCGCAGCTTCTGAAAGAACGGATAAAAGGATCTCTATCCAAACTATCCCAGGCGTCAAGAATCCATTGCACGATTTCGCGACGTGGTGGGGCACGCATGTTTCCTGCATTTAGGTGGGAGGGGGAAGGGGGCGGGTGCTTATTTAATTTTGAGTGGGAGTGGAGGGGGTAGGGTGTTGGTGGGCGCTTATTCGAGGCTGAGCACTTACTAAAGTTTTCTGCTTTTAGGATGGGCGCTTATTCGAGGTGGGCGCTACTTCGAGGTTGGGTGCTTATTCGAATAAATACGGTACTTCCCTATTGGTATGAACGCACGTGAGCCGTTATGGCGTTCATGATTGACTCTATTGTTGTAAAGCATATAAAGTTTTGACAATTGTAATGTATTCATCTCAGCTCTTTTATTTTTCATATCTTACTTTATTTATCTATTGATCGATTATTTTTTACCTTTAACCCCCAGCGGTTGTGTGACCACAACAGAGGACGTGACAACACCCTTACGATGACCACCCTGGTTGGAGTGCCTCTTTGTTCAAGGGTGGAGTGGGGAAGATGTGATCAATAATGGAATAAAACTTGAGACTGAAGTCATAAACACATCCCCATGTCAATAAAAAAGAAAACAAAACCCGGCTCCTACTTGCCCCCGTTTGAGTGATATGCGCCTCCGGGTTCGAGTTTAAATTAGACGAGATAGGACAAAACAAGAGTCGTGTATTTTAAATACGCCCTTCAACATGTCTATCTTCGGGAGTGGATGTGAAAAAATGCGATTATTTTCATCTGACTCCTGACCCTTCACCTTCGAAAGAGCAATTCAGACGACGTGCTTGTTAACACGAAAAGCTTAGGCCCAGTGGAACATTCATTAAGAACCTTGGGAGCTAACTCGACCAAGTTTTATTTTCGGGGAGGCTCCACCCTAAGGTCTAACCGCTTACCAGCTCATATACATTATTAAAAGGACAAGTTCATGGTTCAGCGCATGCTCGTTAATCAAAATGTTGTTTTTCTACTGGTACATGCTGTATCCTCTATGAAAGCAATATGATCATGTCATAATGTTGTCAAACAACCAATCTGTACACTTTCCTGGCAGTCACTTGATCAACTTTGGCGCAAATAGCTATAAATCAATCAACCATAGCATAAAACCTTCGGGTCAACAATAAATTCAACGTTGGTAGGTTGGCATAATCCACTAATTTTCCTGCGATTTTAGCACTCCTCCATCATCCCGCTTCAGGTTACTCTGAAATACACTTCTACTTTGAAATACACTCAGAGATCGCTGAGATACATGTAAGCGATATAATTAATAATAAATTGGAAAAATGAGCATGCGCTGAACCGTGAACCTGTCCCTTAAACAGAAAAGTACCCTTTTTGGGGAAACCTCACTCCTCACGGGGATCAGGAAAAGGGGCATATTTTGAATCCTATATACTTTCATTTAATTCAAAATTTCCTACGAGCATCCCCACACCTTTCATCTGCGGAGTCCCCCCCCCGAGACTGAGGGGCCATAGGAAGTGTCCGTATTAATGGAGTGCCCATGTTAAAATGATTGAGTTAAGAGAAAATGTAAGGGCTTTCTTTACTCAGTGACAAAGTAAACTGTCCGTAAAAATGAGGTGTACGTTTATATAATTCACTCACACAATTCTCCAATGCCTACGTGTTACAATATTCTCACATCGAAACAAAGTTTCGGCGTTGTTGTTGAATTGGACTTTGAAACTTTTTAGGAGAAGAAGTTAATAGTATTACTTGTGTTAGTCAACAAAAGAGGTGACAGCGTCCCCAAAACAGTCCAATAGTACGATTTGACACCTCAAGGACCTAGTCTCAGGGCAACTGGAAGTTGCGCGCGCTCCTCTTCCTATTTTCGCGCGGCTCCACAATACGTGTAAACATCGAGTACGAGTCAAGCAAGGTTTCAGACTTCGCAAAAACTAGCGTGCTTATAGAATAATGTTTTTTTTTTTTCAGGCATACTTTGTCAATCAGTTGCTTCTAAAGCAGCTTGCACCAGCAACTAGCTTACGACAGGATCTTACGAGGAAGGATTCAGAACGTTCTTTAACGAATACAGATTCTACAGCATACCAGTGCTGATTGGGAAAAACAACCTAGACAAAGTAATTAAAGTTATCCTGATTAACCCTGACTCAAAAATCTAAAATTTTTAGTATTCTTTTTTAAGAGATATGTTGTTCTCGTAGCTAGTCTGGAAACAGTTTATAAGAGTCTAGTTCAACCATATTTTGAAAATTGCCCTCCCCCCCGGAGTTGTGGGACTCCTGGGGAAAATGTATACTTAACATTCTATGGAGCTAAAGGAAGTGGCAGTGACAGAGAATGCAAATACTTTTACTATTAGTATTTATTCGATTAACCACCCTGGTTGCTTATTAAATATTTGGACCTTGAGAGTGGGCACTTATTCGAGGCTTGGCGCTTGTTAAATTTTCACCATTTTCAGCAAGTGTAGTATGTTTATTTTTCAACAAAATAATAAATGGTAATAACAAAACGCGAAGATGACACAAAACAAGGTTTCTGGAAAATACTCTGAAGAAAACTCAGTCTTCGGGGAAGCCTCTTATTAGTACTTATTCAGATTCAATTTCAATCTCGTTGTCACTCAAGTCAATAAGTGATTTAAAATTCCTTTTTGCTGCCTCCTCGATGTCTGGCATCGTAACGTGGGCAAATGGGTTAGTCGCCAGGGAAGCAGATAAAACTTGCTGGATGGATGTTAGGCGATCTAGACTCGTATGACAAGGCTGACCCTCCTTTAGGACGTGAATTTGGTTATCTTAATGACTGTCAGGAGCCACAGTCGCAGCTTCTGAAAGAACGGATAAAAGGATCTCTATCCAAACTATCCCAGGCGTCAAGAATCCATTGCACGATTTCGCGACGTGGTGGGGCACGCATGTTTCCTGCATTTAGGTGGGAGGGGGAAGGGGGCGGGTGCTTATTTAATTTTGAGTGGGAGTGGAGGGGGTAGGGCGTTGGTGGGCGCTTATTCGAGGCTGAGCACTTACTAAAGTTTTCTGCTTTTAGGATGGGCGCTTATTCGAGGTGGGCGCTACTTCGAGGTTTGGCGCTTATTCGAATAAATACGGTACTTCGCTATTGGTATGAACGCTCGTGAGCCGTTATGGCGTTCATGATTGACTCTATTGTTGTAAGGCATTTCAGGTTTTGACAGTTGTAATGTATTCATCTCAGCTCTTTTATTTTTCATATCTTACTTTATTTATCTATTGATCGATTATTTTTTACCTTTAACCCCCAGCGGTTGTGTGACCACAACAGAGGACGTGACAACACCCTTACGATGACCACCCTGGTTGGAGTGCCTCTTTGTTCAAGGGTGGAGTGGGGAAGATGTGATCAATAATGGAATAAAACTTGAGACTGAAGTCATAAACACATCCCCATGTCAATAAAAAAAGAAGAAAAACAAAACCCGGCTCCTACTTGCCCCCGTTTGAGTGATATGCGCCTCGGGGTTCGAGTTTAAATTAGACGAGATAGGACAAAACAAGAGTCGTGTATTTTAAATACGCCCTTCAACATGTCTATCTTCGGGAGTGGATGTGAAAAAATGCGATTATTTTCATCTGACTCCTGACCCTTCACCTTCGAAAGAGCAATTCAGACGACGTGCTTGTTAACACGAAAAGCTTAGGCCCAGTGGAACATTCATTAAGAACCTTGGGAGCTAACTCGACCAAGTTTTATTTTCGGGGAGGCTCCACCCTAAGGTCTAACCGCTTACCAGCTCATATACATTATTAAAAGGACAGGTTCACGGTTCAGCGCATGCTCGTTAATCAAAATGTTGTTTTTCTACTGGTACATGCTGTATCCTCTATGAAAGCAATATGATCATGTCATAATGTTGTCAAACAACCAATCTGTACACTTTCCTGGCAGTCACTTGATCAACTTTGGCGCAAATAGCTATAAATCAATCAACCATAGCATAAAACCTTCGGGTCAACAATAAATTCAACGTTGGTAGTGTTGGCATAATCCACTAATTTTCCTGCGATTTTAGCACTCCTCCATCATCCCGCTTCAGGTTACTCTGAAATACACTTCTACTTTGAAATACACTCAGAGATCGCTGAGATACATGTAAGCGATATAATTAATAATAAATGGGAAAAATGAGCATGCGCTGAACCGTGAACCTGTCCCTTAAACAGAAAAGTACCCTTTTTGGGGAAACCTCACTCCTCACGGGGATCAGGAAAAGGGGCATATTTTGAATCCTATATACTTTCATTTAATTCAAAATTTCCTACGAGCATCCCCACACCTTTCATCTGCGGAGTCCCACCCCCCCCCCTCCGAGACTGAGGGGGCCATAGGAAGTGTCCGTATTAATGGAGTGCCCATGTTAAAATGATTGAGTTAAGAGAAAATGTAAGGGCTTTCTTTACTCAGTGACAAAGTAAACTGTCCGTAAAAATGAGGTGTACGTTTATATAATTCACTCACACAATTCTCCAATGCCTACGTGTTACAATATTCTCACATCGAAACAAAGTTTCGGCGTTGTTGTTGAATTGGACTTTGAAACTTTTTAGGAGAAGAAGTTAATAGTATTACTTGTGTTAGTCAACAAAAGAGGTGACAGCGTCCCCAAAACAGTCCAATAGTACGATTTGACACCTCAAGGACCTAGTCTCAGGGCAACTGGAAGTTGCGCGCGCTCCTCTTCCTATTTTCGCGCCGCTCCACAATACGTGTAAACATCGAGTACGAGTCAAGCAAGGTTTCAGACTTCGCAAAAACTAGCGTGCTTATAGAATAATGTTTTTTTTTTTTCAGGCATACTTTGTCAATCAGTTGCTTCTAAAGCAGCTTGCACCAGCAACTAGCTTACGACAGGATCTTACGAGGAAGGATTCAGAACGTTCTTTAACGAATACAGATTCTACAGCATACCAGTGCTGATTGGGAAAAACAACCTAGACAAAGTAATTAAAGTTATCCTGATTAACCCTGACTCAAAAATCTAAAATTTTTAGTATTCTTTTTAAGAGATATGTTGTTCTCGTAGCTAGTCTGGAAACAGTTTATAAGAGTCTAGTTCAACCATATTTTGAAAATTGTCCCCCTCCCCCCCGGAGTTGTGGGACTCCTGGGGAAAATGTATACTTAACATTCTATGGAGCTAAAGGAAGTGGCAGTGACAGAGAATGCAAATACTTTTACTATTAGTATTTATTCGATTAACCACCCTGGTTGCTTATTAAATATTTGGACCTTGAGAGTGGGCACTTATTCGAGGCTTGGCGCTTGTTAAATTTTCACCATTTTCAGCAAGTGTAGTATGTTTATTTTTCAACAAAATAATAAATGGTAATAACAAAACGCGAAGATGAAACAAAACAAGGTTTCTGGAAAATACTCTGAAGAAAACTCAGTCTTCGGGGAAGCCTCTTATTAGTACTTATTCAGATTCAATTTCAATCTCGTTGTCACTCAAGTCAATAAGTGATTTAAAATTCCTTTTTGCTGCCTCCTCGATGTCTGGCATCGTAACGTGGGCAAATGGGTTAGTCGCCAGGAAAGCAGATAAACCTTGCTGGATGGATGTTAGGCGATCTAGACTCGTATGACAAGGCTGACCCTCCTTTAGGACGTGAATTTGGTTATCTTAATGACTGTCAGGAGCCACAGTCGCAGCTTCTGAAAGAACGAATAAAAGGATCTCTATCCAAACTATCCCAGGTGTCAAGAATCCATTGCACGATTTCGCGACGTGGTGGGGCACGCATGTTTCCTGCATTTAGGTGGGAGGGGGAAGGGGGCGGGTGCTTATTTAATTTTGAGTGGGAGTGGAGGGGGTAGGGCGTTGGTGGGCGCTTATTCGAGGCTGAGCACTTACTAAAGTTTTCTGCTTTTAGGATGGGCGCTTATTCGAGGTGGGCGCTACTTCGAGGTTTGGCGCTTATTCGAATAAATACGGTACTTCGCTATTGGTATGAACGCTCGTGAGCCGTTATGGCGTTCATGATTGACTCTATTGTTGTAAGGCATTTCAGGTTTTGACAGTTGTAATGTATTCATCTCAGCTCTTTTATTTTTCATATCTTACTTTATTTATCTATTGATCGATTGTTTTTTACCTTTAACCCCCAGCGGTTGTGTGACCACAACAGAGGACGTGACAACACCCTTACGATGACCACCCTGGTTGGAGTGCCTCTTTGTTCAAGGGTGGAGTGGGGAAGATGTGATCAATAATGGACTAAAACTTGAGACTGAAGTCATAAACACATCCCCATGTCAATAAAAAAAGAAGAAAAACAAAACCCGGCTCCTACTTGCCCCCGTTTGAGTGATATGCGCCTCCGGGTTCGAGTTTAAATTAGACGAGATAGGACAAAACAAGAGTCGTGTATTTTAAATACGCCCTTCAACATGTCTATCTTCGGGAGTGGATGTGAAAAAATGCGATTATTTTCATCTGACTCCTGACCCTTCACCTTCGAAAGAGCAATTCAGACGACGTGCTTGTTAACACGAAAAGCTTAGGCCCAGTGGAACATTCATTAAGAACCTTGGGAGCTAACTCGACCAAGTTTTATTTTCGGGGAGGCTCCACCCTAAGGTCTAACCGCTTACCAGCTCATATACATTATTAAAAGGACAAGTTCACCGTTCAGCGCATGCTCGTTAATCAAAATGTTGTTTTTCTACTGGTACATGCTGTATCCTCTATGAAAGCAATATGATCATGTCATAATGTTGTCAAACAACCAATCTGTACACTTTCCTGGCAGTCACTTGATCAACTTTGGCGCAAATAGCTATAAATCAATCAACCATAGCATAAAACCTTCGGGTCAACAATAAATTCAACGTTGGTAGTGTTGGCATAATCCACTAATTTTCCTGCGATTTTAGCACTCCTCCATCATCCCGCTTCAGGTTACTCTGAAATACACTTCTACTTTGAAATACACTCAGAGATCGCTGAGATACATGTAAGCGATATAATTAATAATAAATTGGAAAAATGAGCATGCGCTGAACCGTGAACCTGTCCCTTTAACAGGAAGGTACCCTTTTTGGGGAAACCTCACTCCTCACGGGGATCAGGAAAAGGGGCATATTTTGAATCCTATATACTTTCATACCGAAAAGGAGATGTGTGATTTAAATTTCATCAAAATAAAACTATACGCAGCAATATCAGTACTTCGACGAGCGACGAGAGTATAAATCCGTCTACGAGAATTTGACCTACCTGACGTCATTTTGATTTTAGTGGAACTGAAGTCTTCAGTTTCCGGCCCTTGAAACACTGTCTCCAAAGTAAATACGCAGAAAAAAAATCAACTTAACTTTCAGTTTCTGGAGGGTCAAAGTCCGTGTGATGCTGACGTTTGCATTTTCACGACACCAATATTTTGAACCTGATTTAGCGCCGAAAAGTTAACAAACAGTAGGCAATGTCTGTATCCTGATGATGAAGTAACTTTTTATATAAGTTTTAGTTTATGTTCTGTGTTGTATATTGTGTGTTTAGGCAGTTGTTTGAGGTTGAGTGTTTTCGTGTTTTTTCCCTGCCGTGATATTCCAAGACAGAGCTTTCGAAAGAGGAAAAAAAAAGAACAGACACACTTGTCCTTGTAATTACTAACTATAAACAAAAACACATTATCCGTGGTACAACTTGTGAGGCATTTGACTGTGATTTCTTTCAAAAAACAGAATGTTCTGAAACATGAAAGAAACTCACGAAAAATCTTATTTCTCAGTTTATAAAATTTCAGAAAAGGTTTTGGAAAAAAGTGTTGAATGGCGAAGGACTGAACTTCATGATCAGTGGGCTAAGCTTTTAAGCGGACTAACTGTCTCAGTGTTTTCGATAACTGTCTCAGTGCCTACTTCTACCTTAACAAAACTGTTAAACGGCATGCTGGACTCTATGACATGGTCATGGGTTGACAACGAAAGCATTAGAAGAGTACATGTTACCCGGTCTTCATTCCTTCCTATCCAGGGCTTTTCCCTGAGGAAAGGGAAAAACCCTGGGAGCGAGGCCTCGTGGCATTTTCGGCAGAGCAACTGACGGTAGATCTAATCTGGAGCTCGTGTGTTTCGAATCCCACCGATCTGAAAAGTCTTTTTTGTCTTTACTTCATGTCATCCTCCTAATTCCCTAGGCCTTTGCTAGGGCAAACGCTCAGGGCTATCTATAGCACTTGAATTTTCACCGCAGAGTTAATTCTCTGTCCCATCATTGGGTCTTGAGATGGTTTAGCCTCACGACCTGCAACAAGAGCCTTTCTCTTCCACGAAGAAACCAGGAGATTTCTAGTGGTTGACATTTCTGAGTTAGGAGCGAGGTTAGCCGCGATGTTTGCGGTATAGTTAGAACGAGTCGTCATGTCAAAACACCGCGGTGGTCGTGCTTGGTAATCACTCTGACGGTTAGAGTCCTATTATCCTCTATTGCTCAAGCCAATCACAGGGCGTGTTCACCATCACGTGACATGTATTAACCAAATACCGGTCGAGTGTAAATCACTTTTCTGTTTTAGAATTGGTTAATTGATACTGCAAAATTTCAGATTACGAACGACTCCCAGAATTATCTTTAGAATCTTGGCCTATATCGGTACTTTCCTTAGAGCCAGTTGAATTACTTAATTCTGAATCAATGGACATTTTTGGGCCACAGAACAAACAAGGAAAATCCAACTGAATAAATGACTTGAATCGAAAACGTCCACAAAAGGTAAGCAAATCAACTGATGACATGAGGCGTCATCAGCTTGGCTCGGACCCCATTTTTTCGATGTCCAAAATTGAAACAAGTTATTTCGAGGACACATTTTTGAACTTCAGAACTATTAAATACACTCAATGAAGGACCAAAAAAAAATGGGTTAAATACCCTTCAAGCCACACGCCAAAAACGGGATTATAGCACCTTTGTTGGTTTTTTTCCGCGTTATTTTTTTCTAACGAGCACTTTTGTCGATGGAATACCCGGAGAGTACCCCTTGGACATGGGCTGACTTGGCTGTGTACCCGAGGGGTTCAATATTCATCAGATTGGTAGCCCGTGAATCCGTGAAGTCGATGCGTGCATGGGTTTCACAGAAGATCAAGAACTGGAGATCAACCTCTATACGGCTATTTACAACGAAGGAGGAGGATTCTAGCAGCGGCGGAAGATTCTAGAAGGTGGATCATCCTAGCGCCATACGTTGTTTTTATTTTAGACTGCAACACAGTCCGTATTTTTGAGTGTTTAAGTACGCGCGAACAGTCGAACAAAAGGTCCGGAACGAGGCTGAGAACAGAGAGCGAGACTCTTACGCCACGCTTTACCGATTTCTTTATTGATTTTGAGAAAAAAACCGACTGTTTTGCAGTCTATTTTTATTTATTATCAATCTACGTGCAAAGGGATTTAGTTGTCCCTAGCGCCGGGTCCCTAGCGCTAGGATCAGGATCTTTCTAGCTCAGTGAGAGAGGAACGACATGAAGGAAGATCCTAGTACTAGGGACAAACCATACAAAAATGGCGGCGGTGATTATGGCCTGTAATTAAGGCCGACCATTTCGTTTGGCGTTACCACGAGCTAATATCTGGGATAATTCTGCTAAAAAGTAGTTACTAACGCCAGTAAAGAGAGCAGAAACGCGCAAATTGCATTTCTGTTTTTGTCGCTCGCCATCCTAATTACTTCTCTACTTGAGCACCTCACGGACCGAAATTTATGCATGTAAACTAACGAAAAGTTGTTCTGCCTTCAATATTCCTCCACCCCCCGCTTGTACACAGCCGCCCTTTCTCCTAGCTTCTCGCCGGCAGGGACGTTTCGCCGGGAGAAAACCAGGGAAACCCGACGACTGTTTTCTTTAAAATATCTGTTCGGAGAAGCAAATATTGCCTAGAATTTTCTACTACTTGACGAGGGCTAAAAATTTCTAGATGATCGTTCCATTAATGTACAATTTTCGAAGCTTATCTAATAAATTCCCTACGATTTTCTGAAGTTTAATTTTCCCATTTTACTTCGCAAGCTAGGCTATTTTTCATTGAAAAAAGGAGACCTAAAATTTTCGGATTCAAAAATGTGAAGGAGAGACGAATTAGAAAATGTCTCACTTTCGTAATGCGTCAAATTTCACCTAAAATTTTCGGGGAAATACTGTGCTCAAGCCCTTGTAATTTCGAAAAGACTCAAGTTCCCCTAGGATGACCGAACAGATGCAAATTTTACAGTGCCGCTCAGAGTGCTTTTCTAGAGATTTAAAAGTACTCTAGATAGCCTAAAAAGTGTTTTCAATGTATTTGGGAGGAAACTGTCGCTGGCCGGGTGCCCCTGAGAAAACGTCCCTAGCGGCGAGAACTAAGAACGAGAAGTCCAAAGACTACTGCAAAGCTGATTTAAAACAACGTGTATTGTTTTTTATAACAATATTTCGGCTGGCCATACCAGCCTTCTTCAGGTTTACAGATGTTACTGAACTTATGTAGCAATCACAATATTTTATAGATGGAGAATGTCGCAATAAAAATTGTTTAAAAGGGAGAGGCGGAAATGAGGCCAGCAAGGAGAAATGGCTGTATTCGCAGGCTACGCACTAGCTAGATCAACGGAAAATTCTAAACCTCTGAGTCTTCAAATCGCTAATTTAGCATTCCGACTCTGGTCTTTACCGAACTTGGTAAAAAAATATGATAAAAATGAAGGGGATCCTTTTATCCTCTTTTGTACAAATAGTTAGGGCCAAAGTCCATCACTTAAAGCCAGTGACAAAATAATCACATCCTTCCTGTTTGATTACTGATTGTGTTATGTTTTTCAAAGGGAACTTTCAAAAATAGAGCTCGAGTCGCCCTAGTTATATTTCTTTTTCATTGATACATGGTAAGTCTTTACTCCTCGTTATACATCTTAACCCCCAAAATGCACAGAAACAAGACTTATCTGGAAATATACCCGTCCAATTTTTTTTTTCAAATATCTTAACACTGGAAAAGTTTCGAGAGCTTATTTAGATTTTGTTTTTAGTTAAGTTGACAGAGTACAAAAGGGGCAAAAAGCCAACACGCAGTGAATACGTACAAACAATGATGAATGAAAGCAAACGAGAGAAAAATAGTAGGTTTTTTGTATTATTTCTTAAAATCGGTATTCAAGACGCTAAGTCGCCGGCGCTCTTGGCCTATGCAATGCGCAAAAATTAGGAGCCATATTCGGGCTCCTGCGAACTGTACTGCGCAGTACAGTACAGCGAATAATTTTGCAGTCTACATACAGTCCCACAATAATCTATTTCCAAGAGGAAGATAACAATGACCTCAACCAAGTTGTGGCGTCCAGCGGTTTTAGTGAAAAAACAAGGTTTTGGGTGGGGTTTTCAGTTTCTCGGAATCATAAAACCTGGTCTCGGTGGTTCTTATTGAAGGACTTTCTTTTCAAGATCATCCAAGCCTCCGTTTGAAAACGAGGAGTATTTGATATAACGATGACTTTTTTTATTCTCACGCCAAAAAAAAGCTCACTTCGACTACTCACAGGTTTAATTTGTACTCAGCCTTGACAGCGATGGTTTCTGGAACATAGCCAGTGCGAAGATTTTGGGGTTGTAAATGTACTCCTTTTAATCAGTGATGGAGTATGAATTATGTCATCAAAATGTTGAGCAAAAATAGCGGGAATGTTTACCATGCGTGAGCCCATTCCTGCTCCACCCCCAAGAGAGCTTTTCTGTGCATGCTAACGATGAACCTTGACCGACCTTGGTGGTGCCACTCACGCAATACAAACTCGGTTATGTAAACCCTTCTATTTATTAGTTTATCCAACAATAACACTCGCCGGATCAATAACTCTCTTTGTGGAAAAACCACATCCTTTAGGTCAAAGTCCGCCAAAAACCAATTATTTATTGCAAGAAACGTCGGGTTGAAGTTGGCATTTTCAGTTACCTTGGTCGTCCGTGCGATTCAGTGGACTTACTAATCTTGCGCATTCTATTCAGAAGTTTTTTTACTCACATCAACTAGATTTTCGTCATAATAGTCTAGGTAAGTGTCTGATCTATTGATTTTAATCTGCTTTACATACAGTTAAATCAGTCATGTCACTTAATATAGTCGATACAAAAACTGAGATTTCCCTAAGGACACGAATGACGGGAAAATGTTCCGGAGCGAAATCTGTTTTACGTATATTAACAAATTTTCGACTTCGTTGTTACTGGAGAAAAGGTCACCTTCATAGGGTACTCACCGTGATTTCTTTTGCGGTTTCGTAATTATAGTAGGCTTTCTCACGCAACTGGTATACGCTACGCTGAAGTCAACTTAGGAGACAAATTCTCTGGCATAACTGAGACCATGTCTGTTGCATCTTCCCGTGGCCAATGAATCTATTTCCTGAAATCCAAATTTTTAGTAAGGTTCAAAAACCTTTGCCTCCACCTGTTAACGTTAGTCTCAATCAGACTCGATCAAACTGTCTTAGGTTTAAAAAGAATTGATTTCGAGTGAAAAACAACATCCGATTAACTTTCCTCCTCGTAAAACAACCTACTCAAATCGTGCATGGGTTTCTGGTTGATCAAGCAAGCTTTTAAAAAAAGAAAAAGAAACTATATTTTATTCTGTAAATTTATATTTACAGATACCTGAAAAAGTCTTAGCAATGTAGTTGTCCGTTTCGACATTATGGTCCGCAATCAGTAGTTTTTTTCGCGTCCAGTACACTGATCAAAACTGCTTCTGCCACTTCGGAACAAAAAGAATCTGACGATATTGGGGGTTTCAAACCTTTTCCGTGGGAATAATTAGTAAGAGATATACACCGTCTTCTTTTCATTGAAACTGTGGTCAATGTGTGGGAGGGCAAGCATAGTTTACAAGGTGACCGTAGTCGGGCAAAAAGAGTAAAAAAAACAGTTCGGGTTAAAAGTTGAGTAGCCAAGGAAACACAACAAAGACCCTGTCCCACCATAGTCTGGGAGTAGGAGCAAGTCGTTTTGGTCTCGATCAGTGCAACGAAGAACAGGTATAGTGTGGGACAAGAAGAGTTTCTTGCTGGGCAAGTAACGAAGAGGAGAATAAGTGGGCATGGGGAAGCAAAATGCAAGAGCTACGTAGCTGCTTTTCCAAAGGACAAGCTGGAATTCATGTCATTTTCTTTTCGTCGAGCCCTGCTTCGAAACCGAATAGATATTTTTATTTTTATTTTTTTTTATGAACATATTTTTTTGACAAAGTTTTCCCTAAGAGTAAAACAATTCATCAAGACGGCTCACTTCGAAATAACATTAAACAAAAAAAAATTATACTAGAAATAGTTATCAGTGGGTGAGTTAAGCAATTCTGAGTCAATTTCCCCGGCATTAGCCGGGTCTCAAACCCTTTTTTCTTGGTTTAATTGCAGTTAGTACCCAACACAAGCGTGGGGAAAATATGCTGTTAAGTTACTGTTTTTGTAAAAAAGAAAAGAAAGGAAAAATCTCTGCAAAACTATGTTCAGGGGTACCCAACGATGGTTTCCTCCTAAATGCTTTGAAAACACTTTTTTGGCTATCCAGAGTACTTTTAGATCTCTAGGAATGTATTATAAGAGGCCCTAAAAAATTTATATCTGTTCTGTCATCCTAGGGCAGCTTGAGTCTTTTCGAAATTACAAGGGCTTCAGAATTATTTTCCCGAAAATTTTAGGTGTAATTTTAAGTTTTACGAAAGTGATAGTTTTTCTGATTCCTCTCTGCATTGCATTTTCGATTCCGAAAATTTTAGGTTTCCTTTCTCTACGAAAAATAGCCTAAACTGGGGAGTGAAATGGGAAAAATTAAACTTCAGAAAATCGTAGCGAATTTGTTAGATAAGCTTCGAAAGTTGTACACGAATGGAACGGTCATCTAGAAATGTTTAGCCTTCCTCAAGCTATAGAAAATTCTAGGTAATTTTTGCTTCTCCGAACAGATATTTCACAGAAAACAGTCGTTGCGTGCCCCTATATGTTTCAGTCCTGAGTATAATAGAGGGTTGAAATTTGTCAACCTTGGAAGTGGAAACCACTGCGTTTTGCCAGAGTAGTAAAAACTAAAATATAAAACTTATATAACACGAATCTGTGAAACTTATATAACACGTGAAATGTATAACACGAGTTGTAGACGGGGTCCTAAATAATTTAAATTTCTCAACTCGACCACTCAGGAGCACCCAACGAGGATATAGTTCAAAACCACTTAACATAGCATTGTTGAACGTATTTTAGTATTCAAACGGTAGATATAGGCATATTTTTATCCCCTAAAAACTTTTCATCTGTTCGGATTTCCTAGCTGAAAGTCTAGTGATCCGAAAATTATAGGGATAAAAACTTACCTTTCAGCCAGGAAAAGGCTCCCAAAAATTCTAGGTGGCCTTTTTTAGGGTCAAAATCCGCTAAAAATGGGTAATTATACCATTTTGTAGATGTTCGAAAATCCTAGGAGAGGCGGGCAAGCAAGAAATTTTACAACAAATGCTCCGAAAATTATATATCTCAAATCGTCTTCCGAACAGATATTTTCCCGAAAATTGCCGTTGGGTGCTCCTGGCCACTGTTCAAATTTTAATCACTTCAGCCATGATCGTGAGATCCTGATACAATGTGCATTATATCCTGTCCATTTTGTATCAAATACTGAGTTCTCTCGTACGATTTTTACTGTTTAAACGTGGTAAAGATGTGGAGAAGGGGATAGTTTGCATTGCAGTTAAGATAGTTTGAATTGCATTTTGTAGGATCGAAGCGTAGACATTGTACGTGCCGTAGAATTCAATTACGCCCACGACATTTTTAGAACTCACGTGATTTTCATCGGATTACAGTACAAAGTGCTTGTGGTCCTTGTGTGCAAGGGTGGCTATCGGACTTTGGCCATGGAAGATAGATATATCGGGAAATAATGTCAGTCTTTTATTTTAATAATTGGAAATCCTACCTTTCAGCAAGCGATCACTGATCGATAAATGTAAGATAAGGTAGTCGCTTAACAAAGGTCGATCTGAATCATCTAGACCCTCGTGAGATGTACGTATTATTTTAAATAGAGAGGTAGCGAGCCCAGTAGAATTGGAAGTAAGATTATGCTCGTTTTGTGACATTCTATGTATACAGTATTCTTTTTTTCTTAGATGTGGTAGATGAAAAGTGCGGAAAAGTTAGGCTCCATGCTGCGATGCCTTAAACAGTTTCGCCAATTTTGTTTTTTTTTTTTTTCGCCACTCATGTGACTTAATTGCGGGTTAATTCTTACTTAACTGTTGAAGCATTAAATGCGAGTGTTGTGAGTGCTTTTTTGGGTTGTTTTGATTTGATTTAGATATTTTTCATGCTCATTTGAGTGACGGCTAGTAGGGAAAGCCGAAAAATTAAGTAGGCTTCTTATGAAATACGTGCCATGCATTGCCCTTAACGGTAAGGAGATTTTTCGACCCAAAGATACTTGGCCGCGGTCATCTTCTGTATATAGTAGTAGTTTGTTGACTACAAAGGAACATCATGACCGAATCACGACGTTGATCCGATAAGGGTATTAGTACGCTTTTTTAGATCAGTGTTATACTATCTGTTGTTTTTAAACTTGTTAGGAAATGCTGGATCGAGAATCGACGTGGAAAAATATCTCAGTCTGAATGCTTGTGCACGCGCGTTCGACTTAAAAGCACGCGGACAGCCACACCATCAGTCGCCTTTGTGATATCACTTTCTTTCAGCGTGGAACGCAAAACTATATAATTCGAGCTCACCCGAACTGTATTTCTTCAGAAATCTGGGAAAAGAAGCAGCTTAAGAGGAGATTTTATCCTGCGATTGCGCTGCTTTCACCGACTAGCACGCTCAACTTTTAGGTAAATTTTGCTTAAGACGCATTTTAGCTTCATTATTTTAAGTTATTATTCAATTGTCTTTGCAGTGATCTGTACTTTAATCAGGGTATTTCTGATTAGATAGAAGTCAGACCAGAGAATCGTTCCTCTGTTACGCAAAGTGTCAAAGTAATTCTTGGGGTCCTGAAAGAGTATTGTATACCTAAAAACTTAGCCGGCGTTAACTGTAATGATCATGCTGACCAATGTTTTTCTGCCGAACAGAAAAATCGGTTTGGGTTTAGACTCAAAATAACGCACTAAACAGCCATAATTGTGTCGAGTAGTCACAAATTAATGGAGCTATATATCGTTCGTCATAGAAAACAACGTCTGGGAAGCGCTGAAAATCTAAATTTGTTTAATTTGAAGTTTACCAACTGTAAATGAACTTGTACAGGTCTGCCTCATTACAACGAAAACTAAGCGTGATTTCAAAGCAAATGGTATGCGGAATTAAACTTTCCCGATTTATCGCTTTCGTTGTTTTAGCTCAGGGTAAATAATATTGCGCAACAGCATGACTAATTCGTGATTTTCAGCACGGGCTAAATGAAGTTTTTTTTTCGTTTGGGGTAGCACCCCTTGAAGGTCAACAGTAGCCAATCGGGCCTATATTAAGTTAGTCTCCTTCGCATCCACTCGGCCTGAGAAGCTCTCAAAACTTTTGATTTGGTGAGTTATTAAGAGTTAAGAAAAGAACAAAACGAGTTTACTAACCCTGCGCGATCATTGAATGATCTCTCTATCTGAGTAACAGGTAGATTAGATTCATGCCATAACAAACTGAATTGATTAGATTCATGTAGCCGTGCTTCCAGTTTGGGTAGACGGAAGTGGAAGTGTTTATTGCGTGAAAATTCTGGAGTCTGTTAATTAAAAAAAAATACTTAACATCATCGAGTTCAATTAGTTCGTCCATATAGATCTGACACTTTACTGGGAAAATGTCCTAAAACTTTCTTAATTCGCAGGATTGTAATTTAACCACAAAACGGCAAGGTTTTCAATGGTATTTCTCATGTTCTTTATAGGGTTATTTGCTCTATTACAACTCATGCAGGCATACCCAAGTTAACCGAAAAGGTAGCATTCAGTATTGTTGGAAAAGTTTATAAAGTTTTCCTTTATAGTGTTCCGCTGTGAACAATCCAGCCCTAAATTTAAGTAAACCGTATACTGAGACAGTAAACGGCTATATTTCCTGGTGCAAGGAATGCGTACATCAATCATTTAGTTCTGTTTACTGGTTATGCTTATCCAGTCGCTCTACGATTGGCCTGTCCGTTGTTTGTTTGTTAGTGGGTTCTGAGTGACATCGTTCGACCGATCTGAAACCTTGTAACATTATGTCACATCGTGTAAGATCGGCTGTACGCAGTCACTCAGTACGATCTAAATACTCAAAAAAACATTAAAAGGAGTGAAGAGAAGAGACGAAAAGGAATTTTAAAATTCACAGTCAGACATATTCACATTCATATGATGTGGTTCCTTCCGTAGATAGAAAAACCTAATCGAGGTGGGCAGAGATTCCTGACTTGTTACAGCAGACAATTTTGAAGAATTACTTACAATACGCGATGAATGAATCAAATAGGAATAATCAATAATTTTATTGCGATGACAGGGAAACATTAACAAACAGCATAGAAGAGTTACAGGAAATATAAAGTTAAACAATTACTGGATTTTAAGGAAGAAAGTGGGTGGGAATAAAGTGTGAACTTTCCACCTTCTTGGACCTTTACGCTTTAAAATTAAGGGTCTTACTAGGGATGTACTCCACAGGGCTAAAACTTTTAAGTTTCACAAAGAAAAAAGAAATTTCTTATAACCAATGCTGGCCATTTTTCACAGCCCTAGCTTAGCTCAGCTTAATGGCATTTCATAGTTGATTTATAGATATAAAGTCTGCACTGTTTTCTGGATCACTGTGGATTAGTCTCTGAAATTGGTGCTAAGTTAAATTTCAGTTGTAACCAGTTTCTAACACCGTAAACAATAAATGTTTTGACGAAAAAATATGACTAAACTTTGAATTCTTAAGACATGTATGCTTCCTCGTCCCTAAAACAGCTATCTCATGAGAGCCTCGAGAATTATTCTTTGGTATTTCATCAAAAGGGCCCATAGGCCACTCTCTTTCCGTCAAGTTTGCTTACTTTCGTTTACTGCGTGCTGCACTATTCCTGAATAATTTCTTTTTCTTATTATGTCATATTTTTTTTCTTCAAAGTAAACGCCTCCGATTGACGACAACGAACTGAAATAATGGAAAAAACGTTCTTCAACGTGGCTGCGATTGTCTTCATTGGTGTTTTTTCAAGTACGTATATATTTTCTTATTGTTTTATTTATTTATTGATATTCACATTATCTACAATATTACAAAAACATTTACAATAGACATTCACTAACAAACAATAGACTAAGTCTAAATTAATCGTTAAATTATTACAGTTCTAAAGAAAATTAAGACAGAATCCATCAGAAAATTTAATTTTCAGTGGACAAAAACCTTGTGCCAGAATAATTTAAAAAATATTGCATTATTTTTTACATTTTTCAAGGGCTATAGATGTAGTTAGTTATCCGTAATAACACCAAAGAATATTTCTTATGCATGGGAGCCCGAGAAAATAAATGTCAAATTTCACAAAATGACGTCTTACACAAGAAATTTTCCGAATTTTGCCTGTGTTTTTACAATTCTTGTGAAATTTGACATTTATTTTCTCGGGCTCCCATGAGAAATAGTTAAGGTGTCAGTATCCATTTTCTTTTGGAGAAATTTTTGCTGCTGATTATTCTTTCTGTTTCATATTGAGAAGTACGTATATATTGATTATAGTAAAAACCTTTGAATGAACAGTTACTTTATAGCTATTTCAATGCTCAACAGGCTCTTCCCATTTAGGCGAGTTTTCGCAAGAACGTACAATAGCCATTGAGGTTTGCGTTAATCACTTAACGTGCTTTTTGTTTGTATAGGTATATATTCACAAGACATTTGCCCCAGTCGTCCATTGATGTTCGCTTCAGTAGGTGACAACGTCACCTTATGCTGGCAAATAACAGTAGAAATAAACGAGCTCGAGAAATACCTAAGACGCTTCACAGTTTTGGCCTTAATAAGACCAGGCCAGAATCAGATGCAAAAAGTGGCATCGGCGAACCAGAATGGAACTTTTTCCAGAACATATGAGGACCATCACCTCGGTCTGTACAAGGATAGGGTTACTGTAGACGCTGATTTACAAGCCGGGAAACTGTTTTTAAGAATCACAAATTACACCAACCAGATGGAAAACGTGTACTGCGTGTTCTACGAGATGACAATTATCAATGACGTACGATCTTGTTTCGCTAATGCAGTTATTCTCCGAACTAAAGGTAACTTACAAAAGGAAGCTCAGATTATTTGCTTTATAGTTCCGAAAGGTGATTTAAGTTAAAATGTTTCAAAAAATTACCGTTCCCCACCTTTCTTTAGTCCGTCGAGAGCGCGTATAAAAATAAAAACCGCGGGGGGTTTATTTATTTATTCGCGCACTCGCCAGTTATCGAAAAGAAAAAGAAAGCAACGTCTGTGTACAGGCTAAACTTTCTGTTGACGCTTCCCGTCTTTCAGTAGCTCCATTGACAGCCGTTTGGTGCGCCTGCGGTTCTATGCGCCATTTTTGATAAGAAGTTTGCTTCCTTATCCCTCAAACGGCTATAACCTTGCTGTTACGTTTACGTGCGACCTTCCACACATCGCCTCTAGTTCATTTACGCGCTTAAAAATTACGCGACAGTGGGAATCCACCCTAACAAACTTGATGTAAATGCACCAATGACATTACGAGTCTTCATAGCCAATAACATCACGGCTTAACTGACAGACGACCAATAACAACGCGACTTATTTGACCAATCAGGTCAATAACCAGAGTTTAATACCATCAACTGACGTGATACAACTCACTTTGACTCTATTCAGGACTACGTTCACCCGGACGATCATACTCAACCTACTCAGTAAAACGTGATATAGACGGTGCGCCCATACACCCTCCCTCCGCTCTCGAGTTGCCATCAGTGATCCGTTATACGGGTATTTAAAGTTATCTTAAGCTACACGGAAAGGAAACGAAAACGAAGCAAGGATTTGAGGTCAAACCTGGGAACTGAACTCAGGACTTCTCAGTAGGCCTTTCCCGCTCAGTAACTTTTGAGCAACTTTTGGCGTTTAGAGCAACTTTTTGCTGTTCTAGCAACCTCGAGCAAATCTTGCCTTTCTGAGCAACTTTTGAGCAAAATATAGGTTTAGAGCACATATCAAGCACGAACAAGTCAACGATTTCATAGAAAACTTCCATTTTTAAATTTTTTAAAATTTTTTTTTCGTGACCGATGTTAGTAATTATTGTGAAGAACGAAAAATAAAGCTTTTAATTAACGTTTATATAAAAATATCAAGAAATTTAGGTGGCAACTTTTGAAATTTAGGTAGCAACTTTCTGGATTTTTGACAAATTTTTTAGCACCTTTTTGGCATTCTAGTGAGCAACTTTCCAGCATTTTACGAGCACAATCGGGAAAGGCCTACATGTCGCACAGAAGGCCTCGCACTTACCAATTGTGTTCATTTTTTCTCCTTTTAAAAATAAGATAATACGTAGTAAAAAACACATATTATTATAATAACACCAATGACTGATACCAAGTGAGCTTTCGCGCGAAAACTTGATATCTTCACATGTGAAAATTACATGTTATCTTCACTTGTGAAATTATCACCATTGCTATGGCTTCATAATAAACCGCACCTTTCAGACCAAAAAACTATTTAAGTAAAATGGTTTGACATTTCATTGGTGTTTTTATAATAAATAGAGCATTGCATGGTCGCTCGTAGATACCAAATTTCTCTTCTCGTGTTGAAAAAAATATGCGCTCACTCGTGAAATATTTTTCAACACTCAAAGAGAAATTTCTTATCTCCGCGTGGGTGGCTATGTAATATCCTCTATTTATTTAGATAAAGTTGTTGATTTATTTTGCTCTTTAATTGTTAGTTGCAGGTCCTGATCTTCCCACAGGTAATTATGTGAATAGCACGGCAAGTGCAATGAATTCAACAGAAAGCCCGCAATCAACTGAAGGTAAGTGAATAAAAAAATGAATGAGTGAGCCAAAATGCTGCGTACCTTACGTACTACTAAGAGAAATTAAAATGCTTATATTTAACATTGTTCATTTTTTTGGTATTTTTTATTTTCCCCGTGCTGTCATTTTGAACAACTGCAACTATTGTTCAGCGTTCCTTGTATGCAACATGAAGGATAGCAACCGAAAAACGTCATGATCATTCAAAATCACTAGAGCAATGGAAATTTTCAGGGAAATAATTTTCATCTCAGTTTTTCGTCCTCTAAATGCTAGAATGCTTAAATGCAAAATAACAATTCGGAATTTTTACCTTTTCTGGCGATTCGTCACTTTAGAAACGAGAGGAAAGCTGAGCCAAGTTAGCTTTCGCAAAGACTTCTGGGAGTTTTACTAATTGGCCAATAGCTGACCGGTGCATACCCAAGTAACAATCCCAGAAACCATTGCGGACGTTCCCCTCTCGTTCCTATGTTAAATGCTGAAAAAATTAAAGGTCAAATTGTTATAATATTTTGATTTGTATTTGTATTTTTTTCTCCAGTTTAGTACATAATTCCATCTGTTAATAACAATTTTCTAAAGGAATATGTTACTAAAGAGGAGAGGGTCACATCTAGGTTAACTAATATCCTGCCCTTACTACAATTATTATGATAAAGGAAAAGAATAGTTAATTCTATCATGTAAGGAAGAAGATTACCTAGAATAACGTAGTAATGTATAGATAAAATTTATATAGGAAAGGAGAACTTCTTACATACGAGTCAAAGTCATCTTCTCCCACTTTTTCCCCCTTTCTTACTAGACATTGTAGTTAATTTTTTTCCTCAACTCGCAGGGTTATCGAAAGCGCGGCCATTCAACTTGCTGACCGCTGACCTACAATAATATTTTTGCTCTTTTTCTTTCTTTTGTAGGGGATACGGAGATCCGAAGAGGAGAAGATTACCGCACCGAACTCATCATCGTGAGTACTGTCCTTGGTGTATTCTTGGTTGTTGTGGTCTGTTTTGTAGTCTGGAACAAGAGACGGGAGGTTGCGAGAGAGTCATCAATCCAACAGAAAAAGACCATAGACTTCACGGCAGGACCAAGATCAAATCCTCCCTTGAAAAATAATAACTTAGTATAACTCTATATGAATTTCATTGCTGTAAATTTTTATTATGGATGAGACAATCAAACAGACAGAGACTAAAAACTTTACGATAGGAGATGCTTAGCTTATTTCCTTGAGAAATTTTAACTTAAGATAGCTGTGAATCAATTCGTTGTAAAATTTTATAATAGAGCTTGTACGTATTAATGGATACATATTTAACTTAATATCTATTTTGAAAAAAAGAAAACTTACATAATTGTTTTTACGTGTACCATGTCATTAAATTAAACCTTACTTGTTTTCACTGGTCTCTTATAATTTGCCTTGTGCTCGTAAATCGTTTAATCCGCACGGCCTGTGCGTTTCGGGTCACCTGGTCCGAGCTAGTTTGTGTCTGGGTTACATCACCGGGGCTACATCGCCGAAATGCATTGACCGAGAAGGCCTGGGAAGACGCAGTCCATGTACTGGACTAGGACTTAGATGAGGACTTAAACGCAGGGAAAATGAAGGGCCTGGATAAAGAGGGGGGAGGGGTGGTGAAAGACCTTTTTGTACCCATTTATGCCCCCTTTCCAGATTTCGTTGGCCAAAAAATCCAATATGGTGGCTTCATGGAGTGTGACGAATCGATGATTTTCAGCGCCAAAAAGGATAGTTTAATGCTGTATTATTTAACTTTATCTATGTTTTAAGGTAAAACTTTGCTATCATCTTGGGTAGACTGTTCTCAGTCCTCTATTTTTTCGTGAGATCGTCGAGATATAGCGCGTCTTACTGTTGATTTTCAAATGTACCGAGGGGGCGGGCCCCGGGGTTAACTTCCCCACCCCCTAAGGAGTTTTGACACTCATGCAAGATGGCAGCCCGTAATCTCGACGGTCTTACTGAAAAATAGAGAACTCTCAACAGTCTACATCTTGGGCAAAGAGGATGCCAAATGTGGCCACTTAGGTACTACTTAATTCGAAGTTTTTGTCCGTTTAAGCTCAAAGTTTCATGAAGTTTGCAGGATGGTAGAACTTTGTATTCCAAACAATCGCATGCTTTTTGTTTTTCGGGTTTTGGCGGGAAATTAACGTCACAAGATTGATATGACAGGAAAAATTAAATTTTAACTAATGGCGTAACAAATAGGTAATTTTGAAGGAGGGTTACAAATGTGAAAAATTTTTTTGAAAAACTCAATTGCTTTAGGAGAGATAGCATACATTTCGAAATGTCCTTTTGTTTCTAAAAATAGTAAAAAAATGGCGGAAATTTCAAAAATCAAGTCTTGATAATTCTTTAACCAACTGAGCTGTTCAAATTTTTTTTCACATTCGTTTCTATCTCGTCACCCTCTTTCACAATTACCTATTTCTTACACGTTTCTTTGGACTGAGCTGGCCTTCTATTGATATCTAACTTGGAAACGAACCCTCTGAAGCAAAACTCCAAGGTAGACTTTTCAAGAAGGCGTGAGAAATGAGTTGTCAACCGGTGAGAGCGTTAGATAGGTCGTGAAATCGTGAGACTCACGACAAAGTCGTGAGACTTGGCTAGTCTGTGATTCACCCCATGTGAGCGTATCCAAGGCAGTCCTCGATTCTGGATTCCTCGGCGCGGATTCCGGATCCGGATTCCGGAACTAAGATCCTTGATTCCAATCGTTGGTGGGATTCCGGATTCCTTGAGCTGTATTCCGGATTCCAAAACCCAGGATTCCAGATTCCAAATGCACAGTTTTCCTGGATTCCGGATTCCTTTGCATGGGGCAAAGCGATGCTTAAGTATTTAAGAGAGTCAATAAATACAGACAAGTAACGGGTCAATGGAAATCAGTTTTTTAATGACACTTGGTTAATATATTGTTTATATAAAACTATCAAATGAGAATGTGTACTCACACTGTATAAAAACATTTGACTACAAATTTCAATTCCATTGCATTGTTGTAATCATGATAATGGTCCAATTCAATTCTAGTAAAATTGTACAAAAATACACAAAAATATGTGCTGAAAAGTTTCTTTTGAGATTACTTGATAAACTTTTGATTTATAAACAAACATTGTCGATACGAAAATATAGAACAGATTCTAACTTTACTACAAAAATAATGCATATGAACATTTTCACATCGAAAAAAGTCATGAGAAAAAGACACGGGAAATTTGGTCAGCTTTTGTTTTGATTTTCTAATTACTTCAAAATATCGAGCGATTCTTCTGTTACTAAATTCAATACGTTCGTTGTTTGAACTCTGATGAAACATTCTCCCTCGTGTCTGATTAGATTTTAACGTCCGACAGACGAACTACGATGTCAACTGATATCCTAACCTATCAAAACACTTAAATTTTCGCCTCTTCAGCGTAGACTGTACATGTAGCTATAAAAATATTCATAGAACGTATATAATTAGGAATCTCTGAAAATATAAGCCCGATTTACTAGGTACTCTCTGCAGAGCTGCTTTGGAAAACTTAAAATTTTACAACAAAAAGTTTGGCTCATTAGCGATTTTTCGGTCAATCATCAACAACAGAGCCTTTTCACTCACGTGGTTGGCAGATATGCGAATTTATTGGAATAAAAGAAAGTGTTTACTTAAGAAAAAAGTTTACCCTCCATAGGACTGGTTAAGAACACCAACATGGTCGCCGTTTCATTGTTTTGGAAACCGATATGGTGGACGTGACGTCACAGGGAAACGCCCTTTTATGTTTACGACAAACGGCAAACGTCAACATTCACGACGTGACCAAGTTTACCCTCCACTTACCGTTTACTCTTCATCATAACTACACATAAACAAGTACTTTCGTGCCAGTTTTATCTATAAGAATTATTTTGGACTGTCTTCATCCGCTCATTTCCTAATACGAGGAATTGTCATTGCCGTTTACGATAAACATGGTGACCGTCCTAAATCTCGTTCCCGTTTTTGCAGGTTAGAGCATTTCCTTCCGTATTGCACCAAAGAGCTGAGCGCTGCGTAGATTGGAAGTTTTACCAGCTCTGCCATTAAATCAGTTAGTATCTAACGGGATGACAGCTTTAAAGCGTGGTTCCGATGTAATTACCCAGGTCGTTTCGATTGCTCGATTCGTTTCAAAGTGTATCAAGCTATCGAGACGATTATATGAAAATAACTCTGATGCGATGTAAAACGATCCGGACTTGGGAAGACTGCAAACGCCGGGTAGAGCTGCAGTCTACGCAAGGGCTGTATAAACCTGGTTTGACCTATTGTAGCCTTCCACGCCGACGATATTTTGGCTCGTCACGCAAGAATGCGTGACGAAGAGTTAACCTGCCTTAAGAAAGTCTGTACGCTAATGAGCCACACTGTAATTTAACCTGCCTTAAGAAAGTTTGTACGCTAATGAGCTCACACTGTAATTTAACCTGCCCTAAGAAAGTTTGTACGCTAATGAGTCACACTGTAATTTAACCTGCCTTAAGAAAGTTTGTACGCTAATGAGCCAACCTATAATTTAACCTGCCTTGAGAAAGTCTGTACGCTAATGAGCCACACTGTATAAGAACGTTTGTACGTTTTAAAATGAGTCAAAATGTAATTAGAGGAGTAAAAGCTGATTATTAAGAGTTCTCAAATATGCATTTGAACATCGCAAGAACTAACTTCTTACTTTTAGGAAAGGAAGTTTCAGGCCTGCTTATCGAATTTATAGTTTTGAACTCTGAGAAGTACTGTATTTCACGATCATGAATACTTTTATATTAATCTGTGTCTGAGGATTCTCTTTATATTACAGTTTTGGGTTACTGTAGTTTTCCTGTAGACATTTGTACAATAAGCACACCACAAAAGTAAAGCAACTACATTTGAAACAAACTCAAAAATATTTGGACTAACTAATATTTCCCATTTCCTGAGCGTTCGCTGATTGATTCGTGTTTAAATTTGCTCGAGGAAGGTGGAAACTAAGAATTTTTCATATGATACAATTAGTTTTGTCTTGACAGTTTGTTTCAGAGCCTCATGATAGAAATTTTTTGATGGCACCAAGAATCTAGAAGAGAAAAATCAAAGTTAGCTGTGAACAACAATTCACAGTAGACTGCGAACAGTCTCTCTTTTTCTTCAGATTTAGTGAGGCGAGTGCACGCGAGAGCGCACGCGAGGGGAGGCCTCTCCCGTATCGCGCCTTCAGTGACGCGCGTGGTCACTTTCGTGTCTCGCGCGTTTTGCTCGACGGAATAAGAAAAAAGAGGGGCTGCTCGTGGTCTAAGTCAGCGGGACAAAGCAAAATGAGCAAGCAATAATAAAAAATAGCAACTTCACCGGACGACGGAGGGATATTTGAGTCATGTGTACACTACGAGTAGTCCGCATTTTTCCTGAGGGATAGTAGAGCGAGCGAAACGCGAGCGCGCGTGAAAATCACCACACGCGAGCCTTTTCTCGCGTGGGGTGATTTTCACGTGCGCTCGCGTTTCGCTCGCTCTACTATCCCTCAGGAAAAATGGAGACACTCGTAGTCTAAGTCACGTGAGACAAAACGCTCCATTCCTAACTTTCAAATCATTTCGTCAAATTCCAGCCATTCCAAACTTTCTTGCTGTACAAATGGTCGTTATATAATATAAGGTGTTCAATCAATCAATCGATCAACCAATTAATCAATGGACCAACCAATCAATTCATCAATCAATCAATCAATCAACCAATCATTTGACCAGTCGATCAATCACCAATTAATCACTTGATCAATCAATCGATCGACGAATCTCTTCATCAAACAATCAATCAATCAATCAATCAACCAATCACTCAAACAATAGATTAATCAACCAATCAATTAAAAAATCCATCAGATCATCAGTCAATCAATCAATCGATCAATCAGTCAATCAATCAGCCAATCATTTGACCAGTCAATCAACCATCAATCAATCACTTGATCAATCAATCAATCGATCAGTCAAACAAACACTTGATCAGCCAATCAATCAACCAAGCAATCACTCAATCAACGACTCTCTTCGTCAATTAGCCAATCAACGATTCACTTGATCAATCAATCAACCAATCAATAAATTGACCAAACATTTAACCAAGTAACCAAGCAATCACTTTATCAATCGATCAACGAATCTCTTCGTTAATCAATCTATCAATCAATGAATCAGCCAATTAATCACTTCATCAATCAATCAATCATCCTCTCTATCAGTCAATCAGTTATCTTAATCTTGTTCATTATTAAAAGCAAAGTTGAACCTAACCATTTTGTGATGTTGTTCTGGGACACCAGCCTCATTCAATTCCTGCTCATTTAATTCACCCAGGAATTCCAAGTCATCCCAACCATAATCGACGAGGCTGCTAGTGTACTGGGAGAACCCTATACGCTGCATAAGCTCCTCAACTGTTCGAGGTTTGGACTTCTAAATCACAATACCAAAACAATAGTGGGTAAGACACAATTTGTAATACTGTTTACACGCAATGAAAAATACAATAAACAATATTTTATGATCATTCAAATCGCCCAGCTAGTTCTTCATACAGCAAATTTTTGAAGACGCTTCCGAGATGCGATAAAGTGGTTTCCACCGAGAAGCCCTGGGGACGAGGTTTACGTTGGCTTAGTTGTTTTGGTATAGGTGGATAACACCCTCCTCGATGTGCGGAATTATTCAGATCACACGAGAGCCAAAGTCATCATTAGCACGCGAGCACTAAATGAGGACACCAATTTACGTGTCCTTCTGGAGACAGAGCCATCATTTTTACGAAGTCATCCGAGTCACGTGAAGGTCTAGGCGTTTACAGGGCAAAACAGTACCTCCTTCCTCTGTTTTTTAAGCCCTGAGTCTTGGTCCGGTCTCGGGAATAAAACCCACGATCTTTCGCTTCGCAGTCCAGCGCTCTACGTACGGATTAAGTTGTGTTTCCTCGCAGGTGCCGCGGCAGGGAAACAACGCGACCGAAGAGTTCACTAAGCAGAGAGCTAAGCAAACGCGATGGCGATGGCAACATATACGTCAATAAAGCAACACGATTAATAAGCAGAACTCCTCTTCAGGTGACGGTTTCGCTGCTGTCTCCGTTTTGGTTAATTCAACAGACAAAGGAACGAAAGACAAAAAGACAAATGGGAATTACCTTGACAGGAAGTGGCGGAGGATCTTTCGATGTCTGCAAATCAAAACAGTGAATACATTTTGACACTGAATTATTTAATGTCCATCAAGAGACTCTACGTTAGCTGAACGATTCGTTATTTCATTGCTTTTGTCGGTTATTAGTGTAGGTTTCTGAAGTATGACCATTTACCCATTAACTTAAGACGTCGTTAACAGTATTGACAGGTAAAGGTTCGACATTTATTTATAGGATGAAATGTCGAGTTTTCTGGGGTAGTTTTGGAAGTGAAAGAGTTAAACGAAGTACGTCCTACCACTTGGTAGTTTCTACCGTTGCCCAAGCAAGTTCCTGATCTTTCCATCCTCCGCCCCCGTAAAACATTTCCCCAAACCCCGGGTTCTAAACCTCCAAAATTTTTTTTCGGTCATTCGGGTCTCAGTTTGGTCTAAAAATAAGAGAGGCATTGGGTCCCCCCGGGTCCCTTCCTTGGATCCGCTATCGTAGAGTAAGATACACCATTCTCACCTTTGTGGATTCCGGTACAGGAGCTGAGTGTCGTTTTGGAACTGCTGGGGGAACGGCTAGTGAGGTGGTTCCTTGCCTGTTCCAAAACACGATAATAATTGAACACAGTTAGAGAGGATCAAGGACGCATTTGATCGCAGAGCTGATCAAGTACGTTTTGCGTCTACTGGCTTTTAATTAAGGTGGCCCGTTCCTATTTATATGCGTGTTGGTTATGTTTTTGATTCGCGTTTTTTAGAATGAAAGATTCAACCGATTTCTACGATTTTTTGCATCCTTAATAAATAATGATAGAACTTTAAGAAAATGTTATTTATTTTCTTATAGGTATAAAAACTTTTGAGATATCGGAATATATTTAAAATCTCATTTTTACGAAAAATGAAAATAACTTCGAAATCCCACGACAGATTTTCCCTAACTTCAGCAAATAAGCCTCACAGCTCTTTAGCTCTATTGTCTGTCGTGGGATTTCGAAGTTATTTTCATTTTTCGTAAAAATAAGGTTTTAAATATATGCCGATATCTCAAAAGTTTTTATACCTATAAGAAAATAAATAACATTTTCTTAAAGTTCCATCATTATTTATTAAGGATGCAAAAAACCGTAGAAATCGGTTGAATCTTTAATTCTGAAAAACGCGAATCAAAATCATAACCAACACGCATTTAAATAGGAACGGGCCACCTTAAGCTTCAAACCGTCATAACAAATCGAATTCGATTTAGTACAAGCTGGAGGGCGGGGGACTCAAATCCAGGGGACATAATGGCAGCGTTCTCTCAAAACTTTAGCACAGCAGTTAAGGGACCATTCATCGCGGGCAAGGCCAAAAAATGTGCCAGAGGTGCACTTTCCTGGGGGGAGGGGGTAGTGAAATGAGGGACATGAATTCGAGCTCGCCGTGAAGTTTAGAAGCTAAGGTCATTCCCACATCTGAAGACCTATTTTACACAAATCAGCCGTTGTTCTCTTTAGACAACAATTTAAAACGTTTGATTCCAATAATTTTACTCTGTCTTCAAATGCTCTCTTTCCCAAAAAGAGAAAGCTGTGTATACTTTAGTACATGTCCATATACAGCTATTTCGAGAAAGGTTGTCGGAAAAAGTGCACGCGACAATCCCGAGAGGTATTGTCGCTGGTTTTGAGTTCACTCCTCTACAAAGACATTTGAAAGAATGGCAGGAGAGGCCATGGACATATGTTTGCGAGTGCTAAAGGAAAGCAAAAAAAGCAGGTTCGACAGCTACAGTCGTTAGGTACAGTGTAATGATCATATCCCATATTACCTTTCGGGATTGTCGCGTGCACTTTTTTGGCGACAACCTTTCTCGAAATAGCTGTATTCATTCATTAGCTTGATGGGATCGGATCACAACTTGCGCATTTTTTAAAACAACTTATTTAATTTTAGCAAACCTTCAAGCGGTTGCAGGCGGTAAGAAGTGTTGTTTTAGATGGCAAATTTTAGCAGTTACCGCCTGATAACGAGAACACTGTAAATAGCCGGATTTACAGGTACATGGGCCTATAAGGGAGGGCTTAAAAGGGGCATTTTACGGTACGTCCAGACCTTCCAAGCCCTAAACCACGCAAACATGAAGTGTTTGGAAAAAAGCCCCAAAAAACCTGGAGATTAGGACCTCAGACCTGGAGAGTTCCAAAAAACCGTATGTATCAAATAAAACCAAAGAGGCAGATTATTTTTGTCATGGTATTCTTTACCCTATAAGTGATCTCTGTTATACTGCCTTGTAGATCTCTTGGCAGCGATGAGAATATACTGTTTTACTATCCAGGTCGATAGGAAGGCGAGTAGCCAAATGAGTATGCTATAATGGCTTTCCCACAGACCTTAGCGAACCTATGTTTTACGGGAATGAGGTTGGAATTGGACTCAGGTCCCCCCCATGATACTACTACATGAGAAATTTCTGCAATTTGATTGGCTTAGAGCAGTAGTATTTCAGCTTAATTTGAAATACCTACATGAGAAAATTACAAACCTTCTGTGGGTAGTAGTATAAACAAACAATAGCATGATTTGTACGTGACATTTGGCAGAAATACCACTCGTGATATTTCAAAATTGTCTCGTGAAATTACGTATAACAATTTCGAAATAACGGTATAACAATTGCGTATAACAATTTCCAAATATCACTCGTGGTATTTATGCCAAATATCACTACAACCTCATGCTATTACCTATATTAATTAGACTGATACAATATTCGTCCATTATCACGACGGGTGTTTTGAAATAACGCGGTTCCTACCGGAACTGTCTGGCAATTTTAAGATTTTCTGATTCACTGTGAGATTTGGTGGCTAAATCGTCAGACCGTGAGTTGACTGCCCAAACCGTGAGAGTTGGAAGGTCTACGGTACGCCTTTCCTCGTCACAATTTTATCCGGGGCACAATTTTCTCCAGGTGCACTGTACAGAGAGTTTGGCAACACGTAACAAAATATTCGAAATAAGAATAGTAGAAATCTAACTAACACTTACTTCTCAGGTAAAGGAGGAGTCTCTGAAAATCACAGTAAAAACAACAGTGAATAAGTTACACAAACCTCTTTTATAGTGAAAGAAAATGAAGCCAGGAGGGAGGGGGTTAATTGGGTCAATTTTTGCTGGGTATGTGCCGTTGCAAATGTAATTTTTGCCATCACAACGTAGTCGCGGATCATCCCATGTTAAATACCTACTTACCAGGATTTCCCTACCCCCAAAATCCCGAAAATGTGCGACCCCATTCTAGTAACTCTGCTGAAAACCCAACCCCATTATAGTCAATCCAACAAGAAAGTACCACCCCCCCCCACCCCATTCGAGTAAGATGAAAATAAGAGTAATAAGAGTATGATAAAAATCCTAAAGACTAAATTGTGATCTTTTACTGTGTATACAGCACCAAATGCAAGTTTCGGTTTTCCCAATATTTAACAGTTAATAAGTTTCTAACCTCTGATTGGTACATGACTTCTACGCTTTGGGGTCTGAGGATACTTCACTGATCCTTTTCTGTTCACTAAAGAAACAGCAAACCCCCAATGAAGACAGGCAAACACATCTTAAGGTGGCTCGATACAGTTTTTCAAGGCCAATACCTCCCAAGTTTGAGGATAATCTACGTCGCCATAAACAAAGTTTTGGAAAAATTGCCACCACAGTTGTATTAGATAAAGATGAAAATTTGTTATGATTAGGGTTGCAATGACATCGGAGTTGTCATAGCAACGAAATGACGCTATTACCTATTTTACTTACAGAAGTATTTCTCGGCACTGGGAACTGTTCTTCCAAAATCATTTACGGGAGCTTTTTCCTCCAATAGCCGCCTCGATGTTAGTGAAGTTTAAGCGAAATCTGTAAGAGCGTTGTCGAGATATTTTAGGATAAAGATTTTGTGGTTAGAAATACGGTAAAAAATGGATAATCTTGATGTTCGGCTGTTATCTGTAGAAAATGAAGCGCTTTTGACATGCAATTTCACCTCATAGTAGTTTCAATCTTTTTTAAAACGTTTGTGAAAGACCGTGGAGATAGCTCCAGCCGATTGCTAGAAAGAAGGATTTGATTAGTATGTATCGAGGCGCTTTTGTTAGCGGTTTTTGAACATTTTGGTCTACTTTAACAAATTAGCGAATAAGTTTTAAATTGCTCGATAGATTTTTTTTAAAATTTAAGATTCTTGAGATTAACCTTCCTTTTATATGACCTTTTAGTTTCAAGATTATTGATATATTGTAAGGCAGTAAAATAAGGGCTACAATTCGCCAATATTTTGGCAGAAATTTTGTGTTTACAAATGTGAGCCTCTCATTATTCAGGGTATTGTCTCCAAGTTTCATATTTTCGCGCATAACAATAGCTAGCATTTTTGCATATGTCAAATGCATTGTTAGTTATTGTTGTTCACGTGAAAATGAAACTTGGAGACAATGCCTTGAATAATGAGAGGCTTTCACCTGTAATAACGAAACGTCCGATAAAAAAGTAACGAATTGTAGCCCTTATTTTACTGCCTTACAATGTATCAATAATCTTGGAACTAAAAGGTCATATAAAAGAAAGGTTAATCTCAAGAATATTAAATTTAAAAAAAAATCTATCGAGCGGTTTAAAAACTATTTGCTAATTTGTTTGTTGAGCCACACACCTTTTCGTTTTCTCTCTTCCCTTCTCTTCTTTTTTTTTTTTTTTTTTTTTTAATTAATCCCAATTTTCATTCAGTACCCTTAACTTGCATGATTTACCCTACAGTTCCAGGAAGCCTATAGTTTATAAGCCCCCGGCTTCTATATGGGATTCCTTGCCTTTTCCACTTTAAACATTTGATCTGGTAAATAATTTAGTTGGAATATTGCATATTATCTTTAATGTATTTGTATTTTTGGTTAATGGCACGAACGAACGAATGAATATTAGGATCTCTCTTTAGAAACACATGGACTTATTCTTGAAAATGCAGTTCATATTCGCTAGAGGAACGCATCTGGGCTAAGGAAAGCAATGTTACTCACTTAGATCGCAAAATTTTTAGAAAAGTTTCATACTCTACAGGACATCCAATCTTATCTATAATGCCTCGTGTCAAACTGTCTACCTACCATACTATGCGTTTTAGAAACTCTTTTACTAACCGTTTAGTTTTTAAATACGAACCATGGCCACTCACGATAATAATTGTCATTGAACACGATATTTCGACCGCTTTCGGCTGTTCTTCATCGACGATGGTATCGATTT